CTTTTGGAAATGTATCTTGTACATGTTGGACATTTACTGTGAAAATATTTCGAAAATTTTGACAATATTGGAACATACCAAGGAGAAATCTGTCAAAGTGTCAAGCCAAGTTTCATGAGCTTTCCTATAAAAACTTCATGTAGTGGGAGTTTATGGGGACTTTGAGGTAGAGGTTATATCAGCACTATGCTGGGGTAGAACTTTAGGTGAAGGGAGATAAGAAAATTTGAACTTTAAAAAAAATCTATTTATCAATTTTACAGAGAGAGAGGAAGGGGGAGAGAGCGAGAGAGAGAGAGAGAGAGAGAGAGAGAGAGAGAATTTCATGTTTCACTTATTTATGCATTCATTGGTTGTTTCTGTATTTGCCCTGACCAGGGATTGAACCCACAATCTTGGCATATCCAGACAATGCCCTACCCAACTGAGCTACCTGGCCAGGGCCAGAAATTTTAGATTTATTTATTTTATAATAGATTATCTCATTTTATCTTCTGATAATTTGGGGAATAATATGAACAATGACATTTCTGATTCATAAAATTATCTTGCATAGTTCCTTAAGAGTTTCACCTGTAAAATGAGGGGTTTTAAAAAATAGAATATATTAGTGCTCACTTCGACAGTACATATACTAAAATTAGAATGATACAGAGAAATGAGCATGCTGACCGGTTTGGCTCAGTGGCTGGAGCATCAGCCTGCGGACAAGAGAGTCCCGGGTTCGGTTCCCGCTAAGGGTATGTACCAAAAAAAAAAAAAAAAAAAAGATACAGAGAAATGAGCATGGTCCCTGCGCAAGGATAACATACAAATTCGTGAGGTGTTACATATTTTAAAAAATTAAATTTATTAAAGAAGTTCCCCAGGTTGAAAAAATAAAATCCATAGATTTTTAAAAGTAAAATTTACAGCACAACAAGGAAGAGTTTCAATCTGACCAGAAAATTTGCAAACCATTATTCAAACATATTCAAAGCTTTGAAATTTGGGTAACTGAAGAAAATCTATTTGTAATTTTTCAAAGTAGTTCTTGAGGTGGAGATTCCAGAGTTGCCCTGAATTATCATATGCTAACTATAGATAAGGCAAAGTAAAAACTTGTTTTCACCAATACTTCAGTATTGTTTGAATCCATTTATCCCTGTCCTTGTGGGTTATTCCTTACAGCTTTCTGTGTCTTTAGTTTCCTTTCATCTGGAACAGTTGCTCAGTATTTGCATTTCAAGCAATTGCATCATATAAGAGTACAGGTCAGTTATTTTATAAAATGTCCTTTAATCTGAATTTGTCTGATGTTTCCTCATGAGAAGTTTCAGCTAATACACTTTGAGCAAGAATACTGCATAACTAATGTGGTCTTCTCAGAACACAACGACAGGAGGCATCTGGTGTGCATTTGTCTCTTTCTTGGTGATGTTAACCTTCATTATTTGGTTAAGGTGGTGTTTGTTAAGTTTGTTTTTCCTCCTGTCATTCATAAATATCTGTGAGGAAGATACTTGGAGACTATATAGAGAGCCTGTTACTCAAACTTTACCCACTAGTTTTAGTATCCATTGCCTAAAATGATTATTATATTGATGACAGTTGCCAAGAGATTTTTTTTGTTGGTTGGTTGGTGGGTGGGTTGGTTTTTATTAAAATCAGTTCATTATGAGATGTTTTAGTCACATTCAACAATTAATGAACTGGATATCAGTGGAGATTTTCTAATTTCATGATTTCTTTTACATTTATTAGTTGATATTCTACTGTAAGCAAGAGATTTTTTTAAAAATTTTATTTCATTCATTCACTCATTCATTTTTATCCATGTGGACTCAGAGATTTCTATTTTATTCAATGGGACATAATCCATTAATGTCATTATTTATTTTGATACTTAGATTTTCTCAGGTTTGATCCACATCAGCCCCTTCCACCTGAGTCCTATGTCTGGTTATGTTTACATCATTTTTTGAACCCACCTATTTCCTTTTAGTAAAGAAATGAACACATTTTCATTTTTTAAAAGTCTTCTTAAAAACAATTCTATTACGCCCAGCCAGTGCAGCTCAGTGGATTGAGTGTTGACCCATGGACTGTGAGGTCCCGGTTTGATTCCCTGTTAGGGCTCTGGCCCAGGGTGGGGGCTTGATCCCCAGTAGGGGGCATACAGGAGGCAGCTGACCCATGTTTCTCTCTCCCATTGATGTTTTTATTTCTCTCTCCTTTTTTCTCTCTCTAAAAAATCAGTAAAGATATATTTTAAAATAAATAAATGAATCACAGACTTATTTAAAAAACAAAAACAATTGTATTGTTTGTATGGGGCTTCTGGTAATCAATCTCTGTCAGTTATGATTCTGTTCTGCCAATGGCATTAGTCCACTGGTCTTTTTTTTTTTTTTTAACTTTTTGTTGTTGTTGTTTATTTTATTGAATTTATCAGGATGACATTGGTTAATAAAATTATACAGCTTTAGGGTATACAATTTTACAATACATTATCTGTATATTGTATTGTACATTTAACACCCCAAGTCAAGTCTCCTTCCATTACCATTTACCCCCCTTTTACCTTCTTCTACTTCCCCCCAGTACACTGGTCTTAATTAGTATTGCCTCCTATTTAAGAATAATGTCATAAGACAGGGACGTCTTCCTAAATATGATACCTTAGAAAGATTAAGGGCATGAATAAAAGTTTAAACACAAAGTTTTAAAATTTCTGTATTAAAAATAATTACCATAAACACAATTAAAATAAAAAACCATCTAGAAAAAAAAAACAAAACACTTTCCATATTTGACAGACAAAAGGTTAATACTTTTAATATATAGACACTGTTAAATCAGTAAGATATAAAGAGCAATAGAAAAGGGGAAAAAAAAAATATATATATATAGAGAGAGAGAGAGAGGTAATTCACAAGAGAACAAATACAAATGACCAAACAATACATCTCAGCTTCATGAGCAAGCAAAGTAGTATCAATACATCAATTGAAATTATCTAAGAGAAAAATTGTGACCCATAACATTGGCAGAGATTCCATTTAATGCCATTTCATCTTTTCAAGGCACTCATTTCTTGTGGAATTGTAAATTAGAACAGTTCTTCTATAGGACAATTGGATGATATAAATTAAAAGCTTTGGTAGCTTTTGGTTTTATGGCACTAGGTAGGGGAAGTGTTCCCTAGTCAGATATAATATCCTTCCCATCAAGTATTCAGATAAAGGAGACACAGCCTCTTCACATAAAGCCTATTTAAACATTACAATTTTCATTCAAACTTCAGCCTTAATCCTACTATCAATAATCTAACACATTTCTATATACACTCAATCTTTTTTTTTTTTATCCTCACCCGAGGACATTTTTTCTATTTTTTGTTCAGATAGAGTGTGGGAGAGAGAGAAACATCGACGTGAAAGGGACACGTCGAGTGGTTGCCACCCACACAACACCAGGGGCCAGGGACAAACTGCAACCGAGGTACGTGCCCTTAGCGGGAACTGAACCCGGGTCTCTCAGGACCGCAGGCCGGCGCTCTAACCGCTGAGCCAAACCGGCCAGGGCTATACACTCAATCTTAATTGTAGCCCCTATTAGGGCTTTACCAAGAGATGTTGGTACCACAGTGCATGAGGCTCCTGTGTCAAAGAGTCTCAGAATTTTTTATTCATCTCCCGACCATTTTCCCATTCCTATGCATTAGGTTTTGGGTCCCCAGCCACAGAACCCTGGTACTTTTTCAGTCTTTATCTTGATTACTTTGACTGACTATTGGCCTAGATGATTCCAGGTATGGGTTCTCATTGTATTCTCTATTTTGCAGTTTTTTACATTCCTTCAAACTTGGGAAATAGAGCATTTTAATATTGGGGAGCCAGCGGGAGGTGCATTTGGCCCACCCAAGCTTTGATAGTGCTGTATTAGGACCTTTTAAAAATCCATCAATATCAATATTCGTTTTGTTCATCGTAAGTGGAGGAGCATGTATAGTCTTAAAATTTGCTGTGTTTCAATCATTTACATACCGTTTGTGGATAATGGTCAAGCCTTGGTCTTCCCACTCCCCTTATCACTTATATCAAGTGCTCCAACACAGTATGGTTATGTCTGTTATCAAACTGTCAGACAATGTTTAAAAACCTATGTATTCTTTAAATTAACCTGAGTTCCTAACACACACACACACACACACACACACACACACACACACACACACCCGTCCCCCAGGGGAGAGCGCGACCGCAGTCCCCCACTACTCAAATTATGCAGTGGAGTTTCCCACATCTGGGGAAATCGCAGGGGTCAGCACATCGGGAGTGCAATGGATAAGCCTGGCCCTGGGAAAACCACCTTCGGATCACCGTATCTCCCCTGCCAGGTAAGTATTGAGTCCTTAATTTGTTAAAAGCAAGCACTCCAAGAAACCCGACTCTCGCCTGCTCCCCGCCCCGCATCCCGCCTCGCGGATGGAACGTCGCTGGAGAATTCTAGAAGAGGCAATCCCTGACACTCGTATTAGTATTCAGTAGTTTCGCTGGGTAAAGGGCAGCATCATGCAGTTTGAAAACCATAAACTCAGCATATCCATTGTGACATTACAAAGTCACTAAGCCATGCTTCCATTCAGTCAGCAGTGTTCATTTTTGATAGCGTTGCATTTATGCCAAGGGTCCCTGAGGATCAGCAAGCCACCCAAACGCGTCTGTGCCCTCCCCAGAGGTCCCCAACACGAAGCGGCCTTTAGGGCTAAGTGGTCGGGGAAGCCAGGGAGGGACTCGAGCTTGAAGCGCGTCAAGAGTGCGCGAGGGTCCAGCCAGCCACAGTTGCCTCTCTGCACCCTCCCCAACAGAGGGCGCCCGCACCTCCTCAGCTGCTCCCCAGCTGAGCGCGCCGTGGCCTGTGCGCCTGCGCGGCCGCCTCCCCGCCTGGCCCCGCCTCCCGCCCGCCCCGCCTGCCCGCTGGGCCTTGTCTCCTCGCCGGCCCGCGGATCCACAGAGCGGCTTCAGAAACAGGGATCGGGACCCAGCACGCTCCACCCCACCCCTCGCGCATCGCCCTGGCACCGAAGCATGGAGGGCGAGAGTACGTCGGCGGTGCTCTCGGGCTTCGTGCTCGGCGCGCTGTCCTTCCAGCACCTCAATACAGACTCAGACTCGGTGAGCTGAGCGGAGGGGCGGGATCCGGCGTCTCCTCCGGAGGCCGGACGCCCTGCCCGCCGCCGCCCGCGTCCCCCGGGAGCTCGGGGCCGCCGCAGCTCCCTCCGGGTCTGCCTTCCGCCGCCCGCTAGAGAACTAGGTCTTCTCGAGGATTAGCCCTCCGTCTTGCGCGCGTGTTCAGAGGGACCCACCAGCTCCCATTCCCGTCCACTGGCCCCCTTCTCTCGGGTCCCCTGGCTGCTGAAGAAGAGAAAGTTCACGTCCGTCCTCCCGCACCTCCAGGAAGGCTGCGGTGCGCGTCCCGCCCCTAACTGCCCCCTAACTACCCACCGTAACTGCATTTTTCCTGCAGAGCAGCCGCTGCTGTGCCCGCCTGTTCGTTGAAATGGTAGGGTGGTTAAAGGAATAAGAGAGGTCGCGTCCTGTGCCTGTTTTGGAGGGAATCTAAATGGATGAAAAAGCTTAATTTGGTATCGGATGTCTGACTTTGGCATAAGTATTAAATGTATTAAACTGTAAGGCCTCATCTAGTTTCTTTTCTGATGCTTTCGGTTATGATTCAGATATTTATGCTCAAATATTAGATATTTAAATGATTTCATACTAATTGCATAGGTTTAAAACCTCTGAATGAAGTAGTGAAGTAGTTTTTTTTTTTTAATACAGTGCCTATTTTTAAAATCTTTCATTTTTATGAAATTAAACACTATAAAACTTTGAGCCCAAGAAGTGCTGCTTTAGAAGACGTGCTTAGTAACTTGCTAATAGTTTGGAAAATACCATACTGAACTAACTCTAGTAATTTCTTAAATAACCTTGTAGATTAACAACTAGAAAAAAGCAAATATGTGACAATTTTAAATGTATGTAGCTGTGGAAATTATTTTGGAATGTCTTAACGTAAATATAAACAGAATGGGTCCTTGAGTCCTCTGTAGTATTATTACCCCTTAGAAAGACCTATAATCTTAGGCCCTTGTTTCTTAGATCTTTTTCCTAAAGTCTTTAAAAGGTGATTTTCTAGGTAGTTATACTTGAATGGTCCCTGTTTCCTTTCTGGGCGGTTTATCTAGAGTACTAGAGTGTACAGTTCTGGATTGGCCCCGTTTTGTCCAGTAAACACTCACACTGTGGAAACGTTCCTTTTGTGCTCTTCTTTAATGAAATGGGGAGGGGGAAAAAGCATTTTTAATGATAAAGAAGACAAAATCTTCATTGTCTGTCCAGCATAATGGATCTTTAAATGTGCCAAGAGAAATAATTGAATTCTCCAAAACTCAAGGAAATCACCACTGTTGTGGCAGAAATGTATGTTTTGTTTTGTTTTGTTTTTAAAGAATCAGGGCTGTCACCCTGGCCGGTTTGGCTCAGCGGTTGGAGCGTCGGCCTGCGGTTCGGTTCCTGCGAAGGGCATGTACCTCGTTTGCAGTTTGTCCCTGGCCCTGGTTGGTCGTGCGGGTGGCAGCCACTCGATATGTCCCTTTCACGTTGATGTTTCTCTCTCTCTTCCTCTCTCCCCCTCCCACTCTACCTGAACAAAAAATAGAAGAATGTCCTCAGGTGAGGATTAAAAAAAAAAAAAAGAATCAGGGCTCTCAGCTCCCCTTTTATTTAGTTAGTTAGTTAGTTAATAAATAAGGATATTTTTCCATTGATTTTTAGAGAGAGTGGAAAGGAAGTAGGGAGAGAAATATCAATGTAAGAGAAACACACATCCATTGGTTGCTTCCCAAACATTGGGGTGGGGGTCACGTCAGGGTAGGGGATCAAACCTGTAACCCAAATATGTCCCCTTGACTGGGAATCAAACCCATGGCCCTCAGTTTGCAGGTAAAAGCTCTAACCATTAAGCAAAACCGGCCAGGGCTCAGCTCCCCTTTTAGAAAGCAGACTCTGATACTGAATTTCAAATCTTTAATGTTTTGCATGATTTTTAATCTAAAAGCATTGATCATTGTGTCATTTCATAGCTCAGAAGCCTCCACTGGCTCCCAGAAGTACGTGCCATTAATTCAGAGTCCTTGGCTAGTCATTTGGGATGTTCCATTATTGGAGTTATTCCTATCTATGATTTCCTTACACATGGAAGCCTTCCGTTGCCGGCAAACTGCTCTGCTCCTCATTTGTCACACATTGTGTGCTGATTTCTGGCTTTAAGCCTTTTATTTTTCCAAGTGTGCTAAAATCACAGTGGTACTTACAATATCTCTTACTCGTTTTTATTTAACTGTTCATGTTTCCCAGCTAAACTAGAAGTGCACCTGGTCTTTGTTTTCTGTGCCCCTAAACTGGAAGCACATACTATGTACACTGTTAAATACTTGAGAGATTGGTTAGTTGAGAAACTGAATGGTAATTCTATTAGTGTATTCCCTATACTTACCACTTCTTACTTTTATCCATAGGAAGGTTTTCTCCTTGGGGAAGTGAAAGGTGAAGCCAAGAATAGCATTACAGATTCCCAAATGGATGATGTTGAAGTTATTTATACAATAGGTGAGTCACTTATTTCTGTCTCCTATTTTTGTTAGTTTATTCTGAAAGGGATCAACATAAATTACTTTTTAAATTAATTAAAAGAAACAGATACAAAATTTTAAAAGTAGATTTGCCCTCATTTCTCAATTAAAATTATGGCCGTGGCCTAGTCTAAAGCAGGAAACAGTATGGGACATAAGAAGATTAAAATTACTATGGGGGCCCTAGCTAGTTTGGCTCAGTGATTAGAGTGTCAGCCCATGGACCAGAGAGTCTCCGGTTCGATTCCTGGTCAAGGGCATGTACCTGGGTTGTAGGTTCAATCCCTGGCCCTGGTCAGGGTTGTGTGGGAGGCAACCAATCAGTGTGTCTTTCTCACATCAATATTTCTCTCTCTCTCTCTCTCTTTCTCTCTCTCTCTCCCCTTCCCTCCCTCCCTTTCACTCTCTCTAAAACTCGATGGAAAAAATAGCCTCTGGTGAGGATTAAAAAAAAAAGATTACTGTGGGGAAGTGAATGGCAGGAAGATGGCCCAACAAAAGGAGAAGGAACCAATAAGCAAAACCAAGAAAAAAGATTAAAGTTTGGACAAAAATGTTAAATACTACAGAAAAGTTGGAAGATGGAACTGACAAAACTCAAGTGACTACAGAATTTAAAAACCTTATGTAATTTCTGGAGTGTGATGGGGAAAAGACCAGACTGCAAGGGCTTGAGGAGTGAGTGGCGAAGCAGCTGTAGCTGGTGGCGGCTGTTCTTTCAGAGGAAGGAAAAGAAAAACAGAGCTTTAAAGTATATAGGGAGTTTTCTGATTAACACATAGTTTTTTTCTGATCATATTTTTTAAAACAAAATTGTTGGTGTACTTTATAAAAAAATTGGCATCATGACATCATTGTGTTACAACCATTTTTCCATGTTAAATTATCTAAATATCATTTTATATAACTGCATTGTATTCTCTATGGCCTTACTGTTCCGGCTCTATGTAATTTCAGCAGTCCTTTAAGTAAGTGAATTATAATCAGAGTTATTTCCACATTTTTATTATCATAAGTTATACTACAATGAACATCTTTGTATAGATATTTTCCTGGGAATGTGATTATAATGTCAAAGGGTATGAACATTTTTAAGGTTCTTGATCTGTACTTGCAAATTGCTTTCCAGAAAGATACCAGTTTATATTCACACTATTCGTGTTATTTTTTTTTTTTTTAATCCTCACCCAAGGATATTTTTCTATTTATCTTCATATAGAGTGGGAGGGGGAGAGAGAGAGAAACATCAACCTGAGAGGGACACATCGACTGGTTGCCTCCTGCACAACCCTGACCAGGGCTGGGAATGAACCGCATCCCAGGTATGCGCCCTTGACCAGAATCTAACTTGTGACTCATTGGTTCCTGGGCCAACACTAACTGCTGAGCCAAACAGGCCAGGCCTATTCATGTTATTTTTTGTTTGCTACTTTAAAAGGTAAAAAATGTAAGTACATATATGTAAATTTACATATGTATAAAAATGTATATATGTGTAAAGTAAACATATAAGGTAAATTTAAACTCACTCTCAGTCTCCTCTGTGGCAACCACTGTTGGTTTCATGAGTGTTATTTTTACTCATCAACAATAAGCATAATACACACATATATGCATATATGTTTTTCGTTACACAAATGGGATTATTCTATACATAGATAAAGGTGTCATTAGTCCAGAACAGTATTAATGTGTATAGTTTGTCATTCTTTTTCATGGCTGCAGAGTCCCATTATATGGACATACCATGATTTATTTAAACTGCTATGAATAACTTTCTATTTTTTAAATTCAAAACAATAAAATAATAGAAATTTTATTGTGCATATATATATCTTTGTGCCTTTGACTATATCTGAAAGTTAAATTCCTAGAAGTAGACCATTGCCTTTTGGAAAAGTCATACCATCTTAGACTCCTCAATATGTAAAAGTACCTGGATCCCCATAATCTTGCCGCCATGAGTTGTTATCAAGTCTTTTCATCTTTGCCAATTTGATAATTTAAAAAAAAATTATTTTAATTTGCATTTCTTAATTACAAATGAGGTTAAGGGCCTATGTATTTGACCATTTTGGGGGTGCCTTTTTTTTTATTTGTCATGTTGCCCAAAGTATCTAACATTTTGAGGACTTTAGCAACCATTTATTGAGCAACTCCATGTGCTAGGAACAGTGCTTAGCTCTAAGGTTTCAGGCAAGTGCTATAGAAACACTTAGATATTTGCTCAAATTATTTTAAAATGTTAGATCACTTTATTAAGACACATGATAACAGATAAAATCCAAGATCTACAAATTACTACATTGCTTTGGTTAATGAGATTTTCATTTTATATATTCCCTTATCTACATCAGAGAATGTTTTGCTGTTATTTACAAAGACTGTTTCTACTCAGTGTTTTTTCATACAGAAGGATTTATCTGAGGGTAGTATACATTTGCTAGAAGAAAAATATCTAAAGAGGATGATCACTTTTCCTATTTAGATTTATTTCTATTAACAAAAGAATTAAAACTTGCCTCTTAAAAGGTGTTTGGTTTTATGCTGGCCAGTGTGACTCAGTTGGTTAGAGCATCATCCTGAGCACCAAACAGTCAAGGGTTTGATTCCTGGTCAAGGGTACATGTCTGGGTTCCAGGTTCAATACCCGCCCTGGTCGGGTTACATGCGGGAGGCAACCAATTGATGTGTACCTCTCACATCTGTGTTCTCTCTGTCTCCCTTCCTCCTTCCTTTCCACTCTCTAAAAATTAATGGAAAAAAATATTCTCAGGTGAGGATTCAAAAAAAAATGTTGGTTTTGCCCTGGCTGGTGTGGCTCAGTTTGTTACAGCGTCATCCCATGCACCAAAGAGCTGTGAGTTCAATTCCAGTGAGTGCAGACACCCAGATTACAGGTTCGACTCCTAGTCAGGGCTCCTACAGGAGGCAACAGATCGATGTTTCTCTCTCTCTCCTTTTCTCTCTCTGTACAAGCAATAAAAAACATATTGTCAGGTAAAGGTTTTTTTATAATGTCTTGTTTTTTTTGTTAATCCTCACTGAGAATATTTTTTTAGTGATTTTCAGATAGAGCAGAAGGGAGGGAGGGAGAGAGAGTGAATGAGAAACAGTGATGTGAGAGAGACACATCGATTGGTTGCCTCCTGCACGACCCCGACTAGGGCTGGGGATCGAACCTGCAACCCAGGTACTGCCCTTAACTGGGAATCAAACTCAGGACCCCTATGCTCTAACCTAACAGCTAAGCCAAACTGATCAGGGCAGATGTTTGTTTTTACTTTATATATTTATTTATTATTATTTTTTTTTAATTATTTTTATTAATTTTTGTTACAGATGTTTCTCCTTTTTCTCCCATTGACACCCTCCTCCCCATCCCCCCCACCCCATCCCCAGCTTTGTTGTCTATGTCCATTGGTTATGCATACATGCATATAAGTTCTGTGGTTTATCTCTTCCCCCCCAACATCCCCTCTTCTGAGGTTTGTCAGTCTGTACCTACCTCTGTGTCTCTGGGTCAGTTTTGTACATCAGTTTAGTTCATTATGTTCCACAAATAAGTGAGATCATGTGATATTTGCCTTTCTCTGCTTGGCTTGTTTCGCTTAGCATAATACTCTCCAGGTCCCTCCATGTCATCTCAAAGGATAAGAGATCTTTCTTTCTTACAGCTGCATAGTATTCCATTGTGTACATGTATCACAGCTTTTTTATCCACCCGTCTACTGTTTTTTCTTGATAGTGAAACAACTACTTCAAAAGAAAATCCTATTAGTTGTTTTGATAAATTGGGTAAAATTAGAGCATAACCCTTTTTAGAATTCAAAGAAAATATAGAAGCTTTCAATTTATCTTTTGTGTTATCCTTACTAACATATTTAGAAGGAATATACCACTCTAGTTAGGAGGGAGGCTCTTTGAATGTGGGCCCTACCACTTAGACCCTCTGCCTGTTGCCTTACTTTTAAAATGGAAGGAATGATAACCTCTGTCTCATAGGTTTCTTGTGAGGTTTAAATGAGACAATGGTAAAGTACTTCCTGCATGAGATGTTCAACGTATGTTATTTGAATGACAATGTAATCATAACTAAAAATTCTTTTTTCCAGACATTCAGAAATATATTCCATGCTATCAGCTTTTTAGGTAAGTAGTAAGAGCAAATATAAATGATCCACTGTGAAAATTACTCTCTACAAGTGAAGTAAATTTTAAAACTAACAAAGTGAAAGAAGAGGGAACACCTGTAATACTTTCAACAATAAAGATTTAAAAAAAGAAAAGAAAAAAATATAAAACTAACGAAGTATTTTTGTTATACATAGTGGTACTAATTAAAATGAAAGACTTTTGCCCTGGCTTGTGTTGCTCAGCGGTTAGAGCGTCGGCCCGCAGACCAAAGAGTCTTGGGTTCGATTCCAGTCAAGGGCACTCTGTTGTGGTTTGTCCCCAGCCCTGGCTAGGGTCACACGGGAGGCAGCCAATCAATGTGTCTCTGGTCATATCAATGTTTCTCTCTCTCTCTGTGTGTTTCCCTCACACTCTATCTGAAGATAAGTGGAAAAATACCCTCAGGTGAGGATTAAAAAAAAAATGAAAAGACTTTTTTAAAAATACATGAAAATGTACTTGGTCATTTCAACTCTGTTTAATAAGTCATTCTGTTTAATAGGTCATTCTGTGTATTTATGTTTGTTTTAGCTGGTCTCCACTGCCTCTCCCAGTTACCAGTTTACCTTGAGGATTGCTTTTGCTTCTCATACCCATTCACCTCATTGCATTATTATAAACTCAGTGATACATTCTCATGCAACCTTTTTTTTTCTACTCTTTTATTCTAGTTTATCATTTATTTCCTCACTTAACTGTAATTTTTAATGTTACCTTTGTCAGTTAACCAGTTAGGTTCTTTAACCTGCTTCCTTTTGCTTTTCTAGGGTAAAAACTTCTGCTGTTAGTCCTACAGACAGTAGTAGTACTATTAGCCCTAATATAGGCTATGGTATTTTTAAAAACTATTTATTGCCCTGGCTGGTTTGGGCTCAGTGGCTGGAGTGTGGGCCTGTGGACCAAAGGGTCTCGGGTTCAATTCCTGGCTCCAGTCGGGATCGTGCAGGAGGCAACCAATCGATGTATCTCTCTTGCATTGATGTTTCTCTCATTCCTCTCTCCCTCCTTTCTACTCTCTCCAAAAAAAAAAAAAAAAATCAATGGAAAAGTATGATTGGGTGAGGATCAACCAAAAAAAAACTTTTTATAGAGGTATTCTTACACACGCATAGAGAAGTACACAAATGAATGACTTTTCATAAAGCAAACACCTATAACCACAAATGGTGTAGTTTTAATGAAATAGCTTTATGATTTATATAAACTGTATATGAAAAATCAGCATTATTGCCCAGCTGGTGTGGCTCAGTGGATTGAGCATCGTACCATGCATCAAAAGGTCACTGGTTTGATTCCGGCCACGGCACATGCCTGGGGTCGCAGGCTTAATTCCCAGTGTGGGACGTGCAGGAGGCAGCCAATCAGTAGTTCTCTCTCATTGATATTTCTATCTCTTTCTCTCTCTCTCTCTCTCTCTAAAATCAATAAAAACATATTTATAAAAAAAAAATCAGCATTGTTATCTCACAGTCACACTTAGTGATGTACACATCACTAAGGTTGTGTAAGAGTTGCAGTGGAGCATATGGTTAAGGTAAGAAAGATTTATGGTAGGGGATGATAGAAATAAAGGCTTAGTATAGTCGTAAACTGCTGTACCAAAAAGAGGTACAGCTCCTATAGTGCCTTCTGAACAATGGACATACAAAAATATTTGTTAAATACTAAGGGATTCTTGGTGGAGACTCATAAAAAGTACATTCTTGAGGGCCAGCAAAGGATTAAGAAGGGAGAGTCAAAGTGATGTAATATCTTCTGGTGACTACCTTAATTAGATAAACCGAATAGTCTTAGAGCCGAGGAAACCATCTAATCCAGTGATGAGAAACCTGTTTCAACCTTTTAGCTTTAAAGACTAAGGGGGTGGATGGTGGGGGTGGGGAGGGCATAAGGAGAACCACCTGAAATCACTCTCATTCAAAAAAGTTTACTACACATTTCATTTTCCCTTAACAACAAAATAATAGGCCTAAAAAGTTCATGATGTAACCAATGCCATGAACTGGTTAATGGCAGGGCAAAAACTAAAAGAATCGGTATTTCTTGAGTTACAGTCTAATATCATACCACACTGTTTCTTCCTTGTTCTAAATAATATAGGTGAACATGTTAAAAACAATCTTCTGATACCATACTTCTTGGAGTATGAATTGCATAAGATTTAACACCCAGTTTTATGTTCTGTTACATAACCTGGGCAACAAAGTTATGGCACCCTGGCTTATTTTTATATGAAATTCTATCTACAAATAGTTACTATATTAAGGGTTGTTTAAAAAAAAGAAGAAATGGAAGAATATGCAACAGCGATTATGTGTCCAGCAAAGCCTAAAATATTTCCTGTCTGGCACTTTACAGAAAAAGTTTACCAACCCTGCTCTAATAGCTTCTCAAAGTTTTTCTCTGAAATATACTGATTCACTTACCTCAGGAATCTGGGAGAAGTCCTGGAAAAAAGGCCATTGAAGCCTAAAACTTAGTCATTAAAACAAAAAAATTACAGAATTTAACAAATTCTGCACAATACAGGATGGAGCAAAGTCGGTTTACATTGTTCGTATGGAAAATAATAAAATAAATAATACAAGAATAAACTGTTTCACATACAACTGTAAACCTACTTTTGTCCCACCTTGTATATCTGTTTCTGTTTTAAAGTACCCCCTTCCCAGAAACATCACATAAAGTCAATGCTTGCACATACAAGATGTGCATCATTATCCTATCGTTTCTTCTATACCCTGTTTATTGCCTTATGTCCTACTTTGAGAAGCTCAGAAGTGGACCACCCTAGAGAAATACAGGAATAAACTCTTTTATTTAGAGTGTTCATTGTTGGGATAATAAATAGTAAAATAGAAGGAGCTGTTTGATCAACTGAATATCCCCCTTAGGTAGGTGGAACACTTTGTCTATTTTCCCATTTAAAATTTTTAATGTAAGCCTTTTGTAAGTTAGAAAGAAAAAATATTTTGCCCATTAGGATATATCTTCGGTTCTATCCAACTTAATCTTTAGTGTACAGATTAGAATTGCCATCAAAAGCCTATTACATTGACTATTATTTATAAAGGATTTTGTGTAACATATTGCACCATCATAGAAAAGAATATTGTTTATCTCAATGAATGTTAATAAGGAGGAAAGTATTATTTGCATTCCCTGTTATTGGAAGGGAAAGAAAGCTGAAAGTAAACTCTTTAGAATCTTTCAGAATTATCTTTTAATTCTCCCTACATCTCTAACTTTTCAGCTACAGAACAAAGACCACTAAACTAAACCAGTACCTATTCTTTTGCTGGCCCCCAACAAAAACCCAAAACCAACCAACTCCTAAAACATATCTCTTAATTTAATGCAAGTATTGCCTTTGGAATTAACAATGAATAAATTGTCTTTTTATTATTGTGCTTCAATACTCATTTTACATATTTTTTTGTATGTATCAATATTTTCTTTTAAGTTTTAATAAGTAAATTATGAATGAATTTTGAACTGGCTATGTGAATTTAAAATTCCTGTATTTAATGAATAGTTTGTTTTGTTTTAAAATAAAAGTGGATGCCCAAACTCATCTCTTGAAGTTTCTCCACTTTTCATTTTTCATTGCTTATGGACCTCATATTTCTACCACTTTAAGTCTGTTACTTTGAGAACTTTCTCTACTATTTATTTTAGAACTTTATCTGACAGGCAGGTAGGTATATGGATTTTGGTTGGATAGTTAGGATAGGAGTAACTAAAATTAAAGGTGCTAATAAAATCATTCATATTTTTAGCTTATTTGAAATGCCTTTAATTTTGGCTTTTACAGCTTTTACAATTCTTCTGGTGAATTAAATGAGCAAGCTCTGAAGAAAATACTATCAAGTGTGAAAAAGGTATTCCATGATTTACCTTATCTTTTTTATTGTAGTATTCTTGTCAATTTCTAAAAACGTGTAATATTGCCCTGGCTGGTTTGGCACAGCAGTTAGAGCATCAGCCCCCAAACCAAAGAGTCTCAGGTTCAATTTTGGTCAAGGGCACGTCCTTCGGTTGCAGTTCAATCCCAGCTCTGGTTGGGGTCCTGTGGGAGACAACCAATTGATGTCAGTGTTTCTCTCCCTCCCTCCCTCCCTCCCTCCTTTCCACTCTCTGAAAAGTAGCGGAAAAGTATCCTCAGGTGAGGATTAAAAAACAAAAAACGTTTAATACTTTGACAGAACTTTTAAGCAGCATATATATGTCTTAATGATGTCCTATAAAGCAGGTAAGGCTTGTTCTTTCCAGAAATTTAAAGGGGCTGCTCTGAAAGCAAAAGTCATTAAAAGAATTAATCTTGTTTTCATCCTTCCATTGACCATTCTAATGAACATTGATCATGAACTTTATCCGTTACTGTTTTCACATGGCCAGTTACTAGTTTTTATAGTGCAGGGATGATTTCCTATACAGCACCTAATTTGAATCCTCCACAGCATTCTTGTTGTTCAGTTAAAACTTGTGGAATAGTCATAACAGATTTTTTTTTCCCCAAAACCAAAATTTTTCCTGGGCACTATTTTCCTCTTAAAACTTTTTAATCTCTGAGTTCAGAATAAAAGATTCAATAGAAGTTTCTTTCAAAAAAATCCTTTGTTGAAAATACTTGGGCTTTTCCTCCAATTATATTTGGGTATTTAAAAAATGTACCTGTAAAAAATGTTTTAGTTTTGCCCTGGCCAGTTTGGCTCAGCGGTTAGAGCGTCAGCCTGCGGTCCAGAGAGGCCCAGGTTCGGTTCCCGCTAAGGGCACCTACCTTGGTTGTAGTTTGTTCCCGGCCCTGGTTGGGCCGTGCAGGAGGCAGCCACTTGATGCGTCCCTTTCACATTGATATTTCTCTCTCTCTCTCCCTCTCTTCCTCTCTCTCCCTCCCACTCTGTCTGAACAAAAAATGGAAAAATGCCCTCTGGTGAGGATAAAAAAGAAAAAAATGTTTTAGTTTTAAAACGAAACCATTTTACTTTCCTCAAAACTTAGTTGCTGAAACTGTCACAGACAGATCTCTAAAGCAAAGTGGTTTGTTCTTTTTTATAATTACTAAGTTTACAGCAAATGAAATTTATTTTTCCAGTTTAAAAAATAAAGGTTTAGTAATACTAATAACACATTTCTTTAACATGTTACAATTTACAAAATCTCTTCACATGATCTTATTCAATCTTGAAACCAACTCTGTGGTGTAGGTAATTATCATTCCCATATAAATTTGTTTTAAAAGCTATTGGGTTCAGCTTACTTATTTAGCAAGCCAAGTATCCATATAGGAAATTAACTTGTTTTCATTGACATTTTCTTAATTTAAATTTTGACTAAAGATTAAGATTTTAAGATAGCAAATGCCATAAAAGAAGTTAATCTTTTTTTTTTTTTTTTTTATCCTCACCCGAGGACATTTTTTCATTTTTTGTTCAGGTAGAGTGGGAGGGAGAGAGAGGAACAGAGAGAGGGAGAGAAACATCGCTGTGAAAGGAACACATCGAGTGGCTGCCACCCGCACAACCGACCAAGGCCGGGGACAAACTGCATCCGAGGTACGCGCCCTTAGCGGGAACCGAACCTGGGTCTCTTCGGACCGCAGGCCGACGCTCTAACCGCTGAGCCAAACTGGCCAGGGCCTCTTTTTTTCTTCCTCTAATCTGCATTGAATAAAATTTAGCCCTAAAACTGAATGGAAAGTAATTTAACTGCAAGACGGTTTGCATATTTTACAAAGTGTAAAGTATACATTTAAATGTATGTTTTGTTTACATATGCCCCAAATCTTGCTAACTATGAAGAAAGCCATATTTAAGGCTGTCAATTTTGCTTAATTGTGATAGTTAAGACACATGATAATTATAATCATTAAGGTATACACCTGATTTTTTAAAAAATACGTTTTTATTGATTTTACAGGGAGAGGGAGAGAGAGAAACATTGATGTAAGAGAGAAACATCAATCAGTTGCCTCCCATATGCACCCCGACCAGGGATCAAACCTGCAACCCGGGCCCTGGCCGGTTTGGCTCAGTGGTTAGAGCATCGGCCTGTGGTCCAGAGAGACCCGGGTTCGGTTCCCACTAAGGGCATGTACCACGGTTGCAGTTTGTCCCCGGCCCTGGTTGGGTTGTGTGGGTGGCAACCACTCGATGTGTCCCTTTCACGTCGATGTTGCTCTCTCTCTTCCTCTTTCTCCCTCCAACTCTATCTGAACAAAAAAATGGAAAAATATCCTTAGGTGAGGATGAAAAAAACAACAACAAAAAACCCTGCAACCTGGGTTATGTGCCCTGACCAGGAATCGAACCGGTGACCTTTCTGTGCATGGGACAACGCTCAACCAACTGAGCCACACCGGCCAAGGCCACCTGATATTTTTTTCTATATTTTCTTTCAGGATGTGGTAGGTTGGTACAAATTCCGACGCCATTCAGACCAGATCATGACATTTAGAGAAAGACTACTTCACAAAAACTTACAGCAGCATCTTTCAAGCCGGGAACTTGTTTTTCTGCTATTAACACCGAGTATTATAACAGAAAGCTGCTCTACTCATCGGCTGGAGCATGCCTTATATAAACCTCAGAAAGGGTAAATGTTGGCCAGTCACTGGCTACTATCCTCAGCTAATAGAAAAATATACCCAATATTTTTATAGCACTTTGTGTGGCTTACCAAGTATTTTCAGACATTGTTGCATTAGACTGTCATAATAATGCTCTGAAGTCTCTCTTACCATCTGTTCTTTATAGATGGGAAAATGAAGGTCGGATAAGGAAAATAGAAGCCCAGTATAGAATGCTGACTTATGTTTCTGGCAATGAGTGTTTGCTATTATTTAACATAAGGTGGAAAAAAAATGTGTGTTTTAGATATTGGTTGCTAAAGGATACAATGTAGAACTGAAACCTAGGTACTTGAGCAGCTTTTCTATAACCTCTGCAAGGAACCAAGGTAGTTCTTGGTGATCTACCAAAATGATTTAATAGGGACTCTCAAAGGCTGTATAAACATCATTTTCATGGAATATGATAATTAAGTTAAAAGAGTACCAACTAAGGTTAATTTTATTATTCATGGAAGACAGGCTAGATCTCAACAATACAGCCTTATTTTCATATGTGCTAATCAGTTAAAACAGCCTTAAAAGTATTTTTAATGTAATTATCTTACACTGTGTACAGTTCACACCTTTTAAAAGCCTTGTACCTCCAGTCAATAAATTCTGTCTTCGGTAAGTAGTAAGGAATGGGTTTTGGTTTTTAATCTTGTGGGGGTAAGGTAATCTATACTAATAAGTTGATGCTAATCTTTCACTTTATTCTAAGTTTATATTTAAAATTTTTATTTCCTCAGACTTTTTCATAGGATACCTTTAGTGGTGGCCAACCTGGGCATGTCTGAACAACTAGGTTATAAAACTGTATCAGGTTCCTGTACGTCCACTGGTTTTAGCCGAGCAGTGAAAACACACAGGTGAGATTCTTCAGTTGCTTTCTCACTAAACTTATTCCTGTTCATTTACTAAAATTAATTTCTTAATTACAAAACAGCAGAATAAAAATAAAAGGAAAATTGACCAATGACCACATCAGTCAAATAAACTAGACTGTTTTTATTTTGTCTGTATTTCCTTCTAGCACTTGTCCATTTATAAAATACATAGAGGGGGGTTGTTGCATATTTTAACATATTTTCTTTTTTAAGCCTCACCCAAGGATATTTTACCATTTATCTTCAGATAGAGTAGGGGCAGAGGGGAGAGAGACATTGATTTGAGAAAGACACATCAACTGGTTGCCTCCTGCATGACTCCGACCAGGGCTGGGGACCGAACCACAACCGAGGTACGTGCTCTTGACCAGATTGAACCCTGGGCTCTTTGGTCCGCAGGGCAACATATTTTCTAAGAATAAGTACCTGGCCTCAAAATAATAATTTTTTAAGGCATCAGTTCAGATTAAAGGCATGAAATTAGACTAGGTAATAAAGACAAAATGAGGCTTTAGCCAAGATTCCTGCATACTATAGGCTGCTAAGTTATAACTTTTTTTGTGGTATTTAAAGGAATAATTGTCAGAAATAACAACACTGGTTTTATAGGATACTTTCTGGACTATAAACTTTATGAGAAAAGGCACTAGGTTTTACTTATTTTTGTGTTCCCACAGTACTTAATCAGTGTCTTAAAGAAACTAAATAACCCATTTCATTGATTTTAAGATGTACAGTTTTAAGTTTACCTCAATTGGGATGTTTTACAAACCTTGTCTTAGCATTTTTTTTCTTCGTGGTATATAAAATGTTGCCTCGCCCTGGCCAGCTTGGCTCAGCATTTAGAGCGTCGGCCCACAGACAGAGTTGCGGGTTTTATTCTGGTCAAGGGCATGTACCTTGGTTTCGGTTTGAGCCCTAGCTGGGGTTGGGACTGTGCGGGAGGCAACCAATCGATGTCTCTCTCATATCAATGTTTCTCACTCCTTTCTCTCTCTCCCCCCCACCCCCATCCCCCACTTCCACTCTATCTGAAGATAAACATAAAAACATTCTTGGGTGAGGATTAAAATAGTAACAATTAAAAAAATAAAACAATGTTGCCTCCTTCAACCAATGATGCCTTAAAATCAGTAAGATATGTGATTCTTCAGTAGCTCAACTACAGATAAGTTTTTCATCGTTTCATTAAATGAGTTCTGTACATTTGCCTGAGGATATGGTAATTTCTTACAGCCCTGAATTTTTTAAAGAAGATGGATCTTTAAAGGAAGTACACAAGATAAATGAAATGTATGCTTCTTTACAAGAGGAATTAAAGGTAAGTTAACTTGTCTAACATCTAAAGACCACTTCTAGAGTTCATATCAAATTGATCACTAACATTTTTTAGGGATAACCTGACTTTGGATTAGATTTATATTTATTTTAGTTTAGTTTAGTTTCAGTAACAGAGACATCAATCTCAGTGGTCTACAAATACACAGGTTTTGTCTCACTCACTTTATGTCTTGGTTGCAACTCTGCCTCTGTTCTGAATGTCACCTCCATTCTAGGACCAGACTGAAGGAGCAGCCCTTAGGCGAAACATGCTTCTTATGACAAAATGAAAAAAGCAAGAGAGCTAGTGGAAATTCACAACAGCTCTTTTTTATTGTTGATAATCCTCACCTGAGGATCTTTTTCCACTGATTTTTAGAGAGAGTCGAAGGGAAGGAGGGAGGGAGAGAGAAACATCGATATGGGAGAGACACATCAACTGGCTGCCTCCCACACAACCCTGACCAGGGCTGGAGACCAAACCACAACCAAGGTACATGCATGCCCTTGACCGGAGTCGAACCCCCAACTCTTTGGTCCGCAGGCCAACGCTCTAACTGCTGAGCCAAACCAGCAAGGGCTCACAAGTCTTAAAACAGCTCAGAGCTGGCTCGCCTTTTCCCCTCATATTTCACTGGTCAGAGGATATCACATGACAATAGGCAGGGACATATGATCCTTTTATAGGATAAAAAGGAAACTAAACAATCTACCACACTCTTAGTTCTTATCTTGTTTTGGCAGTTCAGGTCCTTAGAGAAGTAAACATCAAGGTGGAATTAGACAAGCAAGAGATTTATTGGGCCTGAGAAAGATAAAGGGGAGGGTACATCTGAAAAAGGAGCCAGAGAAAGGAAATTGGGTAGGAAAAGCTTTAAGACTGCAAGATCATAAAAGTTTCAGCCAGGCAAAGCTGTCCTATAGGAATGGACTGGTAATAATACCCCCAATGCTTAGTCATTGACTAAGAGCAGCCTAGGGAAAGCCTGGCCTAAGCATAGACAGAGTAGTGGACCCAAAGTATGGCAGCTATGCTGCCAGTCAACTATGCTGCCAGTCAACTATGCCTCCTCTAAATGGAGATCTGAGTAGTATATTTCCATGGCCACTATACTCAATATAGCACACTAAGAGAAATGGCCTTAATACATTTTACACACTACTAATATGAATAATACAGGAATTTTAGAAAACAGAAAAACATCCAGAATCCCACCACCATTAACTATTTTCACTTTGTCATATTCTGCAGTTTCCTCCTAAAGTATACCTGCTTTTATATAGTTGACAGTGATAGAGGCACATAAATATGTCGTGATTTTTGATATATCATTAAACATTTTATGTATTGCTACATATTCTATTGTTCTTTTTAATGGCAGTATATTTCATAGAGTAGAACTCTTAGGTTAAAAGTACCAACTTGGGCTAAAATAGGGAATGTGGAGAAGTGTGTTACAGGAACTGTAGGCAGAAAGCAGCTGAGTTTCAGGAAGAAATTGGAACCAGGAGCTAGAGTGCCATCACAACTCTCTCCCTGTGTGTCTGCACATAGGTTTCCTTCGTAGTATCTACAGGTCTTTCTGTTTATTGGCTGACCAGAGAGTGGCTAACCTCCAGCTGCATTTAGATCTCTTCTGTTCAAGAGATTAGCGTTTGCTGGTTTGTTAGTTAATGTCTCTCCTTGGATAGGCTAGGGTAAAGTTGGTGAAGGGGTTATTGGTGAACTCATGGCAGAGTGAACAAGTGTGGGATAAATAGGCTGAGCAGATATCTTAGAAAGTATCCATTAAAACTGGCTATAACAACCTATAATTGGAAAGCAGTTACTCTTTATATTATACATAAGAAACACCATCATATATATATGTGTGTGTGTGTATATATATATATATACACACTAAGATATATTCCCAAAATGAAATCAGAGTCAAAGGGTATTAGTACTTCAAACTGATGACACATGAGGCTAGTCTGCTTTTCAAAAGTAGTTTCTTGGGGGGTGGGGGGCAAAGGGGGAAAATAGGAGCCATCTGTAATAGTAGTAACAGTTTTTTTTAACAAGTAGTTTCTTTCACAGGAATTATAAAATTCCTGTATGAAAATTCTTTCATAACAGTAAAATACAGTCACTTTTCTTTAATGTTAAATGTTTGCGGTAACTATGCACCTCTCAAAATAATACAGTATTTTTGTTTTTCATTTCTGTGTATTATCAAGGAAATTACCAGTATGATAAAGCTATTGTATAAATGGGAAGTTAATGCATCTGGAAAACATTTGATATCTATAAAGCACAATACAAGTGCTTGTTGTTGAGTTCCTCCAAAAAATAGCAAAATTAAATTTTTATAAAAGCAAATATTTGATATTATGTACCATGAAGGATTTTATATTATTTGTGAACCTAGACTATAGTACATAACTTGGAACTTTATCTATACCCCTAAATTATTTTATTTTGCAGAGTATTTGCAAAAAAGTAGAACAGAGTGAGGAAGCAGTAGAGAAACTACTAAAGGATGTAAACAGATTAAAACAAGAAATTAAAAAACGAAAACAAGCACAGATTCAAGCAGAACGTGAGTAAAAAGTTTACACATCACTACTTTCTGTGCCTAAAAAAATATATATATTCTGGTTGAACTATGGATGAGCTAGCTGCACTAATGAATTTGTCCACCTTAAAAGTAATTGCTTTGTTAATACTCTTAAATCCCACTGAACAAAGAACAGGGTACTATTATAGCTATATTCTATTGTTGATATTAAATAATTTAATTATAATGTTCTCTTAGAATATTATGGCATATGGGAATTTGGAATTATGCAAGTCATTTTTCTCAGTTTAGATAATTTGATAAAATTCTTAAAGTGTTTTAGACTCAACTTTACTAACACAGATGATTATAAAACCTTTGTAGAACAACTACTGTATGTTGAACTATTATTTTATTTTGTTTAGGAGAGAAGACTGTCCAAAAAGACCCTCAAGAAAACATTTTTCTTTGTCAAGCTTTACGGACCTTTTTTCCAGATTGTGAATTTCTTCACTCATGTGTTATCTCCTTAAAAAACAGACATATTTCTAAAAGTAGCTGTAATACCAACCATCAACTCAGTGTGGTAGACAACCTGACCTTAATGGTAGAATACACTGACATTCCTGAAGATAGTCCAGCTAGTAGTGCACGGCAAATGAAGAAGCGTAAAGCTTTAGATACAGATGACAGATGGCAATTCAAGAAGTCACGGCTGTTAGAGATACATAACAGACCCTCTAAAACAGATACTGATAGTAGTAACCAAGAAAAAGCATCTACGAGCAGTCCTGAAACAGATGAGGATATTGAGAAAATGAAGGATTCTGATGAATATCCACAGTCTCCTACATTTTGATCTTTCTAGGCAAGAAGATTTTTGATTGGCTGAGGGTAAAGCCAAATATTTTTATTGTTTTTGCTATATCTGGCTGCTTTTAGTAATATATAAAAAACTTGTACAGCATTCTTTATAATTGGGAGAGACTACCCTTATTTTCACAATAGAAGGAAGTCTAAAGTTAATATGAAAATTTAATTTTTTCTAGGTCACAATTCCTGCTCAAGTTGTAAGTAGTAAATTATGACTAGGGTTGCCAGATAAAGTGCTGGACACCATACAATTAGGGACATACTTATATTTAAAAATTATTCACTGTTTATCCGGAATTCAGATTTAATTGTATGTCCTGTATTTGTATTTGCTAAATCTGGCAGTTCTAAATATGGCACGACTATAAATGCAGCACAAATTGTTTGGTTTCTTTAAAGTGAAGTACAAAATGCTACTAAGATTTTTCATTTCACAGCAACTTCTCATTCCCAATCTTACTCGGTTGTCTTAACCACACCTAATTTGACAACTGTTTTTTAAAGCTATTTTTATTATCCTTTCAAAGCATTTACTTAGCATTTTTTGCAACAGTAACTTTCTTTTTACTGCTCATTTTTCATCGGTAGAATAACAAATAACACTAACAGGTATGGGAACAAAATAGCTAAGTCTTGGCAATGCAGAACTCAACAGGTAGGAGTCATGGGCTTCAGTAAGATTTTTAGGAAGAATGTTTAATCTAGTTTAACCCAGTTTAATCTAGTGAGTTGGTTAAGTGGAGGTTGGCTGAGAGCTTTTGCTGTTTTTTATATTTGTCTTTTTCATAATTGTGAGAATTTTCCATGAAGCATACACATCATATGAAACCTTCATGTTTCACTACTCACTGGATGAAATGCTGAACACACACTTTGACCACTGCTCTTCTCTATGTCACTTCCTAATAGAGCAAATTCATAGCTGGTATCAAAAATCATCATCTTTTATGTGTTAACATGCATTAGTTTCCATGGGGAACTTATGAAAGTCCACATAATACTAGGGATGATTTTGCAAATAATTTCTTCTGGGATTGTTATACTGGTTACACAAGAAGCACTGTAGTGTTACAGAGGGCAGAATGAGGGGAAATAGGTTGTCAGTCTGAACCCTATTTAAAAATAACCACAACCATCACCAGAGCATATAGAACATAGATAATGACTAAATGTAACCAACAAATGAACAAAACTGGGTACATGGGGGCCATACTAGGTAGTGGCAACAAGGAGCCAAGATACATGCAAATGTATTCTCTGGATAATAGCTTGAGGTTTTTCAAAGATTCTACATGTTTACTCAGACTGAAATCTAATTGTGCCTTCATGAAAGTTCCATTTGCTAAAATGCGATACAGTCATTCCTCGTTTATTGCAGTTAAGCCGTTCCAGACTCTAGCGGTTACACCTGGCATTGAAGGATTCCTGGGGCTCGAATACACAGGCCTACAGCCCATACGTACAGCAATTTTAATTGTAATTGTAATACAAGTGTGTATAATCGACTCAGACAACCAAGCGCGCGCTGTATCATTTTCAGTCTCGATCAATTTTTTAATGAATATATTTGGAAAAACTGCGATAGAATGAAGCTGTGCAAGTTGAAGCGTGAAGTGGCAAGGGATGACTGTATATGTACAAAAGTATTAGGTTATACTGTTGCACAACAATTCATCTCCTTTGAAGAAAGCCCTACTGAACTTTCAATCAGAGAAACTTGCTCAGGTCATTAATTAGTACACAGCTGAACTTCCACAATTGAGTTTGATGACCCAACTTTCAGCATATTTAATGAAAAGGAGGAAAAGAATATAGGAAAAATTTCCCTGATTTCCATCTTTTGGCAATGAGATGACAATACATTGCCTATGGATCCATTTATTTAAAGGACACTACCAGTGTCAGAATAGACTAGTCCAGGAATAAATGTTAGATCCTATGACAGCACCACTATCCATCCAATGTAACATCTCTACAAAGGGAAGATCCACTGCCCTAGCCAGGTACACCTGTATTTGCTAGTTAGAAGAGCTCCCTGAGCAATTTCAGGTCCACACTGTCACAAGGGATTTGTACATTATACAAGCATTCCACTTTTCTGCACCCATATCCCTAGAATTCCACTTACAAGACAGAATCTGGACCTAAAATTCCAATACAAGTCATCTCTTCTGTATTTAATATCCCATTGTCAATGGTCTATTATTGTATAAGCTATTTGTGGACCAGATATTTTTATTCACGTGTATGTAAATGTAGTAAGTGTTAACATTTAAAATAATCTGGTTTTATTTAGTGAACATTTACTGGTATGGATAGGTAAACACCTCACTTCATACCTAAAACTTTTTCTTCATAAAATTTCATATTAAGAGTTAAAATAATTATTGTTAGTGGGAATGATTTATTTTAGCCTAATTTTCTACAGGTTATTAAATATTATAGTTTGAGTCAACAACCATTAATTTTAAAATACTTTATTGATGATAACTTTATATAATTTACTACCGATATTTAATGTTACAAACTTTAGGGTCTTTGAGGTATGCAGGATCCTTGTATGTAACTGGCATAAACCCTGTAAAGAGACAATTAAAGTTCTTCAGAAAAGATAACAGGCAAAATTCGGATAGGCTCAAATCATTTTTACAGATGCTCTTACCCATTATTTGAGCTCTCTTAATTGCTTTTGTGACTTCTTTCTGTTTCTTCCCACAAAGACCTATAAAAGAAAATGCGTTCTTATTCATAAAAAATGCCAATATTCAAAATGCATAACAATTGTCTAGTAAAGGTTGGAAAACCTGTAAAGAGCCAGAGAGTAAATATCTTAAGTTTTGCAGGCTATACAGTCTCTGTTGTAACTTCTCAACTCTACTCTTTTAGCACACAAAGTAACCAGCCACAGACACTATGTAAACTTAGCTTTTAACAAAAATAAATGGCAGACCCAATGTGGCTTATGGGAAATAGGCCCCCTATTTAAATAATCATCTAGGAGTGATTATAGTATACTCCAAAATACCCACACGATTTTTTAAGCCCAAGTTTTCTACATATCAGCTTACAGTTACCTCTGAGTACAGAAGATATGTAAAATGTCTTTTGGACTAAGATGCTTTCTTAAATGCTAAACTTTCTAGTAGTGATTTATAGTACTATTTGAAAATAGAAAATTTGCCAATTTTCTTAAATAACAAAAGTAGATTTATAAGTTGTTATAAGAGAAAACAAAATACCTGTTATGTGCCTTCCATGAATGCATCCAGTAAATGGAGAAATAAACTGGGACAAAAGCTGAGTTTTATTTGGAGAGGAAAATAAATTTTATATTAATACTTTTGTTATTCAACCTTGATTGTGTCAATTTCAAAAAGCATGCCTCATATGTCACCATTATATAAAGGTTTATTAATAAATTTCAGACAAACGTCATAAAATATGAAAGATACTGAATTACACGCATCCTATTAATAAGTCATATTTTTAAGTAACTAAATTATTAATGTTAACATCTCTTATCCAGTTTGTTCAAAAAGTCTGTACAACAGATTAATGAGCATATTCTTCAGTGCTAAAGCTGTTTTCTTGACATTTTTACAGATTCTTTTAGAAAATTCTGCTGCTTACAATAAGTACTAAATGTTTAATTTATCATGATAGGCTGTCACATAATACCAGACTACAGCAAAGTCTTTAAGAGGTACAGATACATTGGGCCATTTGCTGTAATTATGTTTCATTAATTTAAAGTCTTTAGCACTTTCCAGGTGCCAGGCAATGTTCCTGGCACTGTGCATGATCCTCCTAATATGTTACATTTTAAAACTTCTTGGTTTTTCTCCCTATAGAGCAGCTATCATTTTATACTATTGTCAGTATATTTAACTCCAACATCATTCTTTACCCCTTGCCACTTAACTTGCTGAGATAAAATTATACGTGAAGCAGTGATATTGGTGCTGAGGTACAGAGATCAACTTCACCAGAGAAGCTTTTTCCAAACTACTCACCTCCACCAACTGAAAATTACTGCCATAGTGAGCTATTATTAGACTAGAGATACCTTATACTTAAAAATGTATGATTTAAAATTTTGATGTTGCTCAAAGTTGCCCCTCCACAAAGCCTGTTATAAAACTGACTGGATTCTGTTTAGTAATGAAGAAGCAAAATCTTAAAATCAAGTATCATAGTAAAGTAAAACCAGGTCTCACCTGTACATTCTTATAGTCTACACATTTTCCACACAAGATACATTTTTTAAGAGGCTCCTTATAAGGATTTTCCATTGGGATAGGCTAGGATAAAGGAAAAAAATATATATATATGATAATAAAGTTTAATGTGTTCATTTTGAATCTTAAAAAACTAAACCTTAAGGCTATCACATTTAAATCTATCCAAAGAATTAGTTTTGCACTTTTTACTATGAAAAGGAAGAAATACAACATTTTGGCTTGTAAAAGAAAAAAACAAGGACTTCTGAAAAAGATTCACCATTATAAGGATTTCAGTGTATGCTTTTCCATATTTTGTACAAGTTCTTTAGTTTGGTTTAGTTTGGCTAAGGCGGAATTAAGTCATGGAGGATTTTAGCATAAAATATACAATCTTGGGAGAAAAAGGGCTTATGGGAGAAAAAAATCACATATGCGCTAAGTGATTGTCTCCTCAAATGTTTTGCCCAGATTGTAGGTGACTAAAAATTTGTTTTTTGTTTTTCTTATAATCCCCACCGGAGGATCTTTTTCCATTGATTTTTAGATAGAGTGAGAGGGAGGGAGGGAGGGAGGGAGAGAGACACACACACTCGCTGGCTGCCTCCCACATGATCCCAACCAGGGCCAGGGACCGAACCTCCGAAGGAAGTATGTGCCTGAGACTCTTCGTCTGCAGGCTGACACTCTAACTACTGAGCCAAACAAGCCAGGGCTAAAAATTCTTAACTTAGATTTAAATTTTAAAAAGCTTATAACACAACAGATATCAATGTTTAGTATAATCCCTAAATCCATCCCCATATTTCTCTATCAGATGTTTTATCACTATTTTTGTTATAAATAACAATGCTCCCATGGCTTACTATAAGGTCCTTTGGCGAAAACTTTATGGTTCCCAGACTGCTTTATAAGTTTGTGTCAGCCTTTGTTTTTTCTTTCTTCATTACCTCTAATGTTTCTGTCACAAAGCCTCCCTCCTACAATGAGTACAGGCATCTCCAGTCTAGAGATTTTTAATCTAGAAATGGCTTTGAAGTCCTTGAACCCCTCTAGTTGTATGTAAAATTACAAATGAGTGGGACTATGTGCCTTTTTCTGAGAGCCCATAGCTTTCATTAGCATCTCAGTAGGGTTTATAATATAAAAAGGAGCTTTAGTAATTTCCTTTACTGTCTTGAAGTGAATGACCAACATAGATGCTCAGAAGGACTAGAGTTCTTTTGTTTTTTCCAAGACTTAATGCTCTTAATCCAATTTACATTCAGCTCACGTGTAATGACTGACTATATTCCTTCCCTACACTGTACTAAGTGCTTTGTATTGTCTGGTGTCAAATTATCTTTGGAAGAAGAAAACCTATATTGCCCAAGTCTAATCCTAGTACTTAAAACCCATAGAAATACATCTACAAGACAGAAGAAACTGTATTTAATGTCCTGGTATGAAACTTTAATTTTGTCCCTCATTTATAAAGATAGTCGTCGTTGTCCTCCCCCTCCCCCCCCGCCCCAAAGTGATGAATGGAAAAAAAATAGAAATGAATTTGAAATGGGGAAAAAGCCAACCTATAATTAAGCTTTGTAAAATGCCTTTGTTGGATTGTCATTAGTTATTCCATCCACCCAGACCACCTTTTTTCATTCCCAAAGTACTTAAATTTAAGCTCTAGGAAGAAAAATATGGTACTATATAAGCTATGCTTCTTTTTTTTGAAGAGGAAGGGAGAGAGAAAAACACTGATGCTTTGCCTCCGGCACACACCCCAACTGAGGGTCAAACCCACAACCTAGGTATGTGCCCTAACCGGGAATCGAATCAGCTACCTTTTGTTGTACAGGGCTACACTCAAACCAGCTGAGCCCCACAGGTCAGGGCAGAAGCCATGCTTCTTTCTAGGTATCTAGAGATTCTCTTGAAAACTTAAGTGACTACTCATCAATGAATTATAATTTTCAAACTAAGACTAATGATTATTGTTTTGTTCTCCTACTGAACTCTATTCAAATAGCTAAAATATAAGAATTTGGTCATATTTGCAAATGCCTTATAAAAAGGAAGAAAGTAATTCTTACCAGATCCTCATTGCTGGTCACCTGTTTATACTGTGAACAACTTCTCCACAGCACTGCAATTAAACAGAAACAGCAACAAACCAATTATTTTTGTTAGCTGAGTAGCTAAAGACATTGTTTTTATGGAGGCAAGATAAATCAAGGGACATCTGAATATAAAAGATTGTATATTCGCCTGGCCGGTTTGGCTCAGCGGTTAGAGTGTCGGCCTGCGGTCCCGAGAGACCCGGGTTCGATTCCTGCTAAGGGCACGTACCTCGGTTGCAGTTTGTCCCCGGCCCTGGTTGGTCGTGCGGGTGGCAGCCACTCGATGTGTCCCTTTCACATCGATGTTTCTCTCTCTCTCTCTCTTCCTCTCTCTCCCTCCCACTCTATCTGAACAAAAAATGGAAAAATGTCCTCAGGAGAGGATTAAAAAAAAATAAAAAAAATAAAAAAAAAAATAAAAGATTGTATATTCATTACACTCCCAATGATTGGATAAAAACCTTTAGATATGAGGCAGAGTAAGACTTAATATGGATGCCTTCCAGGGCTTTGGAAAAAGGGCATATACCCTTTTCCTACCCATACAATCTCAGATCAGTTGCTCTCTCCTGATATTTTAAAAAAATATGTTCTTACTGATTTTTTTTAAAGAGAGAGGAAGGGAGAGATAGAAACATCGCTATGTGAAGAGAGAAACATTGCTGGGCTGCCTCCTACACGCCCCCTACTGGGGATGGAGCCTGCAACCCAGGCATGTGCCCTGACCAGAATGGAACTGGGACCTCTCAGTCCATGGGGCAACGCTCACCCACTGAGCCACACGGCCAGGCTCTTCCAGTAATGATTTTCTCTTCATATCATGATTTATAAATATATATTTTAATACAGATACTTAGGGGAGAAGTATCAGAAAGGCATTGTCATACCAAAGGGAAAAATGAGTAACAGACCCCCCCTACAGGCAATAGTTATTGATAGAGAAGCATAAAGAAGATAAAAGTGCAGAGATTCGAGGGCTTATGTCACAATTTCGCCCTGATTTGGGTCCTCAGATATCTGGAATTTGCTGCTGGGGACTCTGGAAATGTCCCTTCCTTATCAAGTTTACCTGGAGGTCTCAGACAAGTCCCTGCCTCTTTCTAATAATCACCCATTATTCTCCTATGTTAAAAAAAAAAAAAAAAAAAAAAGGTGTATTAGAAAACATCTCACGCTCCCCCTCAGCTTTAAAATACTAGTTGTAGTGCACTACAGATTCCCACCTAAGAGTTGGAGAAACTCTTACATTGCCTGGAAACCTGCGTCGCTTAGCTAACCGCGTGGGCTCCACCGACCTCGCTAGGGCTAGGGCAGCGGCCGAATGCTACAACGGGGCGTCGGACATGGAGACTTTACCCGCTCGAGTTCCTGGATTTCGGAGGCTGGCAGCAGCAGTTATGAAGTGCGTTAACTTCTTCCTCCCCAGACCACTGCAAACAGCAATGACACAAGCCATGGTTCCTCGGTCCTTCTCCTCCTTTCCTCTTTCTACGTCGTCCTTTCCGGTGCTCTGCCCGGGTTGGCCCGAGGACTCCCGTCAAAGGTTCCGCGAGCGAACGCCGGGGGCTTGGGAAGTGTGTTCATTGCGTCTGCGCATCACGCTGACGTTCCCACGCTCACCGCGCAGGAAGCCCGCGACACTCACGATTGGACGAGAAGGGGGGTTGCTACGCTTTTGCCTCCGTTTCCGGTCCGAGAGCAATTAATTTGTGGTCTTTCCCAAAAGTGGATGGAGTGGTGAGCGACCTTAGCCTCGGTGCTATTGCCCTGTCCTGCACTCACCCCGCCACTGGGGTTTGGCGGCTGGGTCACAGGGGACGTCGCTCGGGCAGGGCCCTCGGCCCCTGCCATGGATGAAAGTGGTTCCCGCATCCGCCGGCGGGTGTCTGCCGGCAAAAGGAACCGTCCTAGCCTAGAGATTCTTTTTGCCGCCCCTGCCGCGGCCGAGCTCAAGCCAGACGATGAGGAGGACGAGGAGCTGGTGGCTGGGAGCCCGCGACGGAAAACTGTGGGTGTGCAACCAGTGGAGGTACAGCCCTGTCAGCTCTCAAATCCCCCTGAGTTCTGGCCCCGTTTCCCACCTTTGGGGCAGTGATGCAAACCCAGGTCTCCTACTGCGCATGCCCACTGCAAGGAGTGGGAGACCAGCTATAGAAGGCACGGAACTTGAAACTCCATAATTTTGACAGCTTCCTTCTCAGGTGCAAACAGTTGACCAGTTATCCACTAGTCCGTGTGCTTTCCTCCATTTTGTTATTGCTGTTAATTCTTATTTGTCAGGTGTTGCCTTGTTATCCCCGTTTTATATAGATAAGAAACACAAACCCCCGAGACATAAAAGTTGTACACGCAGCAAATAAGTGGCATGACTGAGACGCAAAGTTAGACTTCGAAGTTACTGCTGCACTAATAAAATCTACCCCTTATTGGAGACCGGTTATGTGCAGGGTACTTTCTTAAACTAGTTACAGTATCTAGACTTTAAACAGAATTAGGCCCTGAGAAGTTAAAAAACTACACTCCTGGCTCCAAATCCTGTGTTTCTTAATCACTACACTATATTGCTACGCCCGCGTTTACATCACTTCTGTTTAGTAGACCACCTTACGTCAGTGTGCACACTCTGTCAATTCCTAGGGACATTCTTGGAGTGTGCAGTAATTAGTACAAGCATGATTTTGTTACAGGCCACTCCCTGTAGACTGGCGTCTGGGAGGGAAGGGATAGTGCAATATCAGAACTTCTACTAGTCAGATGTTATCCCAATCGATGTGTCAGTCTTGCTACCTACCACTTGAAGAATTTAGCATTGGCTTAAGAATTAGGATCCCAGCATCCTCATCCACTGAGAGTGCGGTTACCCTCTCTAGGCCTCCTTTTCTTCATCTGTAAAATGGGGATGATTATATCTATTTCATCTAAATTTACATTTAGATCTGTGATCTGCCTGTGACCATTTATTTATATACCTGGTATAGCCCTAGGCTGAAACGTTTATTCTTACTGAAGCTAGAATTGACTATAAACATTTTTGTTTTCTTTCCAGAATAATGATAGTGAAGAGGACATGTTTGGTGACTATGATAGCTTTGCTGAAAATTCTTTATTAGCTCAAGTTGATGACCTGGAACAAAAATATATGCAACTTCCTGAAAATAGAAAACATGATACAGACCTTGCCATTGAAGATCTTTGTTCAGAAAGCATCAGATATAGCAAACTCAGCGTTACTACTGTAGGCAGCTTTACTGAATTAAAAACAGATGAGCACACAAAGAACCAGAGCGGGCATGAAGATGTCTCTATTAAACCTGGAGCTGATCTTTTGTATGACTTGCCTTCTTCACAGGTTTTATACTTTGAAAATTTGCAGAACTATTCAAATGATTTGGGAGATCCGTCTACTAAAGAGAAGGATTGGAACTTGCCCTCTCACAAGACTATGAATAAGCAGTTGCCCCAAAATAGCATAGAGCAACCCCAGCAAATTGATGAGTCCTCTTCTAAAGTCAGAACTAATTCAGATGTGAATAGGAGAAAAAGTCTTAAAGATCATCTAAAAAGTACCATGACTGGAAATGCAAAGGCCCAAACACCAATATTTTCTAGGACTAAACAGCTCAAAGAGACTCTCCTATGTGAAGAAATTAATGTTGCTAAGAAGACAATTGAGTCATCATCAAATGATCTTGGTCCTTTTTATTCATTACCCAGCAAAGTGAGAGACCTTTATGTTCAGTTCAAAGGAATTGAAAAATTATATGGTAATGCATTTTGCTGAGATGAAAAAAAAAAAAAAAAGTGCCACTATTACCATAGAATTAGTGCAAATCAGTAGAAAGCAGATCCTTTCATGGTCATATCTCATCTTAAAAACAAATCAAAATATCAATCCTTTCAACCTATCCCAATCCGGCTATTACTAAACCTCTTCCCTTCCCTTTGTGGTCATACTTCTCTCTCTCTCTTTTTTTTTCTTTATTGACTTCAGAGAGAGAGGAAGGGAAAGGGAGAGATAGAAGCATCTATGAGATGCTTGGCCGCCTCCTGCATGCCCCACACTGGGGATTGGGCCCACAACCTGGGCATATGCCCTGACCAGGAATCGAACTGGCGACTTGGTACATGGTTTGATACTCAACCACTGAGCCACACCGGCCAGGCATGGTCACACTTTTCAAACCTGTTATCCTTGCCTCCCCTTTCCTCACCACAAATAATTCCCAACCCACTTCAACTCTGGGTTCTGTGTGCTCACTTAAGATATAATGACTAGGGTGTCTAAACCCAGTAATACCTTTAGTTCTTACCTTTCCTGACTTCTCAGTAGCTTCCCTGACACAATTGACCAGACCCTTTTTGAAACTTTTTTCTTGATTCCTTGACATTCCACTCCTGTTTGTTTTTGTTGTTGTTGTTTGTTTTTTTCTGATTGTCTAGCTGCTCCTCAGTTTTCTTAGCTGCTGTTTCCTTAGCTGGCTGTCTTCTCTACCAAAACTTAGTTGTTGAAATTCCTTTGACTGCTGGGATATCTTGAATGAAAGAAGTCAGTATTAGTAATACCACTGATTAAAATTAAACATCTTTAAAGACAACTGAAGTTAAGACTTAAGTGCAAAGTATATTAATAACAATGCATCATACAGTGTTTCTCAAAAATCTTGCCTGTATTGCAAATATGTGTCATTTTAGATGAAGATACAATTGCTGCCATTCTGTAAGATCAGCCTGTCAACCAATCACTGTATAAGTATTTCTGAAACTCCTAAGTTAGTATCTTAAGAACCATATGAAGCCTGGCTGATGTGGCTCAGAGGATTGAGCATTGTCCCATGGACTGAGAGGTTCCAGTTCAATTCCCAGTCAGGGCACATGCCCAGGTTTCAGGCTCAATCCCCAGTAGGGGGTGTGCAGGAGGCAGCTGATTGGTATTTCTCACATCAATGTTACTATCTCTCCCTTCCTCTCTCTCTAAAAAAAGCAATCAAAACATTAATGAAAGCCCGGCCGGTGTGGCTCAGTGGTTGAGCGTCAACCCATGCACCAAGAGGTCACCATTTTGATTCCCAGTCAGGGCACATAAGGGCTCGATCTCCAGTGAGGGGCATGCAGGAGGTGGCCAATCGATGTCCTCTCTCATCAATGTTTCTATCTCTACCTCTCTAAAATCAATAAAGAAAAAATTTTTTTTAAAAAAACATTAAAGGGAAAAAAAAAGAACCATACGAAAACCTGGGTTCTCATTCGGTTTGGGAAGTAGGGCTGCAGGAAACAAAAGCCTAATAACATAAGACTACAAGAGTCTAATAAATTCTAAGTTATGAGATTTGTAGTTAGAGCTAATGGTATGTATAGCTCTTGAAAGAGATGTGAACTTTCTTCCCTTTGCTTTTCTCTTAGCACCATGTTCTTTGTTTAATCTGCATCTCCTACCAGAATGAGTACCCTTAGGACAGGGCTCTACCTAATTCATCTTTTTCTTACATAACTAGCACTGGGCCTGGTATACCCTGGTAGGGTCTCACTTGCTGGGAGTTGTCAGTCTACTTATTATTTTTGGCCCTGTCACTTAAACACAAGGTTAGCACACTGAGCCTTCATTTCTGATCTATTAAAAAAGGGATGATGATGATGATAATAAAAATAATAATTGTTTTGCAAATTATATTCTGTGTGAAGGGCATGCCCAATTAGACTTAGATAGTAATGACTATCAGTAATTTTTAGTAGCTTTGAAGTATGAAATTTGGTAAATAACTTTTTAAATCTTTTTACTTGTATATTTATCTTAATGACATGACCAATTTAAAACATAATTGTGTGTGCTAAAGCAGTGGTTCTTAAAGTGTAGTCCCTGGACCCCAGTATCAGTGTCACCTGGAAACTTGTTGAAATGTGCATTCAGACCACCCAGGCCTACTGAATCAGAACCTCTTGGGGAGGGACTGGCAGTCTGCTTTAACAGGCCCTCCAGTACATTCTTTTGTGCCAGAAGTTTGAGAACCACTGAGCTAGAGAACCTCAACTTTATATAGGGGCAGGCAAAAATATAAATATAAATAATATAAATATTGTAATATAAATAACACAATAATAATGCAAGAATAACCTGCCCACCCACAACTGTAAACCTATTTTTGCCCATTACTGTGGTGTGGTGGTTGCTTTTTAATTGTAGAATTACATTCATAATGTGTTTTATATAATACTGAGAAGTTAACAGAATTTACTTTAAAATTTTTTTTTAATTCTCACCCAAGGATATGTTTTTTTATTGATTTTAGAGAGAGAAACAAACAAACATGGATGTACAAGAGAAACATCATTTGGTTGCCTCTACCAGTGATTGAATCTGCAACCTAGGTATGTGCCCTGACTGGGAATCGAACCCCCAATCTTTTTTCTTTAATTTTTTTCTTTTATTGATTTTAGAGAGAGATAGAAACATCAGTAAGAGAACAATTGCCGCCACCTGCATGCCCCCCACTGGGGATTGGGCCCACAACCTGGGCATGTGCCCTGATCGGGAATCGAACTGGCGACCTCTTGGTGCATGCATTGATACTCAACTAATGAGCCACACCAGATGGGCAAACCCACAATCTTTTGGTGTACAAGAAAACATTCCAACCAACTGAGACACCTGATCAGGGCTATAATTTACTTTTTTATGTTTGAAGATAAATAATATTCCTAAATATTATTTTTGTCATTTTATACTTGAAAAATCTGAGTTGGATAAAATGTAAATATGGTCAAGTATTTTCACACAGACATCTGTGGTTTGATAACTAATGGGTGATACCATTCTGAGGATTTTGTTTTCTTTCTTGATTTTTTTAGAGAGAGAGGAAGGGAGAGGGAGAGAGAGAAACATCGATGAGAGAGAACATCAATTGGCTGCCTCCTGCATGCCACCCCAGGGATCAGGCTCACAACCTGGGCATGGGCCCTGACCGGGAATCTAACCGGTGACCTCTGGGTGTATGGGTCGATGCTGAACCACTGAGCCACACCGGCCAGGCAGATTTTAAAATATTTAAAAATTTTTTTCTGAAATACTTTAAAGTAAAAAAAGGTACATAGTTACTTGCAAAATTTGACAATCACCAAAAATAGACAATAAATTAGGTACCTGTAATTGTCATTCATGTATAACTATTTTTAATACCTTTGTAATATATCCTGTTAATAATTTTTTTAATTTAATTTTTTGGGAAAACATGCAAAATATTCAAGCCCAACTTTTCTTTTTTTTTTTTTTTTTTTTTTATCCTCACCCGAGGACATTTTTCCATTTTTTGCTCAGGTAGAGTGGGAGGGAGAGAGAGGAACAGAGAGAGAGAGAGAGAAACATCGACGTGAAAGGGACACATCGAGTGGCTGCCACCTGCACAACCGACCAGGGCCGGGGAAAAACTGCAACCAAGGTATGCGCCCTTAGCGGGAACCGAACCCGGGTCTCTCAGGACCGCAGGCCGACGCTCCAACCGCTGAGCCAAACCGGCCAGGGCAAGCCCAACTTTTCTATGCATGTATTGTTTTCTAATACCTGTATATAATTGGGTTCATACTATCCAACACACATTTATGATCTGCTTTTTTTCACTCACATGTATATTGAGCACATATAGATCAATCTATTCCCTCATTTTCAAGCTACAAAGAATTACATCACATGATTGTGCAAAAATGCATTCAACCTTTACCCCCAATGGCTCTTTGGTATATTTAAACAATGCGACAATGAACATTCTGCACATAATCTTTATATGCCCCTTTATTTCTATGGCTGTAGAGTTATAGAAGTATTACTAGTAATACTACTAAAGAAAAAACATTGTGCAGTTTTATTTATGACACTGCTAAATTGCTTTCCAAAAGGATTGTAGCAGTTTATACTCTCATAATCCATACACAAGAATGCCTTTTTGTTTCCACTTTGATCAGCTGGATTTTATATTAGTGGGCCTTTTTTTTTTGGTAGTTATTTGTTGTTTATTTGTTTTCGCCAATCCAGTAGGTAACAATTAAGCATCTTTTTATATATTTGCATTTCTCCCTTCAGTGAAATGTCTTGAATATCTTTTCCCATTTTTCTAGTGATAAAATACTGGTGTACATTCTGAAGACTTCTGATGATGATCCCTGTTGTTTATTCTCTTACAAAGTAGTTATACTAGTTTCACACCATGTTTTGGACCTGACGTGATGCTTTTCATGAATTCCACCTTGCTAAATTGTGGAAACCTAGATGTATCAATTAAGAATCCGTCTTTTATGGTTTAAACTCTTTCAATTTAAAATGTTATTCTGGCCATTTGAAGTTCAGCTCTCCATTACAGCAGAATGGTCTTTCTTGATTTGTACAAAATCTCAAATTTTTTTCCTTCTCCCCCTATTTCTCTAAGATGGTGTTTGGGTGAATGCGAAAGGGAAGCTTACACAGTCTTCTTGCAGGACTTACGAGGAAAGTCTTAGAATTCACGCAGATCAGGTACCATCCTGTAGCTCTTCTGACATCCCAAATGATGCCTCTTGTCCACCAGTCTGTGCCTGCCCTGCTGAGATCTTAGACCTAAGTTTGTAGCTGGAAAGTAGGAGAGCTAATTGCCAACCCCACTGACCAGGCCTTAATTAGACTGAGACTCACTGGCTGTGCACATCACACATTGGGGATTTTTAACATTTAGCATTACTATATAATTACACTTATCATTATGAGAAAATTGCTACATAAGGTGTGATTTGATTTTTTCTTCTTAGAAAACTTTCTAAGATTGAGACTATCTTAGGGGAAAATAATGCTCTTTTAAAACTTCTACAGAATGGCAACATACATGCTTAACATTGAATTCTGTGCAAGAAAGAAAAAACTTAATATATTCCTTGCCAACCAGTGGTGGAAAAACCCTTGTGGCTGAGATTTTAATGCTACAAGAACTGCTTTGCCGGCGGAAAGATGTTTTAATGATCCTACCATATGTGGCAATTGTCCAAGAAAAGGTATGTTTTTTTAACAATTGGTATTTGCTAATGTTATTTTGACATTAAGATACTAAAACTAGCATAAATGTAACTTTTTATTGACTGAAAAGATGTATTTCTGTTAATGATGGAGAATATATTTAGAATGTGTTAAAAGCACATTAACTGAAAATCTTTTCTGATTTAAACTGATGGATTAAACTCCATTATAAATATTCTATTGATATTTAGCTTGCTTTCTATTGTTTTATCAAAATTAAATTAGTTACTCTAGTTTTTTAACATCAGAGGAGAGAGTTGAAATGTATTTTCTCATTATGTAGTTTATTTTGTTACTTCTTTTTAATGTTTTTATTGCTTTTTTAGGGAGAGAGAGAGAGAAACATCGATGTACATCGATCGGCTGCCTCCTGTATTGCCCCCCACCAGGATCAAGCCTGAAACCCAATGTGCCCTGACTGGGAATCAAACTAGGACCTCTCGGTCCATGGGATGATGCTCAATCCACTGAGACACACCAGCCAGGCTTTATTATGTAGTTTAAAAGTTATGTTCATTTTGCAAAGTTGTGTTCTTTTTTTTTTTTTTTAATTTGGAACAATTCTCGAATTTGCGTGTCAACCTTGCACAGAGACCTTGCTAATCTTCTCTGTATTGTTCCAATTTTATATGTGCTACTGAAGTGAGCAGTAATTGTGACATTTCTTAGATATTTATGTCTTATCTGCACCTTGTTCCCATTGATTGGTATTAAATACAATTTTAGATTTTTAAAATCCCTGTGAGCACTTAATAATTAAAGTCTTTATTTGTTTTGTTTGTTTATTTTAACTAATATTCTAGATTTCAGGTTTGTCAAGCTTTGGTGTAGAACTGGGTTTTTTTGTTGAAGAATACGCTGGAAGCAAAGGAAGATTTCCTCCAATTAAAAGAAGGGAGAAGAAATCACTATACATTGCCACTATTGAAAAAGGACATGGTTTGATCAACTCCTTGATTGAAACTGGAAGGATTAGCAGTCTGGGTCTGGTTGTTGTAGATGAGGTGGGTTACTATTTTTGTAACCTCAAAATTTTTACTATACTAACAGTTACTATTATGTGGATCTGCTTAGTACCTCTATGAGAATAGATCATCTATTTTAATATATAGACAATACAGATGAAAACATTAAATTCAGTTTTGTGTCAAGTGTTTCTTTTTTTTTTTTTTTTTGGTACGTGCCCCTAGCGGGAACTGAACCCTGTACTCTCTGGTCCGCAGGCTGATGCTCCAACCGCTGAGCCAAACCGGCCAGGGCCAAGTGTTTCTTAAAGAGTGAATATATGTGTGTGTATATTCAATTTTATAATAGTATTTATGAAGATACTATTGCCCCCAAACCTCATTACTTAAAATATCAGTGAAATAATGCATATGTATTCTAGTTGCTATATTCAAATGCTTAAGAGTTATAGAGCAAAGATTACTTCAGTTTATACAAATATATGCATATTTTATGTTGGTATTATACGCAGATTTACTTTTTTCCCTTTTTAAAAAAATCTCAAGTTGCACATGATTGCTGAAGGAAGTCGTGGGGCTGTCCTGGAAATGACCCTTGCAAAAATCCTCTACACTAGCAGTAAGTATTTTTTAAAGTGTGGTCACTTGATTTATGATCAAGAGATCGGTAAAAGACTTAATCCTATCCCTAGCTACATTATGTAACCTAGAGTAAGATACTTAAGCTTTCTGCCTTTGATTTTGATTTCCAAGGTAAGCTTATCCATTTTTGTTGGAAGAATGGGTGAATGAAGATAATTGTGAAAGTAAATGAAATTAACATGTGAGGACCCCCCTATCATCTTTCACTTACTAGTTATGTTTGCCTAAGTAGGTGACACAACCTCTCTGTTTCTTCATCTGTAAAATGGGGATGATAATGGCACTGACCTGATGGGACTGTTGTGAGGCTTGTATGAGTCAGCACATGTGAAGCATTCAGCAATGCCTAGCACTCAGTAAGAGCTGCTGCTGCAGCCACCATCAGTATCATCATCATACCAACAAAGCAGTATATTCAAGTAGTCACTTTAAGGAGCTATTTCGCAACATCAGATAGTCTTTAAATGTACATGAAATATTTATTCTAAAGGTCTTCTCTACTATTTAATGATATGCTATTGCAATAATTTAGCTTCTATATGCAAACATTACTAATTATAAAGGTTATATCTTAAGAATTACTTTTTAAAAATGTAATAGCATTGGTATTTAGATACATTGTAGCACTTTATAATCATTCATTCAAAAAATATTTACTGAGTATACAGCAGTGAATAAAATTAAATCCCTGCCTTCATCAAATATATTTTAGTGAAAGGGAAAAAACAGTAAGCAGATAAACAAGAAAACATGGTGTGTCAAATGGTGACAAGTTCTATGGGAAAATATAAAGCAGAGTAAGAGAGGAGAATAATCATCTACTTGTCAAATCTAGTGTACACTTACTGTCCGTGTCTCAGTTTTCCTTCAGCAGTCGATTTGATCATTGTTTTTTCCTTTGGGTGCTGCCACATCATTCTTTCTTGGTTTTCCTACTATTTCTTTGTAAGTGGGATCATGTGTTAGCATGGAAAGATAGCATAGCATAATAGCTGAGGACAGACTCTGGAACTAGATTAAAATTCTGGCTCACTTATTACTACGTACTTACGTGACTTTGGGCAAGTTAACTGTGCCTCTTTTTCCTTATGCCTAAAAAATGGATGATAGTAATAGAACCTCTCACTGAATTGCTGCAAAGGTGATATGAGTTAATCTTTGTAAAGTGTCTAGCATAGTACCTGCACATAATGGACATGTGTTTGCTATTGACACATATTTATCTTTCTATCACCAGTGCCTTATACTTCATACATATTTAAATGAAATGAATCTCTTTAGTTTTTCTTGTTCTCCTTTGTGCCACCTCATTCTAAACATGTTCATTATGTACATTGGTGTTACCACAGATTCATCTTAGGCTCTTCTCTTGTTCCCTAGTCCGTACAGTTTCCACTAATTCTCATCCACACTCATGACTTCAAGTGCTTCTGTGTGCTGATGGCTCCCAATCTGTATTTCCAACTCAGGCTCTCTTCTTAGTAATATCTGTCAGCTGGACTTCTCCTTGGCTGTCCTGTGAGCAGTTCAGATTCACCATGTCCAAGTCTAACTCGGTTCTCTCAAACCCATTCTTCAGTCTGAATTCCCCGCCCCTATTTGTCAGCCAGCCAGCTAAACCAGAATCTTATAGTCTTCACTCTTATACATTCTGTCAGCAACCAAATCCTATCTGGTCTACCTCATACATGTATTGTAGGTATGTCTCTCCTACCCTTCTTTACTGCTAAATCTTTCACTCAATACCTCATCTTTTTTTACCTAGATTACCACAGAAAGCTCCCATCTGCCTTCAGTCTCAATCACTGCCCTCTCCCCCCACCAAATCCATCTTCTCTAGTGCAGTTAGAGTATCTCCCAAATGCAAATCCCATTAGTTAATTTTACTATTTACAGTCCTTTCATAGCTTCCTTTTGTTTCTGCATGAATCTAAAATTTCTTAGCACAGCTGTTCTTGATTTGGCTGCATGCTCACCCTTCAGTTTCACTGCCCACCTTTTTGGACTAGGAAAGGCAACACATCTTCCTCTTTTAGATAACATCTTGCTTGACAAAATTCAAGACAAAACATGGAGCAATGAAGAAACATTTGCTAAGAAAGCTTCTTTGTTGTTTTTTAATAGCTGGTCTATGGAAAACAGCAATTTTATACTGTCCAGAAAGTCATGCAGCTTCACGAGCTTCACTCCACCTTTATTTTATAGTAAGGAAAAGTTAACCTGATAGCAAAGTTGCATAAAGGACTTTTCATGTGGCAAGAGCTTGGGACCCATTCAGCCTTGCACCCTACACTGTACATCCACATATAGCTGAACCTGTGGAACCTGTCATAACTTTTCATAATGATGGTCCAGATAGTCAGCAACAGCATATTTATACTCATTATTGTTGCTTAGAAGTCTTAATAACCCTGTACAGTTTGGCTCAGCGGTTTGAGCGTTGGCCTGCAGTCCAGAGAGACCCGGGTTTGGTTCCGGCTAGGGGCACATACGTCAGTTGCAGTTTGTCCCTGGCCCTGGTTGGTCGTGCGGGTGGCAGCCACTCGATGTGTCCCCTTCACGTCGAAGTTTCTCTCTCTCTCTCTCCCCTTCTATCTGAACAAAAAATGGAAAAATATCCTCGGGTAAGGATAAAAAAAAAGATCTTAATAAAGATCCTACTTCTTGCCAAGTTCGAAATTCATAAAATTCTAAATAGTAACTTTTAGGATACGGGAGAAGTTCCATTCTTTGATTGCCAGATTAATACTCTGATAATATATTTATATTTTTCTTACCTTCCCCTGTCCCTTTCCCACATTACTCAGGAAAAATTTAGAACACAAAAAGATTTCTACAATTACTATTATGATATACTAAATAATAATTTTTTTCTATACTTTGGGTTTTTTTTCCAGAAACAACTCAAATTATTGGTATGAGTGCAACGTTGAACAATGTTGAAGACCTGCAAGAATTCCTTCAAGCAGAATATTACACCAGTCAGTTCAGACCAGTATGTACCTGTGGTTTGCACTGTATTGATTTGTTATGTATAATCTTAATTAAAAATAAAAGTAGCAAATGTACCATATAAAAAATTACATAGAGTAGTGAAGGGTCATAATTCCACTCACCATGGCCATATGCTAATAAGAATTTATAGAGAATGTGACCTCTATGGTGTCAGGAATCTTAGCATGGGTCACAGCTGTATCTGTAACACCTGGATAGTGGCTGGCCTAGGCATTCAATAAATGAGTATTTATTGAATGAAAATTTCCAGACTCATTCTATTGTCCACTTCTTATCTCTAAGGTAAAAGTTTTCATTCAGTCAAAATTTAGAGATTTATGTTTTGAGTTATTACACATTAAAAAAGTTATCTTAAAAGTTAAAATGTTTATGCTTGGTAGTTATAATGCTTTTTAAAATAAGTTTAGACTTCACATAGATTTAATTTAAACTCACTGGTAATAGTATTCTCAAAATGCTTGAAGAAAGTAAATAAGTGTATCTGTCAACAGTACTAGTATACATGTTCTGTCTCTGACTGGGTTTCAGAAAATGATTGTTAAGAATCACCAAATTTTAATTCGAAAGTTGATGTTTTTATATTTGTATCACATATGAAAAATTTAAGGCTGTTTTAAGACCTTAATTGTCAAATTAGATGCTTTTCTTTTGAAAATGCAATGAACTATCTTTAAAAAATTTTTGTACACAAATACTTAAATTAAAAATAATATGGTGAGAAAGATGGCAACGGGCAGGACTGGAGCAAGGGTGAGTGTGTGAGAATGTGAGCAAGGGTGAGAGAGAGTGTGAGTGGATGTGAGTGTGGAAGAGCAACCTCAAGCAGTGCAGAAATGTGGGGCAGAGGGTTCCTGTGCTATGGACGGGGAGCAGCAGGCTACTGCAGTAAGTGGCTTGCCAGGGTGCTTTTCCCTGCGTAGCCAGAAGGTCCACCATTTTGGAAGATCCTTGGTCTTCTCTGGGAAGAGACAGTGGGGAGTGGCTAGTGCACCTTGCACAGTCAAACCAGTGAACCCCTCTGTGTCAACGTAGACCAGCACATAGTAATGGCACTATCAAAGTACCTGCTCAAGGAAGCAGCAACCGGCCAGTAGCTGAGCATCGTCTCCCACAGTAGCAACCCAATAGGAGCCCAGCACCTTCCCCCACAGCAGCAGTGACCAGGCAGGAGTGGAACCCCACCCCCAACAGCAGATGAGGCTCGGGAGCTGAGACACATCTCCGGCAGAAGAGGCTCAGGAGTAGACATCCATCCCCAGGCAGCAGCAAGATTGGCAGCTGAGACTCATCCCCAGCAGCATCAGCAGAGGCTGATCAGGAGTGGTGCCCAAGCCCAAGCAGCAGCAAGGCCTGCCTCTGGGCAGCCGATGCCTGCCTCTGACAACTGCAGTAGTGGATGTGGAGTGGAGCCCTTTCCGCAGCAGCAGCAAAGTCCCAGAAGGCGAGCATCCTCAGCCCCCAACAACAGTAGAGGATTGGGAGCTGAGAGCACCCCCTGGCAACAGCAGCAGCAGTAGCAGCACAAACTGGGAGCTGCCCCTTGCCCCCAACAGCATCAGCAGTGACTGATCAGGAACTGAGCCCCACCAGGAAGCAGGATACCCCAGCAGTGCACCAGCGGGACACATGCACCCCAGCAGCACACCAGCTAGACCCATGCACCCTAGTAGTGCCCCATCTGAACCCATTCACCCTAGCAGTGCCTACCATGACAAACCAGTACCAACCACCAGTTGTCAGTCCTCCAGGACCCTCAGCAGGCAAGAGGCACCACATCAAAATAGTCTGGGAGGCACAACAGCCTTATTTGATGCACACCAACCAGCCTACACATCCCAACATCCCTCACTGGGCCTAGAACTACCAGACTACTAAAATGGTAAGACAAAGAAACAACACCCAAATGACACAAAAGGAGGAATCACCAGAAAAGGAACTACATGAAATGGAATAAAGCAATTTGTCAGATAAAGAATTCAAAGCAATTTTTAAGGGAGCTCAAACAATTCAGTGAGAAGTACAAGCACCTTAATGAGAATTATAAAGAGCTCAGTGGGAATTACATCAGCATAAAAAGAGGGAGAAGCTATGAATAAAAATCAAGTGGAAATAAAGAATGATGTACCTGATATGAAAAATACCTTAGACAAACTCAATAGTAGATTAGAAGAAGCTGAAGACCGAATCAGCAAGTTATAAGACAAGGTAAAAAACAAAACAAAACAAAACAAAAACACCCAAATAGAGCAGCAAATGGGGAAAAAACATTAAAAAGGAGGAATGTTTAAGGGAGCTTTGGGACAATATAAAACAAAACATTTGCATCATAGGGGTTCCAGAAGGAGAAGAATCAGAGAAAGGAATAGAGAACCGGTTTGAAGAAATAATGACAGAAAACTTCTCTAATTTGGTGAAGGAAAAAGTCACACAAATCCAGGAAACACACAGAGTCCCAAGTAAGATGAACCCAGAAAGACCCATAGCTAGACACATTGTAAATGAAATGGCAAACATTAAAGACTAGGAAAGAATCTTAAAGGAAGCAAGAGAGAGACAGAAAGTTACCTACAAGGGAGCTCCCATTAGACAGCCAACTGATTTCTCAATAGAAACACTGCAGGCCAGAAGGGAGTAGCATGAAATGTACAAAATAATGAAAGCTAAGGGTCTGAATTCAAGACTACTGTATCCAGCAAGGCTCTCATTCAAAATTGAAGGTGAAATAAAGAGCTTCACAGACAAAAAAATCTAAAGAAATTTACCCACCACCAAACCAGCACATCAATAAATGCTAAAGGGATGGTTGTAAGAAGAAGAAGTATATATATAGAGAGAGAGAGGAATACGGGCATAAAATAAAGTATGTATCAATAATAATCTTAAATATAAATGGCTTAGATGCTCCAATCAAAAGACATAGAGTAGCTGACTGGATAAGAGAACATGACCCATGTATATGCTGTCTACAAGAGACCCACCTCACAACAAAAGACTCACACAGGATGAAAGTGAAGGGATACAAAAAAATTTTCCAGGCAAATGGAAATGGGGAAAAAAAAAAGCTGGTGTAGCAATGCACATATCTGTTAAGACAGACTTCAAAACGAGGGCCATAATAAGAGACAAAGAAGGTTACTACATAGTATTAAAGGCATCAATCCAACAGGAGATATAACCCTGGTAAATATATCACCCAATATAGGACCACCAAAATATATTTAAAAACCTCTGGCCCTGACCAGTTTGCTCAGTGGTTAGAGCATCGGCATTTTTATACACCAATAATGAACACACAGAAAGAGAAACTAATAAAACAATCCCATTTACCATTGCAACAAAAAAATTAAGATATCTAGGAATAAACATAACCAAAAAGTAAAGGACCTGTTTGCAGAATACTACAGGACATTGAAAAAAGAAATAGAGGCAGAATTTAAAAAGTGGAAGCATATACCTTGTTCATGGATAGGAAGAATTAACATCATTAAAATGTCCATACTACCCAAAGCAATCTATAGATTTAAGGCAATCCCGAACAAAATACCAACAACATATTTCACAGAACTAGAACAAAAACTTCAAAAGTTTATGTGGAACCAAAGAGACCCCAAACAGCCACAGCAATCTTGAAAAAGAACAAAGTAGGAGGGATCACAATACCCAGTGTCAGGTTATACTACAAAGCCATTGTAATGAAAACAGCCTGTTACTGGCACAAGAACAGGCATATAGCTCAATGGAACAGAACAGAGAATACAGAAATTGACCCAAGACATTATGCTCAATTAATGTTTGACAAAGGTGGCAAGGGCATACAATGGAATAAAGACAGCCTCTTTAATAAACGTTGTTGGGAAAATTGGGCAGCTACATGCAAAAATATGAAACTAGACCACCAACTTACACCATACACAAGAATAAACTCAAAATGGATAAAAGATTGAAATGTGACTCATGAATCCATAAAAATCCTAGAGGAAAATGTAGGCAACAAATTTTAGACATCATACGCAGCAGAATTTTCACTGATACATCACCTAAGGCAACAGAAACAAAGAAAATGAACACATGGGACTACATCAAACTCAAAAGCTTCTGCACAGCAAAAGATACAATCATCAAAATAGAAAGGCAACCCATTGTATGGGAGAGCATAATTGCCAATAATATATCAGATAAGGGGTTAAATTCCAATATATAGAGAGTGCTCATACAGCTCAACAAAAGGAAGACAAAGAACCCAATTAAAAAATGGGCAGAGGAACTAAATAGACACCTCTCCAAGCAGGACATACAAATGACTAAGAGACATATGAAGAAATGCTCAACATCACTAATCATCAGAGAGATGCAAATTAAAACAACAATGCGGTATCACCTCACACCTGTCAGAATGGTCGCCATCAACAAATCATCAAACAAGTGTTGGCCAGGGTGTGGAGAAAAGGGGACTCTAGTACACTGCTGGTGGGAATGCAGACTGGTGCAGCCACTATGGAAAACACTATGGTGTTACCTCAAAAAATTAAAAATTGAACTTCCATTTGACCCAGTGATCCCACTTCTAGGAATATACCCTAAGAAGCCTGAAACACCCATCAGAAAGAATATATGTACTCCCATGTTCATAGCAGAACTATTTACAATAGCTAAGATCTGGAAACAACCCAAGTATCCATCAGTAGACAAATGGATAAAAAAGCAGTGGTACATATGCACAATGGAATACAATGCAGCTGTAAGAAAGATCTCTTATCCTTTGAGATGACACGGAGGGACCTGGAAATTATTATCCTAAGCGAAACAAGCCAAACAGAGAAATACAAGTATCATATGATCTCACTTATTTGTGGAATATAATGAACATAACAGTCTGAGGAATGGGGTAGTCCTAGAGATGTGGAAGTGGGGTACAGACTGACAGTCCCCAGGAGAGGGGGTGGTGGGGGAGAGATAAACCACAGAGCTTATATGCATGTATGCATGTACAATGGACATGGACCACAAAGCTGAGTACAGGGTGTGGAGAGAGGGGAAGTGGGGAATCAGTGGGGGGAAAAGGAGAAACATCTGTAACAAAAATTAATTTTTTAAAAAAGAAGAATGGAAAAATAAATTTAAAAAGAAGATTGAATTGTCACTTATGAATCCATAAAAATCCTAGAAGGAAATGTAGGCAACAAATTTCAGACATCACATGCAGCAGAATTTTCATTGATTCAAAGCCTAAGGCAAGAGACACAAAGGAAAATATTAATACAGGGGACTACATCAACTAAAAAGCTGCTGCACAGCAAAAGAAACAAGCATCAAAATGAAAAGGCAACCCACTATATGGGAGAGTATAACTGCCAATGATACATCATATAAGGGGTTAATCTCCAAAATACGTAGAGTACTCATACAACTCAACAAAAGGAAGACAAAGAATCCAATTTAAAAATGGTCAGAGGACCTGAATAGACACCTTTCTTAGACATACAAATGGCTAAGAGACATATGAAGAAATATTCAATGTCACTAATCATCAGAGAGATGCAAATTAAAACAACTATGAGGTATCACCTCACACCTGTCAGAATGACTGCTATCAACGAATCATCAAACAAGTCCTGGCAGGGATGTGGAGAAAAGAGAACTCTAATACACTGCTGGTGGGAATGCAGACTGGTGCAGCCACTATGGACAACAATATGGTGTTTCCTAGAAAAATTAAAAATTGAACTGCCATTTGACCCAGTGATCCCACTTCTAGGAATATACCCTAAGAAGCCTGAAACACCAATCAGAAAGAATATATGTACCCCTATGTTCATAGTAGCACTCTTTATAATTGCTAGCATCTGGAAACAGCCCAAGTGTTCATCAATGGATGAGTAGATAAAAAAGCTGTGGTACACATACACAATGGAATACTATGTAGCTTATGAAAGAAAGATCTCTTTTTTCTTTGAGATGACATGGAGGGACCTGGAGAGCATTATGCTAAGCGAAGTAAGTCAGTCAGAGAAAGACAAGTATCACTTGATCTTACTTACTTGGGAATATAAAAAACAAAATAAGATGATGAACAAAATAGACCCAGAGACATAGAAGTAGGGTTCAGACTGACAAACTTTAGAGGAGGGGGGTGGGCGGGAGGTAAGATATACACCAAAGGACTCACACAATAAGCATAGCCAAAGGACATAGACAACAATGCTGGGAGACAGGAATAGGAGGAGGGTGTCAGTGGGAGATAAAGGAGGAACATCTGTAACAAAAATTAATTAAATAATAATAATAATATGGTGATAGTTAGAATGAAAACTGAATTCTAATGAAACAAAAGTTTTAGATCTTGAGGAATAACACAAGTAACTATTTAATAAAAGTAAAAGATAACTCATTTGCACTTCTTGTAAAAAATAAAATGTTTGGTTTCTCTTTAGATATGTAGCTATTCAATTCAAAGGTATATTTTAAGGATATTAATTCCTATTTATATTTAAGTGGAAAAGAGACTTAATAAAAAGAAATGGTAAAGAAAATACTTTTAAGTTAAAGAATGCTTTGCATACCTTAGAGAAGCTAAAACTTTTGTATATTCTTTTTATGATATGTTTTACAAAATTTATAACTCTGGGAAAAGGAATTTGTATGTGTTATTAATTGCAAATATGCCTTTCATTCAAGGTTGAATTAAAAGAATATCTGAAAATAAATGATGGAATATATGAAGTTGACAGTAAAGCTGAGGATGGCATGACTTTTTCACGTCTCCTTAATTATAAGGTAACGTTAATAACCCTTGAACCTGAGGTTCCCAGACTTTGTGGCTAGGTACCTTGGGGTACCACAGAAGATTCACATGGGTACCATGGAGTATTTTACATTTTTGAGAGAAATTTCTGATGCTTAAAATCTGTTGGACACCATGCAAACTACTGGTTCGAGGTAATTAGTTTCTATTTTCAACATTAGACCATGTTACATTCCTTTCTATGATATCATATCTTTGTGAAGTTTGGGGTTTTTTGCAGTTACTATAAGCAAAAAACATGTGAAAATCAATAGGACAGGAAATAAGGTTAGCTATATTTAATCTAATTCCAAGGCTCGAAAGACTGCAGTGCCTGGTTGTGTACACATCCCAATTAATGGGCTGTTGTGATTATTTAAGAATGATATAAACATGCCCTGGCCGGTTTGGCTCAGCAGTTAGAGTGTCAGCCTGAGGACCAATGAGTCATGGGTTCAGTTCCAGCCAAGGGTACGTACCTCTGGTATAGTTCGTCACTGGTCCTGGTCGGGGTCAAGTGGGAGGCAGCCTTTCAGTGTTTCTCTCTCTCTCTCTCTCCCTCTCTCTCTCTCTTACTCTCTCTCTCTCTCTCTCTCTCTCTCTCTCTCTCTCTCTCTCTCTTCCCTTCTCCCTCCTATTCTGTCTGAAGATAAATGGAAGAGAATCTTCTGGTGAGGATTTAAAAAAAAAGGAATGATATAAACATTTTTTTATACAACTAATGTATGTTATTTATGCAGTTGGTTTCTAAGTTGTGAGGAAATATATATTTATTATGTTGTTTAGACCTAACTCCCCAATAAATAAAACTGGTGGATAATTATTTTAGCCTTGAGGCTCCATGAGCCAAGAAAATTTGGAGATCTCTCCCATAAGTGTTTGTTTATCAACAACAGGAAAAAAAAAAAAAAAAAGCAAACAAAAAACAACTTTGGTCTATTTAATTCAGATATTGGTGTTTGAAAATCTTAATGTCTACTATGTTAATGTTCTATAATATATGAAGGATTTTGAAAAGGGGAGAAAGGGATATAACAGTTTTAGAATTCTACGAATTCTAATTCAGAAAGTCAAAGGAAGTGAGGAGATTTTAAATAACTTTAAATTTTTCATGTTCTTTGAATCCCTTGTATCTACTTGATAAATATATTTTTATTTCTGAAACTGCCTTGTAGTATGATTGAATCTGTGTTTTTTAAAACTAGTAGTAACAGTTAAAGATATATCTTATTTATGCAGTCCTTTGACTATTATTAGGATCAATCTATGTTTCTCTGTGGACTGTTTGTATTGCTTTGAAGATGGGCATGCAGTGGAGTTATTAATAGCATTACTATTTTCACTTCTTTAATTTAAAACTAAATATACTTTACAAAATCCTAATAACAAGAGAAAAATGAGACTTAACATTTTGATGTGAAATGTAGATTTCATTTTTTTTCTCTTAAATGATCAGATTTACTAAATCAGAAGTTCAAATTAATGGATGCTTTACTTACTTGTCAAAGCTTTTATGGTTGCTAACTACCTTGTTGCTATATCTTGTTATGCAGTATACTGATACTCTGAAAAAGATGGATCCTGATCACTTGGTAGCATTGGTGACAGAAGTTATTCCCAATAATTCCTGCTTAGTTTTTTGTCCCACTAAGAAGAACTGTGAAAACGTAGCAGAAATGATATGCAGATTTTTAAGCAAGTATGTTAATCTTTTAAAAATACTTTGTTCTGTTTTATTTTTGTGATAATTTACATGCTCTGTATTCTATTTATTCAATAAGCACTAATTGCTTCTTACAGAACATTATGTTGTTGTTATACTAGATTCTAAAGGCTTTGACCTTTAAGAAAGTTTATGAAATTCACATATGTAAAATAGCCAGAGAAAAATTCTAAGAGTACATGTAAGAGAATGCTAATATAATGGCTTAAATCAATGATTCTCAGCCTTGCCTGCACAGTGCATTGAGGGCTTTTAAAAATGCCGATGCCCAAGGTACATCCTAGACAAATCAGAATCTCTGGGGTGGGACCCAGGCATCATTCTGTGAAGCTCCTTAGGCAAGTCCAACTTGCAGACAAGGTCAAGCAATGGTTTAGATGGTCAAAGAACTAATCACTGTAACATAGAAATTTAGGACTAACAAGTGACTGGGAGATGTGAGCCTTGATTTGTTTTGCTTTTTGATGATAATGGTTTATTTGGGTCATAATGTTTATGTTTAATATTGAAGCATTTAATAGTTTGCTTCTCCAGAACCCTTAGTTAATGAATTATAATGGATACATGATACTTTCTTAAAGAGATAGAAGTTAACACTTTCTTTCCAAAGGAAAATTTCCTTTCAGCTTTATTTTTCATATTACTTGCTTCTTTTATAAGCTGAATGTTCTGAGCATATGTTAGCTCCTTTTTGGTGGCTGTTGACTAAAATAATTGTCATATTGAAAGACTACTTATTTAGCCCTGGCCAATTTGCTCAGTGGTTAGAGTGTCGGCCTGCAGTCCAGAGAAAGACTACTTATGTACATTATTCTGTACTTTAGATGTAGATGAAGTGAAATCTAGGCTAAATGGGTTCTTATTTCAATAATGGCTCTAAAACATGATTTCTCGATTTCTCAAGTCCTGGGAGATCAGCTTGTATCTTAATTGTTTGCCTCCTTATCACAAATTTTGTGGGAAGTAGGTACAGTAAAACATCCCCTCCCAGAGCAGGAGAATATGGCTGTATGGCTGTATGTCTGTTTAAATGCAACGACCGAAGCAGATTAATCCCAAGTGATTGTCTCAGTCTCAAGGAATATTACTATATTTTTTGTAGCTGTTACTCCCTTTGACTTTTAGTCAAGAATGTCTTTTATTTTTTTAAATAATGTTTTTATTTTTCAGTTGCAGTTGATGAACAATATTATATACGTTTCAGCTGTACAATCCAGTGATTAGATATTTACATAACTTGTGATCACCCCAGTAAATCTAGTACCCATCTGATACCATACAGAGTTATTAGAATATTAACAATATTCCCTATGCTGTAGCTTACATCCTCATGACTATTCTGTAACTACCAATTTGTACTTCTTAATCCCTTCACCAATTTTACCCATTACCCACCTCTCCCTCCCCAGTCTGGCAATTATCAAAACGTTCTCTGTATCTATGAGTGTTTCTGGTCTGCTTGTTTGTTCATTTGGTTTTTTAGATCCCACATATAAGTGAAGTCTAAAAAATGTCTTTTTTTTCCTTTATTGATTTTAGGGAGAGGGAGAGAGAGATAGAAACATCGATAAGAGAGAACATTGATTAGCCACCTCCTACATGCTCCCCGCTGGGGATCAGGCCCACAACCTGGGCATGTGCCCTGAAGGGGAATCGAACCGGCAACCTCTTGGTACATGGCTTGATGCTTAACCACTGAGCCACACTGGCCAGGCTAAAGAATGTCTTTTAAATACTATTTCCAGACAACTGCCAAAGCTCTGGTCATATCACTTTCCCTAAAAAAAAAAAAATCTCTGTAAAAAAGATACCGCAGTGCTTTTTAGCTTAGAATTCAGGCTCAAATCTGACTCAACTTACTTTTCCATCCTTATTTCTTCTACTCTTCATTCACCCTGTGATTTATCCAAACTGGAGTATTTCTTTTCTTTGTTTATGCCTAAACTTCCCACTGTCAAGCCTTCGATCTTGCTTTACCCTCTACCAATAATGCACTTCCCTGCCCCCTCATTGCACCTCTTAATACCTATTCTTCAAGACCCAGCTCAGATATCTCAAGTTCTCCTACACCATTCTTCATACAGCCATATCTTATCTGGTCAGTTATAAATAATGTCTCCCTTCTCTAAAATTATATGCTGATTATCCATATTCTCACTGCTTATAAGACTTAACTCCTTGAGAAATGTTCATCCTATACATCCCTGTCAGGACCTTGCACACTAGCCAGAAAATAGCAACAGAAAGTCTGTTGCTCCCCTACTAAGCTGTCCTTCCTTAATCTTGCACTTTCTTCCCGGTTCTTCATTGTTCTTCTTTTGTCTCTGCCTCCTGTTTCTCAACTTTTTATGAAATTACTGGCATTCTTCAGTGAACACCAGCCAGAGCTCTCTATTTTTCCATGAAGCGGACTGAAACAGCACAGGGCTGCGTGTATTGTAATTATATCTTGGATGATAGGTGCTTCCTTCTGGTGTTTAGAAGTTGTTACTTTGCAGTCAATTGATAGTTATTTCTACATAGTCTTTCTTTCCTTAATGGAATTTAAAATAATAGGTCTTCTAGATTCAAAGACATTGTAGGATATTATTGAGTTTTCTAAAATGCTAGTGTCAGTATTTTACATATACTACATATTATTTAATAATATATGTTTCCATCTTAAGAGAACATTTATGACATACACTAAATCATCTGTAATAAAGATACATGATCTAGTGAAAAAAAATACTCGTAACATCCAGAGCAGGGTATTCATGGATTCATAGGAAGTACAGGAATGAACTTCAGGAAGTGTTGTGTTTATGTGAATATTGGTTTTTTTCTTTCTTAGCTTTAATCAAATTTTCACAATGCTCTGTGATCTACAAAGAAAAAGGTTGAAAGAGACTGCCTAATAGTGAAATCAGAATAAAAATTCTAAAAATATTTTATGTACTTATAGCACTAAAATTAATGTTATTTTAAAAGAGTATTTAATGCATCTACTAAAATTAAAATTATAAGCACTTTGTCATTATAAGATCAGGGTTCATGTTTCTAACAGATCTTTTTTCCTAGGGAATATCTGAAACACAGGGAAAAAGAAAAGCAGGAGGTGATTGAGAACTTGAAGAATATCAGCAGTGGCAACTTGTGTCCTGTTTTAAAGCGCACTATCCCGTTAGGAGTTGCCTATCACCATAGTGGTTTAACGAGTGATGAAAGGAAGCTCTTGGAGGAGGCCTATTCCACAGGAATTCTCTGCCTTTTAACCTGCACATCCACCCTAGCAGCAGGTGTTAACCTACCAGCTCGAAGGTGAGATATGAGTCTCTGTTGGCCAGACTCAAAATTTTTCAATTCCTCACGTGCTAGGAGTTTGTTGTTGTTTTATTCTTTCTTGGTAGTGGGTGAGAATTTGTTTTTTGTTTTTAGTATTTGCTGAGTTGATCATTTGATTTATTTCCTTTAACATTTTTTTTTCTTTATTGGTTTTAGAGAGGGAGGAAGGGAGAGGGAGAGGGAGAGGGAGAGAGATAGAAATATCAATTGGCTGCCTCCTGCATGCCACTCATGAGGGATTTGGCCCACAACCTGGGCATGTGCCCTGACTGGGAACCAAATGGAGACCTCTTCTTGGTGCATGGGTCAACACTCAACCACTGAGCCATACCAACCAGGCCCAATCTGTTTGTTTTTATCCTCACCTGAGAACATTTTTTTTTTTTTTTTTTTTTTGCATTTATCTTCAGATAGAGTGGGAGGGAGAGAGGGAGGAAGAGAGAGAGAGACAAACATTGATGTGAGAGAGGCACATCGAATGGTAGGGGCCAGGGACAAACTGCAACGGAGGTATGTGCCCTTAGTAGAAACTGAACCCGACCCTAACCGCTGAGCCAAATTGGCCAGGGCCCAATCTGATTTTGATGTCAAGGTTTATTATCCTGCTTGGGTAGAAACAGTTGGAAAGCTATCCACCATTTTTATCATCTGAAAGAGTTTGTTTAACATAAGGATTTCCTTGAAACCTCAGAGAACTCATCCATAAAGACTTGTGAGTCTAGTATCTTATTTTAGAGTAAATCCTTGATTACCTTTTCAGTTATTACCAAAGGTATGGTCTGAATAGTTAGTTTCTGTTCTTTAGAATTTGTGACTATAAAATTTTGTGACATGTTTTTCAAATAAATAGCCAACCTTTATAAATCATCTATAAGTGTTAAAAAATAAGTATTTTCTGTCAGATGTGCAGTTTTCGATATCTCAATGAGATCACAGTTGTTAATCATGTTGTCATCTCCTCTATTTTCTTACTATTTGTGATTCCTTAATCTGTTAATTTCAGAGAGGTGGGGATTTCCCACATTAATTGCGTAGTTGTAATTTTCTCCTTTTTGCATTTCTAAAAATGTATTTCAAAACTATTTAGGTATAAAAAGCTTGACTCTAAATATCGTGTTGCTGAATTGTACCACCTATTAATATAATAGGTCCTTATTTTTCTAACTTAATTCTACTTTGTATTACGGACTACATTTTTTTTTGCCAAGTATATCTTTTTCCATTCTTTTATTTTTAACCTCTGTATAAAATTTAGTTTTATAAAATAATGGGAAGTTATGTACCTATCCTATTCCTCTTATTCCAACTGTTAAAAGTATAACAGTTGTAATTAAACATGTATTTCTATCATTGTAGAATTAATAATTATCTTTTAATTATTTTATTCAATAAAATCTTTTTAATTAATTTATTTTTGTTACAGATATTTCTCTTTTTTTCCCCCATTGACACCCTCCTCCCAACCCCCCAACACCCCCACACTCCAGCATTGTTGTCTATGTCAGTTGGTTGCCCATACATGCATATAAGTTCTTTGGTTTACCTCTACTCTCCCCACTCCCACTGTCTTCTGCAGTTTGTCAGTCTTTACACTATGTCTATGTTTTTGAGTCTGTTTTGTACATCACCTTATTTTGTTCATTATATTCCACAAATAAGTGAGATCATGTGATATTTGTCTTTCTGATTGGTTTATTTCCCTTAGCATAATACTCTCCAGGTCCCTCCATGTCATCTCAAAGGATAAGAGATCTTTCTTTCTTATAGCTACATAGTGTTCCATTGTGTATATGTACCACAGCTTTTTGATCCACTCATATATTGATGGACACTTAGGCTATTTCCTGATCTTAGCAATTGTGAATAGTGCTGCTGTTGACATAGGGGTACATGTATTTTTTCTGATTGGTGTTTTGGGCTTCTTAGGGTATATTCCTAGAAGTGGGATCATTGGGTCAAATGGCAGTTAAATTTTTAATTTTTGGAGGAAACACCATATTGTTTTCCACAGACGCTGCACCAGTCTGCATTCCCTCCAGCAGTGTACTAGAGTCCCCTTTTCTCCACACCCTAACCAGCACTTGTTTGATGATTTGTTGATGGTAGCCATCCTGATAGGTGTGAGGTGATACCTCATAGTCATTTTAATTTGTATCTCTCTGATGATTAGTGACAATGAATATTTCTTCATATGTCTCTTGGCCATTTGTATGTCCTTTTTGGAGAGGTGTCTATTCAGGTCCTCTGCCCATTTTTTAATTGGATTCTTTGTCTTCTTTCTGTTGAGTTGTATGAGTACTCTATGTATTTTGGAGATTAACCCCTTATATGAGGTATCATTGGCAGTTATGCTCTCCCATACAGTGGGTTGCCTTTCCATTTTGATGCTTGTTCCTTTTGCCCTGCAGAAGCTTTTCAGTTTGATGTAGTCCCATGTATTCATTTTTTCCTTTGTATCTCTTACCTTAGGCATTGTATCAGTGAAAATTCTGCTGCATGTGATGTCTGAAATTTGTTGCCTACATTTCCTTCTAGGATTTTTATGGATTCATGACTCACATTTCAGTCTTTTATCCATTTTGAGTTTACTCTTGTGTATGTTGTAAGTTCGTGGTCTAGTGTCATTTTTTTGCATGTAGCTGTCTAATATTCACAACACCATTTATTAAAGAGGCTGTCTTTACTCCATTGTATGCTCTTGCCACCTTTATCAAATATTAATTGAGCATAATGCCTTGGGTCAATTTCTGTGTTCTCTGTTCTGTTCCATTGAGCTATATGCCTGTTTTTGTGCCAGTAACAGGCTGCTTTCATTACAATGGCTTTGTAGTATAACCTGATATCCGGTATTGTGATCCTTCCTACTTTGTTCTTCTTTTTCAAGATTGCTGTGGCTATTCAGGGTCTTTTTTTGGTTCCATACAAATATTTGAAGTATTTGTTCTAGTTCTGTGAAATATGTCGTTGGTATTTTGCTGGGGATTGCATTGAATCTATAGCTTGCTGTGGGTAGTATGGACATTTCAATGATGTTAATTCTTCCAATCCATGAACAAGGTATATGCTTCCACTTTTTTATGTCTTCCTCTACTTCTTTTTTCAATATCCTGTTGTTTTTTGAGAGCAAGTCCTCTACTTCTTCAGTTAAATTTATTCCTAGGTATCTTAGTTTATTTGCCGCAATAGTAAATGGGATTTTTTATAGCTTCTCTTTCTGAGAGTTCATTATTGGTGTATAAGAATGCCATCGATTTCTATCGATGCTATCGATGTTAGTTTTGTATCCTGCTACTTTGCCAAATTCATTTAATAAATCTAGTTGATTTTTGATAGAGCCTGTAGGGATTTCTATGTACAATATCATGTCATCTGCAAAAAATGACAGTTTCACTTTCTCCTTCCCAATTTGGATCCTTTTTGATTTTTTCTTCATGTCAATTGCTGAGGCTAAGACTTCCAGAACTATGTTGAATAAGAGTGGCCGAAGTGGGCATCAGTGTCTTGTTCCTGTTCTTAAAGGAAATTCTTTTAGTTTTTGCCCATTGAGTACGATGTTGGCTGTAGGTTTTTCATATATGACCTTTATTATGTCAAGATATGATCCCTTTATTACCACATTACTGAGCATTTTTATCAGAAATTGTGCTTGCTTTTGTTGAATGCTTTTTTCAGCGTGTATAGATATGATCATATGGTTTTTATCTATCATTTTGTTTATGTGGTGTGTCACATTTATTGATTTGCAGACATTGCAACAGCCTTGCATCCCTGGAATGAATCCCACTTAGTCATGGTAAATAATTTTTTTAATGTATTGCTGGATCTGATTTGCTAATATTTTGTTAAGGATTTTGGCATGTATGTTCATCATAGATGGCCTATAGTTTACTTTCTTTGTAGTGTCTTTATCTGGTTTTGGAATTAGAATTATGCTGGCCTCATAAAATGAATTTGGAAGTCTTCCATCTTTGTGGATTTTTTGGAATAGTTTGAGGAGAATGGGTGTTAGTTCTTCTTTGAATGTTCAGTAAAACTCCCCCATGAAGCCATTCGGGCCTGGGCTTTTGTTTGCTGGGAGTTTCTTGATTATGTCTTTAATTTCCTTAGTTGTTATTGGTCTGTTCAAGTTTTCTATCTCTTCCCAGTTCAGTTTTGGGAAACTGTGGTTATAGAAATTTGTCTCTTTCACATAGATTGTCCAATTTGTTGGTGTATAATTGTTCATAGTATTTTTTGTTTAATGATCTTTTGTATTTCTCTGGTATCAGTTGTTACTTCTCTTTTGTTTCTGATTTTGTTTATTTAGGTCCTCTCTTTTTGTTTCTTGGTGACTCTCACTAAGGCTCCATCAATCTAGTTTATCTTTTCAAAGAACCAGCTGTTTCATTGATCCTTTGAATTGTTTCTATAGTTTCTATGTCATTTATTTCTGCACTGACCTTTACTATTTCTTTCCTTCTACTTGCTCTGGTTTTTTCTTTTTGTTTACTTCCTAGTTCTTTAAGTTGAAGGATTGGAAAGTCAATTAGAAATGTTTCTTGTTTCTAGAGGTAGACCTGTAGTGCTATGAACTTCCCTCCCAGTACTGCTTTCACTGCGTCCCATAGATTTTGTGTTGTTATGTGTTTATTTTCATTGGTTTCCCAGAAGTTTTTAATACATTCCTTTATCTCTTTGGTAAGCCATTCATTGTTTTATAACATGCTGTTTAGCCTCCATGTGTTTGAATGTTTTTTTGTGTTTTTGTTGTAATCGATTTCTCATTTCATGACATTGTGATCTGAGAAGATGCTTGATATGATTTCAGTCTTCTTGAACCTGTGGAGATTTAGTTTGTGCCCTAACATTTGGTCTGTCCTTGAAAATGTTCCATGTGCACTTGAGAAGAATGTGAATTCTGTAGTTTGGGATGTAATTATCTGTAGATATCTATTAAATCCATCTAATATAGGGCATCATTTAGAGTCTCTGTTTCCTTGTTAGTGTTTTGTCCATAAGAGCTATCCAGTGATGTCAGTGGGGTGTTGAAGTCCCCTGCTGTGATTGTATTGCTGTGATTTCTCCTTTGAAGTCCTCCAGAAGTTTTTAAATATATTTTGGTGCTCCTATGCTAGGTGCATATATGTTGACCAAGGTTATATCCTCCTGTCGGATAGATCCTTTCAATATTATGTAGTGGCCTTCTTTGTCTCTTGTTATGGCCTTCATTTTGAAGTCTATTTTATCAGATGTGAGTATTGCTACCCCAGCTTTTTTTATATTGTTTGTTTGCTTGGAAAATTTTTTTCATCTCTTCACTTTCAACCTACGTGAGTCTTCTGTTGTGAGATAGGTTTCTTGTAAACAACATATATATGAGTCATGCTTTCTTATCTATTCAGCTACTCTGATTGACCTTGTGGCACAATGATAGCATGTCTGACTCCATTCAGCTACTCTGGGTCTTTGATCAGAGTGTTTAATTGATTTATGTTGAAGGTTATTAGGATGTGTACTTATTAATTGCCATTTTTGTTTATTATGATTATGTTTTTCTTCCTATGTCTTCTACTTATTATAGCAGTCCTTTTAACATTTCTCGGAGTGCTCATTTGGTACTAATATATTCCCTTAGCTTCTTTTTTTGGTCTGGGAAGGTCTTTATTTTACATTCTATTTTGAATGATTGCCTTGCTGGATAGAGTAGTTGTGGATTCAGATCCTTGTTTTTTATTACCTTGATTATGTTATGCCATTCCCTTCTGGCCTGCAGTGTTTTTATTGAGAAGTCAGCTTATAGCCTTAGGGGGGTTCCTTTGTAGGTAACCTGTTGCTTATCTCTTGCTGCTTTTAGAATTCTCTCTTTGTCTTTAATTTTTGGCATTTCAATTATTATGTTTCTTGGCATGGGCCTCTTTGGGTTCTTCTTACTTGGGTCTCTCTGTGTTTCTTGAACTTATATGCCTTTTTCCTTCTCCATGTTAGTGAAGTTTTCTGTCACTATTTCTTAAAATATGTTCTCTAACCTTTGCTCATTTTCTTGTTCTAGCACTCCTATGATGCATATGTTATGTTTCATGTTTCATGTTCTCCCACCGTTCCCTTAGGCTGTCTTCCTGTTTTTTAATTGTTGTTTTTTGGGGTTTTTTTTGTTCTCTGATTGGGCGATTTTTTCTACCCTATCTTCTAATTTCGTGGTCCGATTCTCGACATCCTCTATTCTGCTGGTTATTCCTTCCAATGTGTTCTTTATTTCTGCTATGTCATTCTTCATTTCCAATTGGTTGGTTTTCAGTGTTTCTATATCTTTACTCATGCTGTTGAGCTTCTTCATAATTACTACTCTGACCTCTACCTCTGATAACTTGCTTAATTGCATTTCATTTTTCTCTGTATTTTATTTTTCTCTTCTTCTGTAGAATTCTCTTGTTTTTTCATTTGGAATATGTTTCTTTGTTTTACCATTTTGGCTGTCGTAGCGGGTTTTGGAGCCTGCCAAATTTTTCCTGTGGGTGTTGATGTTCTGCTGGTTGTGACTCCCTATGCTGGGTTTGGATGAGTGTGGGAGGACCCATGTTAAACATCACTGTTAAGTCTTACTTTCCTAGGTAGATTTGCAAGCCAAGGAAAGGTTCAGTTATCCTCTAGCTTTTGCCTGGAGGCTATTAGTCTCAGTTACTTGATGAGCCTTAATATGTAGCCCTCAGTTGACTGAACAATCCCTCAGGTATAAGAGGATTTCCAGTAGGTGGGGCACTTGCTTGCTATCAGGCTTTAGGTGTTAAGGAGCCTCAATTTGCATTTATCTGGCCTGGCCTGGCAGTGTTGAATTCCTGATAGAGGGGCTATTGCTTCTCTCCAGGGTTCTGGGAAGGGGTTCTTTGAGTAATATGCCTACTGTCCTAAGGGAGTGATTCAGCACAAAACTCCAGGTGTCCTCCCCTCTAGCTCTCTCCTAAGCCAGGAGCCCCAGATTCTCCACACAGTTCCAGTCCAGTCTGCCTCCCTCTGCCGAAACCCAAGGTGAGTGGCTGTAGCTGATTAGGTGTTTTTTAAAACCCCCACTTTCTCAACGGGGACCGCTCACAGCTAAAACAGCCCTCTACTTCTGTCTGTGTGCTCCCAGCCTGCCCTCTTGTGCCTTGGCGTGTCCTACCAGGTTCAATTTGGCATCCTCTTTTTGTCCCTGGTTATATGGGTTCTCTCTAGCTGCTTTTCAGTTGTTGTTTTCTTGATGATTTGTCTTTATTTTAGTTCTAATTCCAGTTTGGTCTTGGGAGACCTTTTGTGTAGCTTCCATTCACTCCACCACCATTTTTCCTAGTTCAGTAGTTATACACTCTTAAACATAAGTCTTACCATTTCTATATCCTTTTACACCGCCTCATGAATGTATGTTGCAATTAACTAAAATTCTAGTTCCAGATATTTTTTTTCATTTTATAATCAGTAACTATTTAAATTTACTTGTATATTATCCTTGGCTTTTTTGTTTGTTTCTTTATTACCACTGCCTCTTGTATTCCACATCTTCCTTCTGTGATTCATTTTTTATTTTGCCACCCTTGAGTAATTATTGTTTAAGTACTGTATTGGGGTAAACTTTTTGAGTCTTTGCATAGCTGAAGATGTCTTTATGTTAGCCTTACACTTTAACACCTTGCTAGAATTTTAGGTTCAAGTTTTTCTCCTTGGGGACTTCAGAATATTGTTGCTTGTCTTTTAGGAGCCAGTGTTGCTCATTTTTTGGTGTAGGTTAGCTGTTTTTCCCTTTCCAGAGCCTTTAATATTCTTTTTTTTGTTTTGTTTTCATGTTTTTATTAATTTTTTTAGAGAGAGAGGAAGGGAGAGAGAGATAGAAACATCGATTGGCTGCCTCCTGCAAGCCCCCTACCAGGGATTGAGCTCTCATCCCAGACATGTGCCCTGACTAGGAATTGAACTGAACCTCTCAGTCCATGGAACAATGTTCAGTCCACTACACTACACCGGTAGGGCTTCATAAGTCTTTATACTTGTCATTTTAACTTTAAAATTTTATCATAGCGTTTAATAATAATTGCATCTATTACACTTCCTTCCTCATGTCATAGTAGTTTTACATGCATTGACTTAATAGATCCTTACGACAACTCTGTGAGGATGGTCATGTTTTATTATTCATGTTTTATAGAAGGAAAAACTGAGGTGCTGAACAATTAAATAATTTGCCCAACTTCATGCCCAAGAAATGAGTTTCAAAGCCAAGGTTTGAACCCTGGTAAACTAATTCTACAATCCCAACTATCCCAGTTTAGCTACTTTTCATTCATACAGTTTAGCACTTGGGTGTATGCTTTCAACTTAAAGTTTTATGCCTTTTATAATCTTAGAGCAATTGTTTTGGTTATTTTATTATTATTTTTCTTTCATTATCTCTGTTCTCTGCTGTTATAACTTCATTTAGGCAGAAATGGAATTTTCTAGATTGTGCTTTCTTATCTTTTTTCTTACACATTTTTTCAGTCTAAGCTATGAGATTTCTTTAACTTTACCTTATGCATAACAAAATCAGCTTTTAACTATATCCCATTAACTATGTTTATTCATTATTCAGTTCTTCTATTGAAATATATATATATATATATAGTTAATCCTCACCTGAGGATATTTTTCTATTGATTTTTAGATCAAGTGGGAGGGAAAGAGGGAGAGAGAGAGAAACATCCATGTGAGAGAGACACATCGATTGGGTGCCTCCTGGATAACCCCAGCTGGGGCCGGGGACAAACCTGCAACTCAGATATGTGACCTTGACCAGGAATCGAACCTGCAACCCTTCAGTCCTTAGGCTGATACTCTAACCACTGAGTCAAACCAGCCAGGGCCTAATGAATTTTTTAACTAAATTTAAAATATTTTCTTAATTTCCAAGAACTCTCTTCTTTTATTGCTCTTTTTAATTAAAGTCTGCTGTCATATTTTGAATGCAATACCCTCAAGGATTTTCTGTGGATACTTACTAGAATTTAGGTTCTTTTCTGTTTCTTATATTATCTGTTTCTGTTAGACATTTTTTCTTTATGTCTTGTTGTTTTTCTGTTATGTCATTAGTCTTCTTTCAAGTGTTTGGTAATCTTGGCTGTTCATTTAAATTTTTAAATAAAGGAGTTGGTTGATCAGTGTAGGTAAATACCATAGATTTCCCCTCACCTTTGACTAGGAAAGCTGGCTACACTGGGCAGGATGAAATTACCCTGTTTATAGGTCAAAAACAGTTAAAATCTGAAATTTTATATAGGTGACAATAATATAAATTTATAAATAAATATGCATATGTTGGTGTACATGGTGATAGTTTTCATTTAGGGCATATAAAATAAAAACATCTCTGCAAACTATTGCTATAGTGGATTGGTCATAAGCTTGAAGCTAGCTGGATGTAAGTTCAAATTATGTTTCTGGTAATGACTAATTTTGTGGGTTGAAGTAAGCCAATACCCTTGTAAAAATTAAAATAGACTATTGTAACAAAGAGTTTTATAAGAATTATAGATAATGTACATAAAGAGCTTAGGACATTATAGATTTTTGGTAAATAGTAGTTATCTATTATTTTAAGCTAATATGTCACTAAATTTAGTGTAATATAATTATAATGAAATTAAGAATTTAAAAAAATAGGTGCTATTGCTATAGATGGAGTATGACTTTTAATTAATTTAATAAATTCCATAGAGTTATTTTGAGAGCTCCCTATGTTGCTAAGGAATTTTTAAAGAGAAATCAATATAAACAGATGATCGGAAGAGCTGGCCGTGCTGGAATAGATTCTTCTGGGGAGAGTATCCTTATATTGCAAGAAAAAGACAAGCAACAGGTAACACTCCATGTGGTTGTTGGTTGGTTGTTCTATTTTGTTTTTTGGTCTTTGGTCTAGCTCTTTTATGAGATCATCTTTTAAAAATTAATTATTAATATTTCTTTAAAAAATTTTTCCTGCTCTATGAATAAGAATTGGAAAGAGTAGTTTGAATACTTTTGCATTTTAGGCAAACAATGAAAAGCATTTTTCCTATTTATCTTTCTTCTATTTTCATGGGCACAACTGCTAAATTCTTTTTTCTTTGTGGATTTTATTTTTAATCTTCCCTGCCTCCACAAGATACACACAAAATATAAAATTTTATGTAGAACATCATTTATTCTTTATAATAACACAAAACATAATACTGCTTTAACTTTGTAGGTATTGGAGTTGATAAGCAGACCACTAGAAAACTGTTACAGCCATCTCTTTCAAGAATTCACCAAGGGAATCCAAACCTTGTTTCTCTCATTGGTTGGTTTAAAGGTATTTTTTATTATTTTTAAATCTTATTACGAGGGATATGTAATGAAAACTGTAAAGTATGAAAAAATGTTAACTTTAATTTGATGTGTAAAAGAACAGTCTAACATGATAAAGCAGAATCTGGATTTATATGTGCATTTTTAGTCTTTGAGTTGTAAGGAATATGAGACATCAACAAATTATAACTGAGTATCAGTTACAAGTAAGAGACTTTGGTGGATACACAAGCTGCTGTAAAGACATGAGTCCTGATGTAGGACAATCCATCATCTCTGCCTTTGTTAAGACTGAGTTTTTCCTATAGTCCTATGACCATTCTAGGATATGTTAAACATGTGTGAGGTAAGTATAGCCTTTATCAGGCAGAAAATTTTAATTTTTAAAAAAGACATGATAGGAAAATACTCTTTTCCTAAAATTAGACATTAGCTCTCTTTTTTAGGTTTACTCATAAACTTCTTTTTTAGGATAGCGTAAATTTTAACTTTGTGCCCAAAGTCACTCTGCCACAAAGTGTCAAAGCCAGGGTTTGAATTCAGCTTTGTCTAAATACAAAACCAGTGCTCTTAACCTTTCATGCAGTCTATCTTCACCTACACTTTGTCTTGTTAACTCTCACCCAGCCTTCAGATTTTTACTTAACCATCGCTTTCTTGGGGAAGGCTCCCCGTGCCTCTGAATCTAGTCAGCCTATTGTATGCTTTATAGAACCACAGACTGTACCCCACTGGAATATAAGCACTGTGAAAACAGGGTTCACATTTATTTTCATTTATCACTGAATCTTTGCCTAGCACAGTACCTGGCATGTGGTTGTAATTCAGTAAATGCTTGAATTAATTAATGGGTTGACTTTGGAGTTGGGCATGATTGAACTTGCAGGCTGGGGCAAGAGTGGAGAATCCAGCTTTGAGAAACTGTGGAGGCCAGAGACAAAGGCTAGCCCAGTGGGTTTAAATCACTGTGTCTAAAAGTTTTTCACAGAGGGGTAGAAAGGTAACATAGCTGTAGCTAGAATGATCAAGTAAACATTGTTTTTAAACCCAGTGTTAACTGTAATTAACCAAGTATAAAACCATATAGAAACTAAGTACATTAATAATCTACAAACTGAGTATCAGGTCTAGAATATCTTAAAAATGCAATTTTAGCAGAATTCCAAAATGGCGCCTGAGTGAATTTACATTCAGCTACACAGACAGTCACCCAGGACCAAACTGGAATTACAACTAAAATAAAGACAAATCGTCGGGGAAAAGCAACAGAAAAGCAGCTTGCGAGGATCATATAACCAGGGGCACTGACTCGATTCTGGTAGGATTGCTGACGTGCGAGAGTGGGGCTGGGAGTCCACAGACAGCAGCGGCCTTAACTGTGAGCTACGCCCTCGGGTTAAACTCCCAAGCAACTCCATAGCCCAGAGCCAGTACAGATGCTAAAATAGCCACAGCCACTCACAATGGGCTCTGGCAGAGGAGGGCGGACTGGACTGCAACTGTGTGGGGACACTCGAGGTTTGGAGGGTGCTCAGAGCTTTTGCTGAGTTGCATCCACACAGGGCAGTGGCCATGTTACTCCTTCCCAGGGCTCTGGGGAGAAGCAGTGGCCACTCCCTCGGAGATTCAACCCCACTCAGGTGGGCCATTGAAATGCAAATTGAGGCTCATTAACGACCAGCATCTACCCCACCCTCGGGAAATCCCCTTACACTGAGACCCTGAGGGAGTTTTTCCTTCAACTGAAACCCAAGGCTCTTCAAGTAACTGCTACTGATAGTCTCCAGGCAAAAAGCTAGAGGATAACTGTACCATTCCTGGGCTAGAAACTCTAACCAAGAAAGTAAGACTTGACAGTGGTAGTTTAATGTGGGTCCTCCCTCACTCATCCAAACCCAGAAGAGGGAGCCACAAACAGCAGCACACCAACACCCACAGAGAAAATTTGACAGGCTTCAAAGCCAACTGTGATAGCCAAAATGGTGAAACAAAGAAACAAAAGCCAAATGAAAGAACAAGAGACCTCTATTGAAGATGAGATAAATGTGGAGCAGTTAAGCAAGTTAACAGAGCTAGAATTCAGAGCCATGATCTTGAGGAAGCTCAGAAGCATGAGTAAGGACATGAAAATGTTGAAAATCAACCAATTCGATATTAAAAACCACCAAGATGAAATCAAGAATGACATATCAGAAATAAAGAACACATTGGAAGGTCTAAAAAGCAGAGTAGAGGAAGCTGAGGACTGGATCAGTGAATTAGAAGACAGAGTAGAAAAAATCAACCAGTCAGAAAACAAAAAGGAAAAACAAAAAACAGGAAGACAGCTTAAGAGAACTGTGGGACAACTGAAAACGGAATAATATTCGTATCATAGAGTCCCCGAAGAAGAAGAAAATGAGCAAGGGTTACAGAATATATTCAAAGAAATAGTGACAGAAAAGTTCCCTCATTTGGTGAAGGAAGAAGGCATTCAAGTTCAAGAAGCACAGAGTCCCAAATAAGAAGAACCCAAACAAGCCCACACCAAGACACATAGTAATTAAAATGCCAAAAATTAAAGACAAAGACAGAATCCTAAAAGCAGCAAGAGATAAGCAACAGGTCACCTATAAAGAAACCCTATAAGGCTCTCAGCTGACTTCTCACAAGAAACACTACAGGCCAGAAGGGAATGGCATGAAGTAATCAAGGTCATGAAAAACAAGGATCTGAATCCAAGACTACTCTACCCAGCAAGGCTATCATTCAAAATAGAAGATCAAATAAAGAGCTTTCCAGACCAAAAAAAAAAAAGGCTAAGGGAAACATGAGCACCAAACCAGCACTATAAGAAATGTTAAAAGGACTGCTGTAATTAGTAGAAGAAATAGGAAGAAAAATATAACCAAACTGAACAAAACTGGCAATAAATAAGTACATGTCAATAATCACCTTAGCCCTGGCCAGTTTGGCTCAGCGGTTAGAGCGTCGGCCTGCGGTCTGGAGAGACCCGGGTTCGGTTCCCGCTAAGGGCACGTACTTCGGTTGCAGTTTGTCCCCGGCCCTGGTTGGTCGTGTGGGTGGCAGCCACTCAATGTGTCCCTTCACGTCGATGTTTCTCTCTCTCTCTCCCTTCCTCTCTCCCCCTCCCACTCTATCTGTACAAAAATGGAAAAATATCCTCGGGTGAGGATAAAAAAATAAAATAAAATAAATAAAAAATAATCACCTTAAATGTAAATGGACTGAATGATCCAATAAAAAGACACAGAGTAGCTGATTGGATAAGAAAGCATGACTCATCCATATGTTGTTTACAAGAGACCCACCGCAAAACAAAAGACTCACATAGGTTGAAAGTGAAGGGATGGAAACAAATCTTCTGGAAACGGAAAGGAGAGAAAAGGCTGGGGTAGTAATACTTGTATCTGATAAAACAGATTTCAAAATTAAGGCCATAACTAGAGACAAAGAAAGCCACTACATAATATTGAAAGGATCTATCTAACAGGAAGATAGAACCTTGATAAACATATATGCACCCAATATAGGAGCACCAAAATATATTAAAAATCTTCTGGAGGACTTCTAAGGAGAAATCGACAATAATACAATCATAGCAGGGGACTTCAACACCCCGTTGACACCACTGGATAGATCCTCTAGACAAAAAATTTGCAAGGAAACAGAGACTCTAAATGAAGCACTAGACCAAATGGATTTAATAGATATCTACAGAGAATTACACCCCAAAACTACAGAATTTATATTCTCAAGCACACATGGGACATTCTCAAAGATAGACCACATGATAGGACACAAACTAAATCTTGACAAGTTCAAGAAGACTGAAATCATATCAAGCATCTTCTGAGATCATAATGGCATGAAACTAGAAATCAATTGTAACAAAAACATGCAAAGACATTTGAACACATCAAGGCTAAATAGCATGTTATTAAACAATGAATGGGTTACCGAGGAGATCAAGGAAGAAATTAAAGACTTCCAGGAAACCAATGAAAATGAACACACAACAACACAAAATCTATGGGATGCAGCAAAAGCAGTTCTGAGAGGGAAGTTCATAGCACTACAGGCCTACCTCAAGAAACAAAAACAATTTCTAATAGACTGTCTAGCCTCACAACTTAAAGAATTAGAAAGCAAACAAAAGGAAAACCCCAGAGCAAGTAGAAGGAAGGAAATAGTAAAGATCAGAGCAGAAATAAATGACATGGAGACAAAAAAAAAAAACAATTCAAATGATCAATGAAACAAAGAGCTGGTTTTTTGAAAAGATAAACAACATTGATGGACCCTAAGCTAGACTCACCAAGAAACAACGAGAGAGAACCCAAATACACAAAATCAGAAATGAAAGAGGAGAAGTAACAACTCACACCACAAAAATACAAAAGATCATTAACAGCTTCTATGAACAATTATGTGGCAACAAATTCAACAATCTAAGTGAAATGGACAAATTTCTAGAAACACATAGTCTCCCAAAACTGTACCAGGAAGAGATACAAAACTTGATCAAATCAATAGCAACTAAGGAAATTGAACAGGTAATCAAGACTCTCCCAGCAAACAAAAGCCCAGGCCCGGATGGCTTCACAGGGGAGTTTTACCGAACATTCAAAAAAGAACTAACACCCATTCTCCTCAGACTATTTCAAAAAATTCAAGAAGAAGAAAGACTTCCAAACTTTTTTTATGAGGCCAGCATAATTCTAATTCCAAAACCAGTAAAAAAAAAACACTACAAAGAAAGAAAACTACAGGTCAATACCCCTGCTGAACATAGATGCCAAAATTCTGAACAAAATACTAGCAAATTGGATCCAGTAATACATCAAAAAAATTATTCACCATGACCAAGTAGAATTCATCCCAGGGATGCAAGGCTGGTACAATATTTGCAAATCAATTAAATGTGATACAGCACATAAATAAAATGAAAAATAAAAACCACATGATCATATTAATAAATGCTGAAAAAGCATTCGACAAAGTCCAGCATTCATTTCTGATAAAAACACTCAGCAATGTGGGAATAGAGAGATCATATCTCTACATAGTAAAGGCCATTTATGAAAGACCTACAGCCAACATCGTACTCAATGGGCAAAAACTAAAAGCATTTCCCTTAAGAACAGGAAGAAGACAAGGATGCCCACTTTTGCCACTCTTATTTAACATAGTACTGGAAGTCTTAGCCACAGGAATCAGACAAGAAGAAAAAATAAAAGGGATCCATATTGGAAAGGAGGAAATGAAATTGTCATTATTCACAGATGACATAGTACTATACGTAGAAAACCCCAAAGACTCCACCAACAATTTACTAGACTTAATAAATGAATTTGGCAAAGTAGCAGGATACAAAATTAATGTCAAGAAATCGATGGCATTCTTATACACCAATGATGAACTCACAGAAAGAGAAACTAAAAAAACAATCCTATTTACCATCGTGGCAAAAAAATTAAGACACCTAGGAATAAACTTAACCAAAGAAATAAAGGATCTATTTGCAGAAAACTACAGGTCATTGAGAAAAGAAATAGAGGAAGATATAAAAAAGTGGAAGCACATGCCTTGTTCATGGATTGGAAGAATTAACATCATTAAAATGTTTATACTACCCAAAGCAATCTATAGATTCAAGGCAATCCTGATCAAAATACCAATGACATACTTCACAGAACTAGAACAAATACTTCAAAAATTTATGTGGAACCAGAAAAGACCTCGAATAGCCTCAGCAATCTTGAAAAAGAGCAAAGTTGGAGGGATCACATTACCAGATTTCAGGTTATACTACAAAGCCACTGTAATTAAAACAGCCTGGTACTGGCACAAGAGCAGACATATAGGCCAGTAGAACAGAACAGAGAACCCAGAAATAGACCCAAGACAAATGCTCAATTAATATTTGACAAAGGTGGCAAGAGCATACAGCGGAGTAAAGACAGCCTCTTTAATAAATGGTGTTGGGCAAACTGGACAGCTACATGAAAAAAATGAATCTAGACCATCAACTTACACCCTACACAAGAATAAACCTAAAATGTATAAAAGACTTAAATGTTACTCATGAATTCAGAAAAAAACAAAATTTCAGACATCATACACAGCAGAAGTTTCACTGATACATCACCTAAGGCAACAGAAACAAAGAAAATGAACACATGGCACTACATTAAACCAAAATGCTTCTGCACAGCAAAAGATACAATCATCAAAATGGAAAGGCAACCCACTGTATGGGAGAGCATAATTGCCAATGATATATCAGATAAGGGGTTAAATTCTAATACATAGAGAGTGCTCATACAACTCAACAAAAGGAAGACAAAGAACCCAATTGAAAAATGGGCAGAGGGTCCTGGCCCGTTTGCCTCAGCGGCGTCGGCCTGCGGTCTGGAGAGACCTGGGTTCGGTTCCCGCTAAGGGCACGTACTTCGGTTGCAGTTTGTCCCCGGCCCTGGTTGGTCGTGCGGGTGGCAGCCACTCGATGTGTCCCTTCACGTCGATGTTTCTCTCTCTCTCTCCCTTCCTCTCTCTCCCTCCTACTCTATCTGTACAAAAAATGAAAAGTATCCTCGGGTGAGGATAAAAAAAAAATGGGCAGAGGAACTAAATAGACACCTCTCCAAACAGGACATACAAATGGCTAAGAGACATATGAAGAAATGCTCATCATCACTAATCATCAGAGAGATGCAAATTACAACAACAATGCGGTATCACCTCACACCTGTCAGAATGGCCGCCATCAACAAATCATCAAACAAGTGTTGGCCAGGGTGTGGAGAAAAGAGGACTCTAGTACACTGCTGGTGGGAATGCAGACTGGTGCAGCCACTATGGAAAACACTATGGTGTTACCTCAAAAAATTAAAAATTGAACTTCCATTTGACCCAGTGATCCCATTTCTAGGAAGATACCCTAAGAAGCCTGAAATACCAATCAGAAGGAATATATGTACCCCCCATGTTCATAGCAGAACTATTTACAATAGCTAAGATCTGGAAACAGCCCAAGTGTCCATCAGCAGACAAATAGATAAAAAAGCAGTGGTACATATACACAATGGAATACTATGCAGCTGTAAGAAAGAAAGATCTCTTATGCTTTGAGACGACATGGAGGGACTTGGAAAGTATTATACTAAGCGAAACAAGCCAAGCAGAAAAAGACAAATACCACATGATCTCACTTATTTGTGGAATATAATGAACATAACAGTCTGAGGAATAGGGTAGACCCAGAGATGTGGAAGTAGGGTATAGACTGACAACACTCAGAAGAGGGGGTAGTGTGGGGAGGGAAGAGATAAACCACAGAACTTATATGCATGTACACATAACCAATGGACATGGACAATAAAGCCGGGGATGGTGTGGCAGGGATTGGGAGGAGGGTGTCAATGGGGTAACAAATGAGAAACATCTGTAACAAAAATTAAAAAAAAAAAAATTTAATGCAATATTAGCCTAATTGAATACTGTATTAAGAATGATTGGTATTAAAAGGAGAAGCAATGAGAAATGTCTGTGCTCTGTAATATTTTTTGTTACCCCTTATATTGGTTTAATATGAAATGACTACTTAAATTTTCCAATTGAAATATTATCAGAATTATGAGAGAGAGATATGCTTATTGATTCACTATATTTTAGTATAACATGCTGATTTCATTGAAATTGCCTAATATAAAATTATTCTAATTACCAAATGGAGGGTTAAGTATTACTGATGATTGCCTTTAAAAGTTTTAAATAGTAATAGGAGGAGAGAGAGAAAGGCAAGAAAGGAAGATAGAAATGAGACAAAAAGGTAGAAAACTGCTACTTATTTTTAGGTAATATATCAGGGAAAGCATTGCCTGGTCCTATTTCAGTGGAGACTTTCAGCTGTGTTTTCCATGTGTTTCGTTATTTCTTTGTAAATACAATTTTTAGAGTACTTTCACAGGTGGCTGGAAAGGGGTAATGGGAGGATTTCTGAAGGAGGTGGAGTGGGAATTAGTGATAATTGGTTGAGGAGTAAACAGCACAGCTTTGGAGATACTGTGAATAATTATTGAAAAACCTGTTTTCTGTGTGTGTGTGTGTTTGTGTGTGTGTAGAGTTTTCATAAAAAGTATGAATATGATAACTGTCTTCTCCCTTAACATGTTTTTTTAAATGCCTTAAAATGCCATTATAAAATTATCTTTACATATGCAACTATGTAGATTTTGTTGTTGTTAATCCTCACCCAAGGATATTTTTCCATTGATTTCTAGATAGGGTGGAAGGGAGGGCGGGGGAGAGAGAGAAACATCCATGTGAGAGAGACACATTGATTGATTACCTCCTGCATGACCCTGACCTGGGGCTGGGGTTCGAACCTGCAACCTAGGTATGTGCTCTTGACTAAGGAATCGAACCCAAGACCCTTTGGTCTGAGGGCCAACACTCTAACTGCTGAGCCAAACTGGCCACGACACAACTGTATGGATTTTTTTGTTTGTTTGTTTGTTTGTTTTGTTTTGTTTTTATCCTCACCCGAGGACATTTTCCCATTTTTTGTTCAGGTAGAGTGGGAGGGAGAGAGAGGAACAGAGAGAGAGAGAGAAACATCAATGTGAAAGGAACACATCGAGTGGCTGCCACCCGCACAACCGACCAGGGCCGGGGACAAACTGCAACTGAGGTACGCGCCCTTAGCGGGAACCGAACCCGGGTCTCTCAGGACCGCAGGTGGACGCTCTAACCGCTGAGCCAAACAGGCCAGGGCACAACTGTATAGATTTTATATTAGTTTTTTATTTAAATATTTTTGAAGTAAAATGAATTATTATCTTAATTAATGTACATTCAGAATGATGTCTTGAATTAAGAAAAATGTTCCAATGCTGTTCTCAATTGTTTTAGATTGCAACAGATCTTGGTGACATATATCGCTTTATGAGTGGAACATTGTTTGGTGTTCAGCAAAAGATTTTGTTGAAAGAAAAAAGTCTCTGGGAAATAACTGTTGAGTCACTTAGACACCTGACAGAAAAAGGACTCCTACAAAAAGATACCATTTTGACAGAAAAAGATCTTACACTAAAAGACGCTATTTATGAGTCTGAAGAATGGTTACGGTATAGTTTTCATATTACAAAGTTGGGACGAGCTTCTTTTAAAGGTAATAGTTTACCTAAATTTTATTTTACTTAAAATAAATTTTTAAAAATCTTTGTTTACCTGAATCTCAGCATTGAAAAAAATAGAAATTAAATTTTCTGTTACTTTAAATTGGATTTGTAATTTTATATTAATAAAATTAATCTTATAAACTTTAAAAAGTTGAAAAATGTTTTTGAATTACAAGTAATTTACAATACTGAAGGAGTATATAGAAAAAAAAATATTTAGCCCATCTTCACAGTCCCCTCCTCCAGCAATCACAAATCTTAATATCCTACTGAGAATAACAATTTGGTGTATTTCTTTTTAGACAGTTTCTGTATATTTCAGTGCATAATACATAGATATATATAGGTATTGTTCTGGAACAATATAGATGATTGCTTTTTTGCTTAATGTATTATGTTCAAGATTGTTGCATGACAGTAAATAGTTTCTTTCTTAATGGCACTTCTTAATTTACTTCATGAAAAATGATACTTATGTGTTGTTAAAAAAGATCTTTAGGAATCAGAATTATGTAAAGGAAAATCCCATAGTCCTGTTCCATTTCCACTCTCCCAGGGGCTATCACAGTTAACAATTTTATATATATACTTGCAACTATTAAGTGTATATATGCATATATGTATGTGTGTATATCTGTGTCTGTATGTATATACATATATGTAGATGTGCATAGACACATAGTGTTTTTAATGGAATCATGTGTGTTTTAATAGCTTGCTTTTCTTATAAAATATCATGAACATCTTTTGTTCTTTTTTTTTAAATTATTCCCACCTGAGGATACATTTATTAATTTGAGAGAGAGAGAGAGGGAGAAACACCAGTGTGAGAGAGAAACATCAATTATGCCCCAACCAGGGATCAAACCCACAACCTAGGTATGGGCCCTAACCAGGAATCAAATGTGAAACCTTTTGGTATATGCGACCATGCTCCAACCAGCTGAGCCACCCAGCCAGGGCTATCATGAACATCTTAATATGTTAATCTCTTTAAATTTACCTCATTTTCTTTTACTACTTTAGTCATCCATAGTATGGAAGCCATACTTTGTTTAACCATTCCCCTGTTGATGAACATTTGCACCATTTCTGAGTTTTTTCCGTTTTAAACAAGGCTGCGTAGGCTTTGTCCACGTATTTTGGATATATGTGGAAATGTTCTGGGTTAGATCCCCAAATACAGAGTAGTTGTGTCAGAAGTTATGACTAAATGTTGATGGTTACTATCAAAATGACCTCCAAAATAGCTATGCAAATTACATAAGAGATTTTGAATACCATTTGCTATATTCAGATAATTTCTAAACAAGATTTTCTTTAAAATCACCTCTTTCCCCCTTTGATAATTATGAAAGATGAAATACTTGTATCTTTTAGGAACTATAGATTTGGCTTATTGTGACATTCTCTACAGAGATTTGAAGAAAGGTCTTGAAGGCCTTGTACTTGAAAGCCTTCTTCATCTAATTTACCTAGCCACTCCCTATGATATGGCTTCGCAGTGTGACCCTGATTGGATGATATACTTCAGACAGGTGAGCATGTAAGGTTCTTCAGTATAAGCTAGTGGGTCTATTAATGATGATATGATTTTTATAAAGTGATTAATCACTTTTTCTATTAAAATACATTTGAAATTAGGCCTTTATTTCTTTCCATTTAAAAAAATATATGGTAATAGCATTTTTTATGTGTTTAACTTAATGTTACTTTTCTGTTAAATATAAATATGTCATCATCAAAAAATAAAGGTATAGAAAAGAAAAAAAGGATCTTCCCTGCTTCCATTTCCCCAAAGAAAGTTACCGTTCTGATTTGATGACCACTGTACTTTATAATGTCTAGAATCTAAAAAAAACTATGAAGGCCATCTCTGATGATTCAGAGTTTAATTACTTGAAAGCTCTCTCAGCGCCAAACCCAGTCATATTAATAACTGAGAGGGAATATCAATTTTATCACAAGGTAGAACTGGCCCTATTTATTACAAAAGCAAATGGTGGAGTAGAGTCTATTATGATTTTACTGTAAACAGCATAGATGCATGAACACATATTAGGCAGAGGTGGTAGGCAGCTTTTAATGGCAGGAAATTAACTTTCTTTTCAATGTCATATTTTAAAAATTATTCCTATAAGTTTTTTGAGCTGGTAGTATATAATACAGTTACTTTCAAAAACTTTGCCTCTTCTCCCTCCCCACCTCAGACATCTTCCGGTGTTACACAGTACTTGTGACCGTGACTTTAAGTAATTCTACTAAAGTACATTATATTTATTGTACTAAAGTACAATAATATTTTTAAGTTTGCAATATTTATAAATAAAATGTGTTGTTTTTTATATCCTTTAAAATCATGAAAATGTGATATCATAGAAAATACTGGATTTGGTTCAAATGGCATTTTTAAAGTTACACTTAAATTTTTTTTTATACAATTACTCTTTTTCTATGTAGTTTAACCAGCTCAGTCCAGCAGAGCAAAATGTGGCTGCTCTTGTCGGAGTCTCTGAAAACTATATTGGGAAGAAGGCATCAGGTCAAGCTATCAAGAAGGTATCATAGTCTTTTTTCCCTTCCTAAATAACTGAATTCATTTGTACCTTTGTATTTTAAAATATTCTGTCGTGTACATGTAAGGCTTTCATCATAGGGAAAGGTAAACTATATTAATCTATTTTTTCCTATGCTACTTACTACTTAAAAAATTGTATAATATTTATAAAATGTTTTATGATACTATATAATCCTAAAATAAATTTAATTCAAAAGAAAAAATTATATTTTCTAGAAACTTTTTATTAGGCATTCTACTTGGTGTCAGAGATTCTAAGATAGTACAGGTTTAGGGTTTTTATTGTAGGTATGTTCATTGTCCTCAAAGAACTTCTCATCTAGTATTTGACATGCCTTAAACATTCTATATGGTTGAAGTGGATAAACTAATAAATACCCTTTTGTTCGATGTTTCATATTTTGTGGTTTTAAAGTTCACTCAGCAAGCATGAAATAAGTGTCTAATGTATACACTAACTTTAAGAGCAGTGGAAATAATTATTTGGCTTGCATGCTTTCAAATTCCTTAAGTTAATATCATTGTCTACCTCATAATATACATTTTTGTTATTTTTCATTTTTTCGATAATACAAACTCCATTGAAACCTAATTATCTACCTACTATTTGCCCCTATATCTTTTAAATTTACATAGATATTACTGATTTTATTTTGAAAAACAGAAGATGGTGTTTACTTTCATTTGAATTGAATGGTGCAACTGTCCTGTGTACTGCTGTATTATAAAATTATAAATAAGGATTATAAATATATAGTACTTCGATATTCATGTCACAACATTAGATTGAGTCTATTACCTTAGAAATGGCTGTTCTTTAGACCTTCAAAATGTTGAATAAAAATATTTCTTATAACAAAAGTTTTATAACCAACTGTATAATGTAAAATAAAAACAAAATCATGTTTTAAAAACCATGTCAATTTGGAAAATATTACCAAATAATAAACATTTACAAAATCTTATTAGACTAATACATCCTTTTTAACTGGAATCAAAATTTATTTTTGTTACATTTTATGAAATACAGTCAGTAAGTATTATTCAATTGATATTTACATATTTAAATCAGTATGGACATGAATTTATCTTAATTATAAATAGATTAATTACTAATGTTTTGAAATTATCTTTATTTGTAATTCTAGAAAACATGATATTTACCTAAAATCTAAATTGATTTCTCCACATTGAAAAAACTGCCCCCTTTTCTTTAAACATTTCTTGTAAAAGATCTTGGAATTGGCATAAAGCATTTCATTTTGCCCTGTAATATAATTTTATCATTTTTCTTGACTTAGAAAATACATTTTGAACAAAATCTTCATTGAGTCAATTTATGTTTAATAGTGAAAGTGCACCAAAATTGAGAAATTAAAAAGCAATCTTTTCCTACTTTTTATTCAACTATCATGTTTTGTAGCTTAATGCTTTTTTTTTAATCTTCACTCGAGGACAATTTTGCATTTCAGATAGAGCAGGAGGGAGAGAGAGGGGAAGAGAGAGAGAAACATCGACTGGCTGCCACCCACAGGACACCAACCTGGGCTGGGGACAAACTGCAACCAAGGTATGTGCCCTTAGCGGGAACCGAAACTGGATCTCTCTGGTCCGCAGGCCGACTCTCCAACCGCTGAGCCAAACTGGCCGCAGCAGTTTAATGCTTTTTAAATGAGTGATGTATATATTTATATAATCTTTAATATGTCAGTCTAAGTTCTCATCTCAAACATTCTATTGCTATAGTAGATATAATTTTAGATTTTATACCTTCCTTATTTTTAATCCTCACCCGAGGACATTTTTGCATTTATCTTCAGATAGAGTTGTGGGGCATGGGGGGGGGATGGTCTTCGAAGTGAAAGAGACACATCAAGTGGTTGCCCCCCACTCGACCCCAACTGGGGCCGGGACAAACTGCAAACTAGGTGCATGCCTTTAGCGGGAACTGAACCTGGGACTGTCTGGTCCTCAGGCTGACGCTCTACCTGCTAAGCCAAACTGGCCAGGGCAGATTTTATACCTACTTTTTAAAGTTCTTTTTTTTTCCCCTTTGATTTTAACAAACATTAAAAAAATGTAGTCACTAGACATCACAGGTAAAAGCAAGTGCATAGAATAGAAATTGTCAACTACAAACAGAATTCTTCTCTTTCAGTATTTTAACTTTGGAAACATTAATTACTTATCATGACCATGTGGAAATCATAGAATCTAATATTTACTCTTAATTTGCAACATAGACAAGCTTATTAACATTTATCTAAATAAATATATTTGTCTAATTTATAATCACATTTACACAGATATACAACCTATAAATACCACAGGAAATATAAAGGTTTCCCCAACAGGGTCCCTCTCTTTCTATATTTTCCTTGGGCTGCCACTGCAAATGGGCACAAACCGGGTGTCTTTTTTTTTTTTAACTGAATTTATTGGAGTGACATTCATTAATAAAAGTATATAGATTTCAGGTGTACAATTCTGGAATACATCATCTGTATGGTGTATTGTATGTTCACCACCCAAAGTCAAACTGGGTGTCTTAAAACAACAGAAGTTTATTCTCTCACAGTTGAGGAGACCAGAAGTCTGTAATTAAGATGCTGGCAGGGTTGGTTTCTTCTGGAGGCTCTGAGGAAGAAATCATCTTGCCTGTCTTCTGACTTTCAGTGGTTTCTGGCAATCCTTGGTTTTTGTTGGCCTGCAGATGCATCCCTCAAATGTCTGTGTCCATCTTCACATTGCCTTCTTGTCTGTGTCACTCTGGGTCCTCTCTTCTTATCAGTACAGTTATTCTCTATGTTGAACTTGAAAAACATCTACTGTAATTTGCATTAAAGAGCCCTAAAGGGCCCACTGTATGTCCAGGACAATTTCTTCTCAAGATCCTTAACTAATTACATCTTCAAAAATCCTATTCCAAATAAGGTCACATTCACAGATACCAGGGTTAAGATCTGAGCATATCTTTTTTGATAGGACACAATTCTACCTACTACACTCCCTGTAGAAAGAAGATGAATTAGCCCTGGTCGGTTTGGCTCAGCGGTTAGAGCGTCCACCTGCGGTCCACAGAGACCCGGGTTCGGTTCCCGCTAAGGGCACGTAACTCGGTTGCAGTTTGTCCCCGGCCCTGATTGGTCATGCGGATGGCAGCCACTCGATGTGTCCCTTTCACGTCGATGTTTCTGTCTCTCTCTCTCTTCCTCTCTCTCCCTCCCACTCTATCTGTACAAAAAGTGGAAAAGTGTCCTCTGGTGAGGATAAAAAAAGAAGATGAATTAAACTGGAAGCAGTTTGGTCTATTTTTTTATACTTGGAAAAATGGTAATCAATTTGAATTAATCTAAGGTACATATGTTAGAGCTTAGTTTTATTTCTATGAATCATTCTATCCTTGCTTTCCTGTAGCACAATTTCATTACCTTTTGTTCAGTTTGAATATAATATACATTTTTTAGCAGGTTCAGTATATAAATTTATTTGATTGTATCTTTCTAGAAGGTGGACAAGGACATTGTGAACAGACTCTACCTGTCTTTTGTTCTTTATACCTTGCTCAAAGAGACCAATATTTGGAGTGTGTCTGAAAAATTTAATATGCCTCGAGGATATATCCAAAGTCTTCTCGCTGCAGCTGCCGCGTTCTCATCCTGTGTGTTCCATTTCTGCGAGGTAATTCCATCGAGTAGATGACAGATGCCTCGTGCAGCTTCTTATTTTAACTTTACTGAACTCATAAACCAGCTATTACTTTTCTCATCATTGACTTATCCTGTTATTACAAAGCACTTAGAATTTATTTTAAATATATTTTTTAATTTGCTTGCAAAAATATATATACCTACTTATGGTAAAGATACAAAAATGACAAAATCAACTAAACTTTGTAACGAACAAGTAGAAAGCACCTAGTTATCCCTATTCTTAGAACCCACATTAATAGTTTCAAGTGTTTGGAATCAACTCTTAAAATGACATTTCTCAACTGATGTAGATTCTGTGTGAGCGTCCTCATGATTTAGGATGTTATCAATATCCAACAACTTTTTAAACTACTTAGTACCCCATTCCTTAGATTGCCTCAGTAATTTACCATTTTTGCTTCTAATGTCAGCCAGCTACTTTAGGTTTCTGTAACTAATGTCCACTTTATAAAGTGATTCAAGGAGAAAACTTTATTTTGGCCATATGCATTTTGGGATGGATTTGTTTGTTTAAGACTTCACTGAAAGAAGCTTTCAGGATTTCCTTAAATAACACAACAAAGCTTGCCAGACTTTTCTACTCAGATAGTTTTTTTGACAAATTTAAGCCTTTTTTGCTGCATTTAAATTTCTTATTATTGGGTAGCATAATATCCTTTTCATATTTGTTTCTATATTCAATTTTTAAAAAACATTTTCCCCCATGAGTTTTATTTTTAAACTTAAAACCAACTTCATTTTTCTCTATCTTAAATCACAATATTCTGTATATGTGGCAGTTAATTCTGTCATATGTACTAAGGAGTAAATAATCTAAAATACTTGACTTTGGATGAATGATAATTATTTTAGAAAATTTATCTTTCTAAATATTTTACTTATGCTGATCTTTTTAATATTAGCTTGTATTTCCTAATCACATGCTAGCTAAGCAGTAGACAAAAATTATGAGTAATAAGAAGCTAACCTTTAAAATACATTTTAAGCTTTCTTTGTATTTACAGATGCTTTTCCTAATATTCTATCCCTTTGTTTTTAATTAGAACTATAACGACTTCAGCTTTGTAGATTTGTTCAAGTAAAAGTATATGCTGAACTTGAAAAACAACTACTGTAATTTGATGGTCGATCCTAGAAAAAAAATCTACCTGACAACTTGTGCTTTCATGAACGTATTTTTAATATTTTTAAGTGTTTTATTCTCTTTAAATAGTTTTGTAAGTCATATAAAATAGGACACCAATTGTATTAATTAAGATGCTTTTAACTACAAGTAACAGAAAAACCCCATAGAAGATTAAACAATCAGAGAAAAGATTATCTTAGGTAACAGAAAAGATAGAACTTAGGCAGTTCCAGGAGTGATTAATTCAGTAGTTTTATTCAAGGTTATCTTTTCTATTTACTCTGCCATCTTTAGTGCCTCAACTGCTTCCATAGTGGTTGCAAAGTGGCTAACTAATGCTGTTCCATGAGTCACACACTCTCAAGATACTTCAAAGTTAGAAAGGGACTTAAAAAAATAAACCACTATTATAGAACATGTCAAGCATATATAATAGAAGACAAAATAATATAATGAATGCCCATTTACCCATCCAGCTTTAACAAGTATTCACTCATGGCTTCCAATATTTTTAGTTTGAAATATTGTTGCACTGAGCATCATGTTGCATTAGAGTCCTTCCACAATTAATATTTTGTCTTCAGAAGAAATTCCCAGAAGTAGGAATTGTTTTCAGTCATTTGGGAAAGAAAAACTATGCATTCACTTGCTGGTATTTTGAGAAAAAATTTGTTTTGTTTTTTAATCCTCACCCGAGGACATTTTTCCATATTTTGTTCAGATAGTGGGAGGGAGGGAGGGAGAGAGAGAGAGAAACATTGACATGAAAGGGACACATCGAGTGGCTGCCACCCGCACAACCCAACCAGGGCCAGGGACAAACTGCAACCGAGGTACACGCCCTTAGCGGGAACCGAACCTGGGTCTCTCTGGACCACAGGCCGATGCTCTAACAGTTGAGCCACACCGGCCAGGGCTATTTTGAGAAAAATGAATAAAACTCTTCTTACTGACTTATTTTTCTATTTTTTTTTTCCTCATCTCAAAACCACTTTATCAAATTCATCAGTCTCTACCATGTTTCCTCATAATAATTTTTCTTGGAATTATTGTTCACCTCTGGCTTAACCCAAGTTCCAGGACTCACATAAGGAACATCTCAGCCCCCTACCACAAAAACTAGACTTTGAAATGACTTACCAGATTTAAATGTATATTTCTTTGTGTTCTGCAGGAACTTGAGGAGTTTTGGGTTTATAAAGCCCTTTTGATAGAACTTACCAAGAAGCTAACTTACTGTGTAAAGGCAGAACTAATCCCTCTCATGGAAGTGACTGGAGTTTTAGAGGTTAGTAGCTTCCCAGTTTCCCAGTTGAGATGATTTCAACTAACTGAAACTTTGTCACAGGGTAAGTGACAACAGCTTTATGGCAATCTTTTTTTAAAAAAAATAAATTGCTGCCAGGGCCTCCTAGAAACCTCATTAATCTGGAAGCACAAATATAAAAAAAAGTAACAGTAGGGATAAGACGACACCCCCAAGTATATGTGTGCTCATCCTTAGCATCTCTTCCTGCCTCCACTCCAGTGAAGAATTAGCCTTCTCTCGGTTTAGACTCCGGGCTTGTCTAAGGTATTGGTGGTTCAGTGGTAACAAGGCTTATTTACACTTTTTTAGGGGAGTGAGCAGAAAGTATTCTCAGCTGGTTTTTCAGCTTTCTGTTTTGACCAACCCTTAATTTAAGTTTATTCTGTTATTCAGTTCTTGAATTAGAGGAGCTCTCCTGCTTGGGAACACACACACACTCACACACACACACACTCACACACACACACACATCACACCACACCACATACCTATAGTCGCTGAGTAGATGGTAAGAACATTTCAAGGATATTAGAGTACAGCATTTTGATTGACGTCTGAAATAGTGCCCCTAGCCTAAGTGACGTAGTGGATTTCTCTCTGCTGACTGCAGCACACCTCAGTGACCTGAGCACGGGGAGGCTATCTTGCAGTCGCATTGGAATCATCCGAATACATCTTTTTAAATTCCTCAGGATTCTGATGTGTTAGCTTCATTTTTACTTTATTTATCGTATATATTTCTATCTTTTTATTTTATTTTTGCACGTGAAATATTTCTTTTAAATAAGGATCCTACTGGATTTTGAAATATTTTTCAGGGTCGAGCAAAACAGTTATACAACGCAGGTTACAAAAGTTTAGCACACTTGGCTAATGCAAATCCTGAAGTGCTAATAAGGACAATTGATCATTTATCAAGACACCAGGCCAAGCAAATCATTTCATCAGCAAAGGTAAGCAAACCATTTTTTAACGTTTACGATATTTTGTGATGTTATCTCCTTATACCTTAGACATGAAAACAAAAATATTTAATGATACACACAAAAGTATAAACTCATGGTATGTTAATAAAAATAGTGCATTTGTTACAATACAAGACTTGCTATAGAAATAAAAAAGGACCTTCCAAAAATAGACTGTTTCAAGAGTTCACTGAAGTACAAGGAAGTCTAGAACTCACTGAATTCTGCCTCCTTACAACCTTTTCACAGAAGTCCTATCCTTGGCGCTCTCAACATTTGGTGTTTCCACCTTTGAATACCTTCACTGACAAGGTGCTTACAACCTCAAAAATTACATAGTTCTATTTTTGGACACTCTTAGTATTACAAAAAGTGTCCCGTTATAGTGAGGCTCACTTTTGTCTTCTTAAAATGTTAACCATACATGGTAATATTACACTCTGGAACTATTCTGTTCTTTCATTCATATAGTAGTTTTTCACGTATTTAAAACAGTTCTCACTGCCAACCAGGATTTCTCTCTTCTGTTTCTTTCATTCGTGTTAAATAATCAATCAGCCCTGGCCGGTTTGGCTCAGCGGTTAGAGTGTCCGCCTGCGGTCCTGAGAGACCCGGGTTCAGTTCCCGCTAAGGGCGCGTACCTCGGTTGCAGTTTGTCCCCGGCCCTGGTCGGTTGTGCGGGTGGCAGCCACTCGATGTGTCCCTTCACGTCGATGTTTCTCTCTCTCTCTCTGTTCCTCTCTCTCCCTCCCACTCTACCTGAACAAAAAATGGAAAAATGTCCTCAGGTGAGGATAAAAAAAAATAATAATAATAAAATAATCAATCACTGTCCTAGTTACCCTTTGCTAGATGCAGTCTTGCGTGTCATTACCCTTCTGCCCGATGTGAGTAAAGCCATTACACAGCAGTTTGGGATTACTTCCCTCCCGATTTCAACTGTAGTTCAATTCTTGTAGCCTGCAATTGTTTAACTTAAAAAAAAAAACTTAATTGTTATACTATGTTCATATACAGATCAGAATGAGCTAAAAAGTACATTTCCATCTTACTCTTTTAAATGGTGCTCACATTGTTTATAATACCTTCATTGAGCTTTGCAGCAGTTCTGTGAAGCGGGCAGAGTCGGTATTGTCTTCAATTTGATGACACTGAAACTGACCTTGTTCTATTAGGTTAGAAGTTCTTGGGATTGGTAGGATTGCAGTTATAGTAATTTCCATAAAATAGCAGCTAGCACAGTATTGGTGTACTCAGCCTAGAGGTGGTGTTTAATATATATTTGAATAAATAAATAAATAATGATTTGAAAAAATTAAGTGATTTAGCCAAGGAAACATAACTAAGTAAGTAATAGAGCCAGGACTATGGAGTTAGATGATATATTATTAGGGATATAAATGGAGCTGTAGTAACAGTGGACAAAACAAATGACTTTAAATTTGAAAAGTTTATTAGACAAGTTCAAGCATAAGCAATTAATAGCTGATATGGGGAATCATCATTGTTTCCAGGGATCCCCTCTGTCTTATCCTCAATACGCGGCTTCTACCTTATGGACTAAGGTACATGATCTGGTTCCCACCATTCCTTTCATTTTCCAGACAGCTTGAAAGAGAAAAATGGATATTTCTTGCAGGATTTTGAGTAGAGGAGTAGGTCATAGGTAGCAAAAAGGGGAGTAAGAATGGAAATAAGGAAACCAGTTAGGATTATATTGAAGTTATGCTTTTTTTTTTTTCAGTATTGCCACAGAAGTGGTGAGTGTACTTCTTGGTACTTGTATCAGGAGCCAGAGAATATCAGCTTGTTCCATTACTGACATTAGCTTTGATCATTTGATTAAGGAAGTGTTTTCTGCCTTTGTGGCTTAAAACAGCTATTTTCTTTTGCAAATGTTTTTGTGAATTAGAAATTCTGGAAGAGTTTATCTGGGTGATTCTTACTTGGAATTTCATGCAGTTACAGTCAGATTTCAGTTGGGGCTCTAGTCATGTAAAGGCTTGACTAGGTTGGAATCCAGGATGGCTCACTCACACGGCTGGCAATTGAAAAGTACTGTTATCTGGGGTTTTCAACTGGAGCAGCTACATATGGCCTTTCCATGAGACTCGTGTCTCTCATGGCGTGGCAGCCAGGTTTTGAGAGGAAATGTCCAGAGCAAACATTTTGAGAAGTCAAGACAGAAAATGCAGGAAATCTTCTGAACTGATTTTGGAAGTTACATAGAGTCGCTTCTGTTGGTTATGAGAAGGCCATTAAGATCAGCCTAGCCCTGGCCGGTTTGGCTCAGCGGTTAGAGCATCGGCCTGCAGACCAGAGAATCCCGGGTTCGGTTCCCATTAAGGGCACGTACCTTGGTTGCAGTTTGTCCCCACCCTGGTTGGAGTCGTGTGAGTGGCAAACAGTCGATGTGTCTCTCTCACATTGATGTTTCTCTCTCTCTCTTCCCCCCTCTCTCCCTCCCACTCTCTCTGAAGATAAATGCAAAAATGTCCTTGGGTGAGGATAAAAAAAAAAAAAGATCAGTCCAGATTGAAAGGAAGGGGAATTAGACCCATATCTCTCCATGAGGGGAATGCCGAATAATTTTCGGTCATCTCTAATGTTTGGGCTCTGGTCCCAAATTATTTACATTTCTCCCACATATAAAGCATATTCATTCATAAAAGATTTATTCCTTTATGAAATCAGACTCAAGCTGGACTTCAAGGTCCAGTATTCCTTCTAAATCAAGTCTAGGTACAGGTGATGCCCCTGAGTACAACTAAAGAGATTCACCCACAATGGTGAAACAGACAGGATAACCACATTATACTCCTATTCAGAAAGAGGGAAAATGTGTGGTACATAGAAGTGATTCTGAAATCATTCAAGGCATATATGGCTAGTTCCTTGATTGGGACTCAGTTCTAATCCCTAGCTTTGGATTCCCTCATTCAAATCAATTTTTCTTTTTCATAAGCAATGGTCCATGTCTGCAGCGAGGTAGCTTTCTTGGTCTGCTTCCTCTCTATAGAAGTTCAAGGGTTGAGAGTTTCTTTTTATTTTATTATCTCTGTCCCTTTTTATTCAGTCTGGTATAATGTCTTTTAAAACATTGTGGAGTTTTTATTTATATATTTTTAATCTCTACGTAGCTTGGGTTTCTTACAGCACGGTTGTTGGGCTTTGCAAAGGGAGCATTCAAGAGATCTTGGGATGGTTTCATAACAGGAAACCAAGAGAGACACTCGCATGGCTTCTTTTTGACAGAGCCCTGGAAATCATGCAGCATCATTTCCACTGTATTTTATCAGTTGCAAGAGAATCACCAGGACCAGCACAGGTTCAAGAGGGGAATTAGATCCCATCTGTCAACAGGGGTGTCAAGAATCTCCAATCATCCTTAATCCACCACACGAATCTCATAGTACAGGACTCATTTGTTGTCTTCCCCCTTCTCATATTTTTATTTCCTATCTCCAACAGTGAAAACCTGACTCTTATTTTCATCAATATATTTATCTATATTGCTGAATCCTAGAATACATGGAAAATAATTTTAAAATTGTTAAAGGATACCACTAGGGGGAGTTTACTAACTAGAATTCAGTATTTATTTACAGTTCTTTTTGTCTTTAATCTGAGAATATATCACTGAAATAATGTTATCCAAGTGTTACTTTTTTAAATCTTCGGTTATGTTATTCATTTGAAACACAGATTCTACTTGTATTCCATTTTAGCTCCCCACCCAATCCTTATGGGTTGGGTTTTTGTTTTTGTTTGTTTTAAAATTTAAAACATAAACCTATTTTATTTAGCTTTAAATTCAAGTAGTTTTACTAGTATATATTTCAATTTTCTTTATTCCTGGAAGTTTCCTTAGGTTGTAGTTTTAAATGTTAGCTCTCATCCTTTGCTTGATTTTTCTTTTTTAGCAACTGCAATTATATGTATGTTGAATCTTCTTTGCCCATCTTTCCCTTCAATTTCTCTGGTTCTTTCTACTTCTTTATCTCATTTTTATTATCTTGATTGTTTTCCTGCTTTCCCCACCAATTACCCTAATTAGGTTTTTATTTAAATCTATTATTCCTTGGACACCTCATTTTGTAGTTTTTATTTGTGATATAATTTTACTTTTCTATTTTTTTTCCTGAGCTTTAACATTTTTTTTTTTTTTCTGTTTTGGTCCATTTCTGTTCTTAGTTTTGGACTTCTTATACAGGATGTGTTTTTTTTACCCCATGTCTCGAAGTGTTTATTTGAGACTATTTCATTTGGGGGAATATTGTGTTATAGTTTTCTGTGTCATGGTTTGCTTTCAGAGAAGGAAATATTTATGAGCTAAAGTGCTTTATTATCATTTTTCTTTTTATAGGGTAATCATATATAATGAGAGTTGCATATGCCTCTGCATTTCTTAGACAGGGATGGATGGCCATCTGGAGTGGTTAATGAGAATCCTAGTTCAAGAATATCTCTTCTGTCATTGTAGCAAAGTATAGTTTCTTTCATGGAAAGCTTGAGGTGGGAGAGGACTGCAAGGAAGAATGGGTTCTTTGATTTTTTAATTTTCCTTAATTTTCCTACAGGCTCCTAAATCTTGCCATCGTTTTTTCCCTTACCACTCAGCTTCCAAAGGACACCTCCCTGTTACTCATTCTTTTCCCTAGAGCTGTTGCCTTTCCGAGACTGCCGCCTACATTTCACACTTTAAATCCCTTTTTATAAATAATGTGATCTACTAAGATTCTTTTCTCAGTATTTTTAAAAATATATTTTTATTGATTTGTTTTTTAGATAGGAAGGGAGAAGGGGAGAGAGAGAGAAACATTGATGGGCTGCCTCCTGCTCTCCCCATACTAGGGATCAAGCCTGCAACCTGAGCATGTGCCCCGACTGGGAATCGAACCAGGACCTCTGAGTGCTTGGGACGATGCTCAATCTACCGAACCACACCAGCCAGGCTCTCAGTATTTTCGTACTTAGGGTAGCCTTTCTCTATCTGCAGGTGATTTTATTTAATCTAAGACCTTCTGTTTTTCCTCCTTTCTTTTTCATGTAGTTTTATCTCAAACCCACCTTGATTTCTGCAAATACTTCGGAGTGGGAGCTTGAGAAATGGCTGTGCTGGAAACTGGCGGATTTTTTGACTATGAATAATTTGAAGTTGATGGTGTTCTCTGTGTTCTAGTAATGCTGTCACATGAGTTTTGTGTGGTTTACTTATTGATCTATATAGTTTTTAGGGGATGTATTGGGAGATTCATTCCACATGGTCAGCATTACCTCAGCTCCTGGAAAGCTCACCTAATTACAGTTTAGTCTTTTTTATATATAATGATATGTAATGCTATGCTTTATATCAGATTGGTAGAGAGTGGGTTTTTCACTTTTACTGTGAGTCATATGATTTTTTTCCTCTATGTGATTTTGCTAAACTTTTTATTACAAAACTTTGTAACAGAAGTAGTACAGATATATCACCGCACAAAGGCCAACTACAATAAATACCAACATTTTATTTCTGGTTTCTAAAAGAAAGAAGAAAAATCATTATTCACTCAATATTCATTTACATCTACTGTGTGCCATGTTTAGAAATACTTTCTTTGTTCATTATGTTTCTTTTGAAATTAACCATGTTAATTTTAGAAACTTGAATAAAACTTTTCTTTGAAAAAGTGATAGGTTTTTAAAAGATAGCATACTAAATTTTCAGGAATAATAAAATGCATATGTAAAGGATAGCATTTTCAAGAGCTAATTAAATTTTTGCAAAATTGTTTTAGATTTTATAGATTAAAAGTTCATTTTATAGATTAAAAGTTCATTTTATTGAAGACTTCAATAAAACAAATCTTTGAGAGTATTAGAGCTCCTTTATTTTTGGTATACCAGATACAGCCATCAGCTAAAATGGCTTTAACTAAATGCTTCAGCTTCATTTATTATAATCGGTTTTTCCTTAAGTGGTCATTTTTCAGTCTCATTATTAGTTTTAATGTCTAGATTGCTGATGTGTAAGGATTCAGGTGGTAAAAATGTTAGCATTTCTCTACCAATGTATAGTTTGGCCTCATGTCTTGGTGTTTTTATTGTAGATGCTGTTGCAGGAAAAAGCAGAGGCTTTGCAAGAAGAAGTAGAAGAGCTATTGAGATTACCTTCTGATTTCCCTTCCGTCGAAAAGGCATGAAGCTGTAGAGCATTTCAAATATGAATTTTTTCTGTCTTTTTTTATCAATTATTTCTTGTATATATGTTTTATTAAAGCTTCTTTATTATTTATAAATGAAAAAATAAATTTTAATTATACATTCAGAACTATGGTTGATATTTGAATACATCTCTCACCCATAACCACAGTAACCTTCCCAGTAATAATCCATCTTACACATTACGTCTGTGCTCAAAAATGAAATCCAGCTTCCTCGGCATCACTGCAGCCTACCTCTTGGCCAGATCTTTCATCATTCTCTTACCCGTTTCTTTCATCAAACTGGACTGTTTCAAATTCCAGAATTTTCCCTGCGATTTCCCAACCCTTCATTTCCTAACTGTTTTATTCTATTCCCAGTGAATAGAAAATATCTTTAAAATGTACTGTATACTTCAAGTATCAACTACAAATGCTCAAATACTGTCTCCGCTATGAAATTGTTCAAAGTGTATTCTCATCCCCACCCCATACATGGGTTCTCTCTCCTATAAGTATTGTGAGCCCCTCATTTATGCCCGTGTATTTTTTTACACGTTTCTAACAAGTATTTATTATTAGTTAAGCCATGACTCGGGATCCCTGGGTGGTATGTACCCAGATCCCCCTTCACTATCCTGAGAGGAGGATGGAGGACAGAGGAGAGGCGGTGGAGCCAGTTCAGATCTTCCCTGGAAATGTGCCATCTGCTCTTTTATTTTTTAAAGAGAGTTTTTGGTTTTAATAGTTGAGAAGAGAGTTATAAAATAAAATAGACAACACAGAGCCTTATGACTTGCTTAGATTGGCAACAAACACAGGGATACAGACGTAAACAAACAGGGTTTCCATTCAGGAGGTGGACCATTTGCACATGGAGACATCACCCCTTTCGTGGTCATTGCCTCACAGCAGTGGAAGTCTAGGTAGTTCTCCTACGTTCCCGGTCTGGTTCTGGGTGGGGAAGCAGCTAACCAAGGGGGTAGTCGTAATTCTAGATTTTGGTGTTGATGTCTTCTGCCACATTGCTGGTTCCTAAAAAATGCCCCAAAACAGCTAGCAGCTCAATGTGACCCTCAGCAAAGACCCACTCATGTCTTCTTTTAATGCTATTAGTTTCACCTGGCCAGTAGGGCTCAGTGGTTGAGCATCAACCCATGTACCAAGAGGTCACCAATTTGATTCGCGTCAGAGCACATACCCAGGGCCAAATCCCCAGTGAGGAGTATGCAGGAGGCGGCCAGTCGATGTTCACTCTCATTGATGTTTCTCTCTCCTCCCTTCCTCTCTCTAAAATCAATAAAGAAAAAATAAATTTAATGCTATTAGTTTCAAATTTCCTGGAAGGCTGAGATTTTGTTTTTTAATTTTGTTAATCCTCACCCGAGGACATTTTTCCATTGTTTTTGTTGTTGTTGTTGTTGTTGTTGTTGTTGTTTAGAGAGAGTAGAAAGGAAGGAGAGAAGGAGAGAGAGAAATATCAATGTGAGGGAGAAACATCAATTGGTTGCCTCTGGCATGACCCTGACTGGGGCAGGGGATCGAACTCGCAACCCAGGTACCTGTCTTTGACTAGAAATCGAACGCAAGACCCTTCGGTCCTCAGGCCGACACTCCCACTGCTGAGCCACACTGTCCAGAGCCTGAGACCTTCTTTACCTTCTCTGTATGGCGCACAGCACCTGCCACAATTCACTGGAGAGAGTAGGAAACTTTATGAAGAATTAATACTATCTGAATCAACAATTTAAAGATTCTCTTCAAACACAACTTAAATATTGCCTCTCCCTACTCCCTTTTCAGATTTATAGCTCGGATGTAGATGACTGGTTATCTAAAAGAAAAAAGGGTAATAACTAGCAATATTTATTAATGCTGAACTGGCTTAGTAAAAGTCTTACCTATCTGGCCCGGCCTGTGTGGCTCAGTGGTTGAGCATCAACCCGTGCACCAAGAGGCTGGTTTGATTTCCCGGTCAGAGCACGTGTCCAGATTGTGGGCTCCATCCCCAGTGGGGGGCATGTAGAAGGTGGCCAATCAATGTTCTCTCTCATCGGTGTTTCTAACTCCCTCTCCCTCTCTCTCTAAAATCAACACAGGAAAAAAAATGTTTTTAAGTTTTACCTGTCTGAGATATCCATTGGAAACTGCAGATGGATTCACAGTCTAGTTCTTTGTGCCTTAATGTTTTAGACCGCTATAACGTAGCTATTATTTATCTAGTAATTTATATGTAGCAGACACTGTTTGTTATAAGTGCTTTGTATGACTAATTTAATCCTTACAACAACACTGTAAGGCAGATAATATTATTATCCCCATTTACAGTAAACTGAGACATAGAGTAAAGTAACTTGCCCATGGTCATGTAATAGTTACTTGCAAGGCAGGGATTCGGACCCTGGCAGTCCCAACCTAAAGTCTGTACATTTAACCATTACACAATATTGTCTTGGTAGAATTTACCTGCTTTATCCCTTCTAAGTATTCTTTTCACCTGGCCTTGACTTTATCCCTAGCATTGCATCTCATCTGCACCCCACCCCTTCATATGAAGCAAAGTGTGGCATCCTAATGTCTTAGGAGAACTCTGGGCTTCCCTGCACATACTTCATTTGTCTCAACTAAAAAGACTTTAGCATAGTTCAGATTTCAGTTTTAAATCTACAAACCAGTATTACTTGTTTGCCCAAGTAAGTAAGGCTGTAAGTGAGCCCTGATTCTTGCTAACCAATTTATAGCACACTGATTAATAATTCCAGTTTAATTTATTAATTTAAGATTAGAGATAGCACCCTGGCCGGTTTGGCTCAGCAGTAAAGCGTCAGCCTGCAGACCAAAGATTCTCAAGTTCGATTCCGGTCAAGGACACGTACCTCAGTTGCAGTTCGTCCCCGGCCCTGGTCCTGGTCATGCAGGAGGCAACCAGTCAATGTGTTCCTCTCCCGTTGATGTTTCTCTCTCTCCCTTTCTCTCTCTCTCCCTCCCACTCTATCTGGGGATAAATAGAAAAAGTATCCTCGTGTGAGGATTAAAAAAAAAAGATTAGAGATAGCAAGGTTGAGGAGGGGGTACCTTTACAGAAACTAGAATACCTATATCTGCAGTCCAGGACCTCTCCCATCGCCCCCAATCAGTGTTTCTCTAGGTCAGTTGAACTGAAAGGCTGGGTCAGGTATAATGATGGGGAATTAGCCCTAAAAGATATTCAAATGTAAAGAAATTAAAACAGTTCGGCTTTAGAGAAGAAGAAACAGTAGATTAATGGAAACAGAGTGGAGAATAAAAATATACTTAAATACATTTAAGAATTTAATTTATAATAAACATGTTTTTTTAGTTTGAAGTCATACAAACCCAAGGATACCTGGCTTAGACAAAAGGAGTGGTCTGTGACCACATTCCCAGACCACAGCAGCGACAGAGCCGATACGAAGGAACTGAAGCTGCCTCCTTTGACGCCTCAGGGCAATCAGATGACCTTAAAATTCTACATTCAAATCTTTTCATTTACCTAAAATTTAATTTGGTTTAAGGAGATAGGTAGACATTTAGCTGAATACATTTCTAAAACATGAGGTAGCCATTTGTTCCAACTCCATTAATTAAGTTACCCATCATTTCCACTAGTTACTGATTTCTCTGCCTACCACTCCTTCTCCCCAACTTCTGAAAACTTAAAAAAAAAAAAAAAACCCACAGGAGGGGCAAAGAACCTTCTCTCACAAGAATCACTACAGCCTTTGAAGTCCATTCCATTATGACAAAAAATAAGTAACACTGAGTATACTTGGGTTTGTTTGTTTTACAATTTCCAGTAATTTATAATCATATTGATAAGTATATACTTTTGTTACTCTCAATGATAAACAATAAGGATAGCAATAAACTACCGTTATCTGTGGAGGAAATGAGTGGTTTTGCTCTAGCTGAACCAAATGAATTAGATGATGCCACCTCCCCAAAATGAGACAGTGGCACAGAGAAGTGTTGGTCTAAGGTCTGCACTGAAGTGAACCTGGCAGCGCAGGTTAAAACACTGGCAGTGTCTAGTGTTTAAAATTGGGTACATTATACATTCAAGTGTGTGTTTTGTTTCTTCTGAGTATTTTAAACAATTAACCTACTTATGTTGTTGTAAAAATTTGACTTGAAGACAGAGTGTATGTTCTCATTTGTACGTAGAATCTAAATAAGCCAAACTCAGAAACGGGGAGTAGATTGATGGTTGCTGTGGGGACAGAGGAGGGATGGGGGGTATGTAGGTCAAGAGGTACAAACTTCTAGTTATAAGATAAATAAGCTCTTAGGACAGTTATAATATGAGTAAGTTCTGGGGATCTATGTACAGCATGGTGACTATAATTAACAATACTGTATTACATACTTGGAAGCTGGTGAGACAGAAGATCTTAAATGCTATCACCACACACACAGCGTAATTACGTGAGGCAATGGAAGTGTTAACTAACCTTATTATGGTGATCATTTCATGATATGTACCTGTGTCCAATCATCAGCTGTACACCTTAAGCTTACTTACATGTTAATAATATCTCCAGAAAGCTAGGGAAAAAAAAGGAAATTTAATTCAAATGTATATGATGCTATAAATATGTCATGTTATATGGCAAGGGGGAATTAGGGTTGTAGATGGAATTAAGGTTGCTAATCAGCTGACCTTGAGATGGAGAGATTATCCTGAATTATCTGGGTGGGCCCAATGTAATCACAAAGGCCCTAATAAGGGAAAGAGGGAGACAGGAGTGTCAGAGTCGTGATACGATGTGAGAGACAACCAGCCACTGCTGGCTTTGGAGCTAGAAGGGGGCCAAAAGCCAAGGAATGCAGCCTCCTCTAGAGCCGGGAAAGGCAAGGGAACAGATTCTCTCCTAGAGCCACCATAAAGGAATTCAGGTCTGACATCTGTTGTTAACCCACTGAGGTCTTTGCGAGATTTCTGACCTCCAGAACCATAAAGTAATAAATCTGTGTTATTTTAAACCATGAAGTTTGTAGTAATTTGTTACAGCAGCAACGGGAAACTAATACATCTGACAATAGCATGGAACACAAATGGCAAATTAACATTCTGGAGGATCCCTTCTGGGTCTTAGCACATAAGCAATCGAAGTTAAATGTATTATGCCCATTGAAAGGATTATTTTGTATTCCTGAAAATACAAAATATTTTAAATGGACATAAAGTGTGTATTATAATAAAGAGATATACTTAAAGCTATGAAAATATAGGCTAACAGCAATGTGAGTATAAAGAACTAGCTATAATAATGCTAAATACTAAATGATTTTCCTTTGTGGTAAAATATATTACTGTATGATCACATAAAATTGGAAAAAATCCGCAGGCAACAGACTACTCTGTACAAAGTATAGTAACACTGGTTTGATTCTGTATAAATCTATAAGCTCTTTGAGAGTTATAACAACAGTCTACTGCCCATCCTAGACATGATGAAGCAATTCAGCATTTTGCTGAAATTTGTCAAAGCCATTGGAAAGCTCAATAAAAATATTCAAATGCATTTTACTGAATAGTTTCAATGGACTTGGCCTGATGAAACAAAAGAGGTGGAATATTTAGGACTGGTAAAGCATAAATACATGCGCCAGGAGCCACTGGTGGTAACAAACTGTACAGTGTGCAGAGGATAAATGCCTGTAGGCACTAGAGAGAAAGCGGGAGGTGGAGTCTCTGAGGAAGAACTGGTAAAGAGGAAGACCATGAACTAGGTGCTAAAGGGACAGGAAAACTAGGGATGGCTGGGACAATAGGGAGAAAGGTGTTTGGGGGAGGGGAGAACACGCAGGATGACAAGAAGGTTCTCTTCTAGCTGAGGTAGTCAAAGTGAAGGTCATAAGCCCACCATCTGTACATTTGAGCTCTTAAAGCACTAATGAGAAGCCAAACAAGCAGCAGCAAATGGTTTGTTATGAACCATCTCTTTTCTCACCTGGTGTCCCTTGTGGGCACTTGCAAAACACCTGATGGAAGTGTACACGTGACATATGGACAGAGCCATATGGAGATCCAGTTCATAACCTTGGCCTTGTTAGCCCTGCGATCTGTCCGTCTAAACTAACCTTCCCCGGGGAAGTTCTAAAATGTAGATCTGACCTTTGCCGAAGATAAGCTGGACACTATTGAAGTGGGAAGGATAGACTTAACGCAGTAACAACCATGGTGATGGGACAAGGGTCCAGCGTGAACTGAGCTCAACTCTGACTAGTGCAGAGGTGAAGGGCATTTAGAAGATGAAGGAACTATTGAGGTCTCCAGGGGACACAGGGTTTGTTAATTAGTGCTTATCTGGAGGAGAAACAAACTTCTAGTCTGTTTATGACAGGAGGTAATGATGCAAGTCAGAGCAAGCTGCCCGCGGCAGGGGAGGGAGAGCAGGAGGTGTTTTCCTGGATGTCTGCATTTCTGAGAAAAGCTCTCAGTTTCCTGAGAAGGCAGTTCTGGGTGGTGGAAGATCTACATCTCAAAGTGGGGAGAAAAGATTTACAAACCAAGCTTTCTAAAGTACAGCTTAGTGGGCTGGGGGTGCAGGGGACTATCAGTCTACTATCAGGTTTTGTTTGGAACAAATAGTGATTCTTTTGGCACTTTTCACGGGCAGACACTTGAAGGGGGCTGAGGTCATACTAGGGGTGCAGCTTTGAGCTGTTAGAAACTACATTTGTTAGTGTTTGTTCAAGTCTTAGTGGGGGTTAGGGGGACAGAGGACAAAATCATCTGTGCTGAGCCTGCTGTTTTTTTTCGCCAAAGTTATGCCTGGTTACAAAGAGGACTTGGAGGGGCCTATCTAAAGTATGATCAAGAAGAGAATCTTTGTCACTGTTCAGTATTTGTTGAAAATGTTCCGCTAATATCACTTTTTAAATGCCATCACTAAGACTGTTACTTGGTTTCCTTCTCTAATATTATAAAGCCCATATCTTGGTTGTCTGTTTTCAGTTCTTGGTTCTTTTTTCAGCACAATCACAGAGGAATAGGAAGAGGATTTGGCACAAGTTGTTCCAGCCATCCACATAGGTCTCAAGTTCATCTTGCAAGACTCTGGCAGCAGGAGGAAGCCTTTAGAAACTGGAACGCCCTCGAAAAACTGCCTCTACCCATCGCTTGGGCCTGGGCAGGTACAGCTCAGAATGAGCTCAAGTGGGCTTGACCTTTTATAGGCAACAGGCTGCACTGTAGTTGACCCAGCCTGTGCAGACACACTAACTCTAATTAAATGCTAACGATGGTGGTGTCCTGCCACTCTGCAGAGGAAACTAAAATGCAGAGAAACGAGGCTCCAACAGCTGTCAGTAATTGGGTCACTGCTTTCCCCTGTGCTTCCTAGGTTTACACCAGCACTGCTGTCGTTAGGGCCCTGCTGCCAAAGACTCGCCTTTTTCAAGATGTTGGACTAGAGCAATATGTGTTTGTGCAGAAGACGCGGAAGGTCCTTGAGAGAAGCAAAAGAAGAAAGGTGTGAGTCCGCATCTCGAAAAAGGGAGGAAGGGTGATGCCTCCCTAGGAAGTCCCCACACCCAACGAGTCCTGCAATTGGTGCTCCAAGCGGGGGCGGACTCATGATATGACCTTTGTTATCTTTCCCTGCAAAATGGGCAGATTCTGGCAGATGCGGCGGGAACTCTCGTCAATTCAGCAGAGAGTGAGTCTTTCCCATGATTTATTCCAAATGTATAATTAGCCTGTTACTAATGTATAACATCTAGCGGTTTCATTCATAAATAATAGTCGCGTGGGTTCCAGTGTTTGATACAGGCCACGAAGCTAAGACCAAAGACTCCCTTCCAGATTTCTGCTCTTCACCAGGAACTGCAGTAAAAAGCTCGAACCCCTCTCTTGGCAACAGGTGCTCTGGCTGGTCTCTGCTAGAACTGTAGGGAAATGGCTCCGCGGGAAACTCAAATTGCTGGGGAGAGAATGAGCGCCATTCCAGATCTCTTGGAACACATGTCACATCGATACTGTAAATTAAAGAGCTTCCAAGTGTTCTGGCCGGTGTGGCTCAGTGGTCGAGCATCCACCCAGGCACCAAGAGGTCACCTGTTCGATTCCGGGTCAGGGCACATGCCCAGGTTGTGGGCCCAGTTCCCAGTGGGGGGCCTGCAGGGGGTGGCCAATTGATGTTTCCATCTCTCTCTCCCTCTCCCTTTCTCTCTCTAAAGTCAACAAAGGAAAAAAAGATTAAAAAGTTTCCAAATGTTATTCAGGTATTTTATTTATGCACTTCAGTTTGATGTTGCTCAACATAAATTAGTAGTTTTCTTGTACGCGACTGTCGGGGGCATGGTGACATTCTCTCAGACCCAAAGCTCGTCTTGCCATTTAGGCAGGACCCTAAGGTTAGCAATTGAAGTGGACTCAGAAGTATTCTTAGGCTTGCTGTTTGAGGGGTGGGCAATGTTTCCTTCATAATAGAGTGCTCTAGAAGAGGACTCTTCTATATCACAGGTGACCGCAGAAAAAGATGGGCAAGAGAAAGTAGAGCGGGGAACTCTCTGGGACTGCATAAAAAGTAAAACAGAAAGGCACATCTTTTTTTTTTTTTTTTTTTATTGCTAGGTACAGGATAGTTTATAATTAACATTTACAGCATTTAGAGATAGTATTCTGTGAATAAAAATCCCTAACTAGCCCGGCCAGTGTGGCTCAGTGGATTGAGTGTCGCTGAGAGGTCCTGGTTCGATTCCCAGTCAGGGCACGTGTCTGGGTTGCAGGCTCAATCCCCACAGGGGGGCGTGCAGGAGGCAGCCGACCCATGTTTCTATCTCACATCGATGTTTCTATCTCTCTCTCCCTTCCCCTCTCTCTAAAAATCAATAAAAACATATTTTTTAAAAAATCTAACTAAAAGCGGGTAGCATCCTTGACCAAGGTCAATCTTTACCTTTAGTAAGACTTTGTTTTTTTGCATCTAAAATAACATATTCTTGCCCTGGCCGGTTTGGCTCAGCAGTTAGAGCGTCGGCCTGTGGTCCTGGGAGACCCGGGTTCGGTTCCTGCTAAGGGCGCGTATCTCGGTTGCAGTTTGTCCCCGGCCCTGGTCGGTTGTGCAGGTGGCAGCCACTCGATGTGTCCCTTTCACGTCGATGTCTCTCTCTCTCTTTCTCTCTCTCTCTCTCTCTCTCTCTCTCTCTCTCTCTCCCCCTCCCACTCTACCTGAACAAAAAATGGGGAAATGTCCTCTGGTGAGGATAAAAAATAAAATAAAATAAAATAACATACTCTTGGAATGTCAGAGTAATCTTTTCCAGATCCCTCAGGGCACAATCACTGTGTCAGTGCACAAGACCACAGAACTCGTTATTATCTCATTCCCAGTAAGCCTAAAAGAATTTAGTTGTACCCTGTCCAGTCTGGCTCAGCGGTTATAGCGTCGGCCCAAGGACCAGGGAGTCCTGGGTTTGGTTCCCGCTACGGGCCCGTACCTTGGTTGCAGTTTGTCCCTGGCTCCAGTTGGGGTCGTGTGGGTGGCAGCCAGTCGATGTATCTTCCTCACACTGATGTTTCTCTCTCTCTCTTCCTCCCTTTCTCCTTCCCACTCTGTCTGAAGATAAATGCAAAAAATGTCCTCAATAGAGGATTAAAAATAATAATAAAAAATAATTTAGTTGCTTCATGCCACAGCCTATACATGCAGAAGGCTCCTGCCAGTTGGAGAGAAGGTGGCATTAGACATGAGCTCACCTTTCTCCATTCCTTGATCAATGAATAAAGTTTCTGCTCCGTTTTACAAAACACAGTTTCATTCTATTGGCGTTGAACAGCACTGGGCAGAGGACTTGGGTTTGGGTTCCTGACTCTGAAGGGTTGTAACAGTACTTTCTTTCAGAAGCCCTAGGAAACTAATACCACAATATAATATAAAAAATAATAATTTGATGACATCTGTGGTGATGCTTCTTTCCCACTCCTGGCCTTTTGTGGGTGTGGACGGAGGGAGCTCTGTGATTCTAATTCAACGGAATACTCCCGGCTTCTCTACACCTTCGCTCACCCTTCACCAGCAGAGGAGGAGCACCTTGTGATGGCCGAGTTTGGAATGGGAAGCTGAGCTGGTATCCCAGGTCTGCCTTCTCTCCATTTGCTCTTTGGAACACTCCTGCCCTCAGAGGGCCTCTGTCCTGTCCAGCTCTTCCATGCCATGAATGTCATCAGGCTGACCTCCCTTGGGAATGGGCCTTAGGTTGGGTTCCCCAGAAGCAGAACCTGAGATGCAAATTCATGCTCAAGTGTTGCACCAGGGAACGTTCTCGGAGAAGCAAACTGAGGGAAGCAGAGCAGGTGGGGAACAAAGTGAAGCAAGCCGGTGGGCTCCGCTGCAGCCTCGCTCGTCCGATCCCACAGAGACGCTCCGGAATGAGACCTGCAGCAGAGGTAGCCCCTCTGCGCCCTGCTTCATCGCTCAGTCACTGGGCAACTCAGGGCCCGTGGGAGGGCGGCAGAGCCTCCTGGGCAGGCAGGGCAGCACTGATGTGGCTGAGGACAATTCTCCAGCAAAGGCAGCACCTGTGGGGTGTTATCAGGCCCTATTCACAGTAGCTGGGGGTGGGCACACCTGCTGGCAAAGGGGATCTTCTCCCGACCTCCCACCCCCTGCCCCCTCACACCAACCACCCCCACCACAGGGAGCCTGACATGTTTGGTGCCACTTCTGCCTAGGTGGGCCAATGTGTCCAACCCTGGAGAAATATAATGGAAGAACCAGAACCAGAAGGAGAAGCCCCTTTCTCTTGCAGTGTCCTTCTGGAACCTTCTGTCCACAAAGCCTAACAAAATGTTTGTGACAAACAAGAAGTGTCTGAAGGGTCTGTTCCATCATCATGAAACAGATAATAAAGGGTCAATTTTGAGTTGAGCAGCAATAATTGATAACTGGCATACCTGCTCAGGTCATGTTTGGACACGAACCCTTCCTTGCTTATCTTCTTTTTCTCCATTCTTTTTGGGTGTTTACAAATATCCACCAAAAAGTGAGCAGAAGAGCCTGTTTTGCCTCCCTCTTTTGTTCAGTGGACCAGTGTCATCGTCTTCGTCCACAGAAAACTCTGAGCCGCTGACAGGACCAGAACTGGCTGGTCAACAGCACAGGAAAACCCATTTGCACAGCCTTGAGGGCCCAGCCCTTTGCAGGTGCCGGAACAGCAGGGCCGGATTCCCCCGTGCATCCGCTCAAGCAGTGACGGCTGCCCATGCTTTACCGAGGAAAACGATGACGTTCTGCTGGCTGGATCTGGTCTTAGAGGTCATGCTGTTGGTGACATTCCTGGAGTTGCTGTAAGGTGGTCTGCGTAGCCAATGTCTCTTTTCTTTACACAAAGGCCAAAGAACATTAAGTTTTGATGAAGCTCACATGGTAGTAATACATTTTCATAAAAATATATTTATATGTATATTTTATATTAAAATATATTTGATAATTTTCCAAAAATAATTAGCAAAAGAAAATAGAATTACTTTATATTTTCCAGTAATGTCTTTTTCGATGTCATACAGAGAAGACAAAGGTGTAGAGAAGACGGTGCAAAGAACCATGCCAGGTTTTTACATGTTCTCTTGTCTGTGTTGATTGACCTCCAAAGTCCATTTCAAATAATGAGCTCAGCCTTTATGTATGACTTGAGAGCTGAGTGAGCTGTCAGGCACAGAGCTCATTTACACTCCTCGACTGCCTATCAGTATTATAAACGTCCGAATCCTATATATTAGGAAATAGCTTTACATTACTAGCATTGCTAGATTTTTATAGTGTTTTAATTGTGCACTTACACGTATCAGAAAAGCTATTCATTTTTTTCCCAGTGATCAATAGAAAAATGTGCTAAAAATCAGTAAATGCCTTCATCTTTATGGGGTGATTTTAGAAATTATTATAATGTTCTTCCATTTCTGAGAAAATTCTCATTTAGAGGATTAATAGTCCTTAGTGAAAACCATAATACAGTATTTTTAATGAAGGATGTCATTGATGCTATTCTATTTATTTATGTCTCTTTGCGTGAATGAAACAAATGCTTTAAAATATTTGTAAATTTGATGATATGGGTAAGTCTGGTGGGTAGGTTGGGGGAACACTGTGGAGTCTTTGATGACACTGATTCTCTTCTCTGTGCACGGTTCCATGCCCTCTGTTTGAGCCCTTGCCCTCTGAGCTGGCATACACCAAACAGCTCTCACTCCCTTTCTCTTCACTGTAATCATGAAATTAAAGTGCATCTTGTTGGTCATAAGTTTCAAACTCCTACTCCCACACTACCTTTCCCCAAAGGTTTTCATGAACACACATTGAAACTCTCATCTCCATCTACAAGAGCTGGACCACAAACCAGAACACCTGGACGTAAAGCCCAGGTTCACTCAGTCCTGGTGTAAGCTTGAGGGTGTCACCTTGCCTCCTGAACCTCGGCTTCCAAACCTGTAAAACAGGGCTCTCCACCCTGCCCTGTGTGAAGGTCACATGAGATTCTACACAGGAAAGCACTGTGTAAAAGAATAATTCTTTTATGCTGAGAACACGATAGTTTAGTTGGCAGAGGACATTGTTAGGGCTGAACTGGGTCTCCTAAATTCAAATATTGAAGCCCTAACTCTCAGTACCTCAGAATGTGACTGTATTTGGAGACAAGGAATTTAAGAGGTAGTTAAGTTAAAATGGGGTCACTGGGGTGGGCCCTAACCCAATATGACCCATGTTCTTATAGGAGACTAGGTTCCAGGCACACAGCGGGAAGACCATCTGAACACACAGGGAGAAGATGGGCCATCTGCAAGCCAAGCACAGAGGCCACAAGAGAAACCAACACCTTCAACACTTTGATCTCAAACTTATAGCATCCAGAACTGTGAGAAAACAAATTTTTGTTACCCAAGTCTGCCCCCCGGTCTCTGGTACTTTGTTTTGACAGCCCTAGCAAACTAATACAGACATGTACAGATTTTTTACAGAAAAGAAGACAATTAATAAATGAAAGTACTCAAATCCAGAAGAGAAAGCATCACAAAGGGTGACCTTTGAGTTTGCTCCTGAAAATGAAGGTAATTAACCTCCAATGAGCTCATAATCAATGTTCAGAGTTGGTTTTCATGTTTTTTAAAAAAATACTATTTCATATTTTGCCAAAAATGAGTAAATTTGGAGCACAGACCTTAAGTGTGTAATTCTGTATCAACGAAATAAACAGATGACAAACTACCTCAAGCCTTGTTCAACAGGGCTGTGTGTCAGATACAATCTAGAAGTGGTCTAGTGGCTTTGATAGGACTTATGGTGAGCTCACCTTACGGTAACAGATGACAAACGGATTAGGTGCAATGAATTTATCTGCTTTGAATCACTGTTGCTGCAGCACTTTTGCCATAAAAGCCCTGGGTCTGCGACTGCCTCACAGGATGGACATGCTGGACAACCACTTAGCTACCGTCCTGCCTTCTAGGGTGACCTTGAAAGCCACAGAGGTGGAAAAACCAAAAGCCAGGCTTTGCTTCCCAGACCTTCTTGCAGCTAGGGTTCTAGGCATGAAACAGACGACATCATAGTAGGTGCATGCACATCCCTACTGCTCCTCGCTACCCCCGTGCACTGGGGATGCTGCTGTCTCTCTCAGGTTCCTTGTCTGTCAAATGGGGATAGTAACAGCATCTGTCTCGTGGGTTGTTATGAGAACTGAGTTAAATCACATAAATTGCTTAGCTTGACACAGTATTAATGTTAGCTTTATTATAAGCACTGTTGTTGTTATTCTGAAGGTGGAAGTGAGCTGGAACCCATCTGTCTGCTGTGTATCTGTCTTCCTCTAGCAGGCATTGTCCTGGGGTTTGCTGCAACAGGTACTGGTGTCCGCCATTAGCTTCATGGGTGTTCAAAGGCAGCTGGCCCTGGATCAAGGCTATAGAAGTATGTCTTTGAAACCACAGGCCCTGCTTTAGTCTCTGATAACCTGGAGAGTCCATTCTGCAATATGCTTTTGTTGTTGTTGCTGTTAATTCTCACCCAGGGACATTGATTTTTAGAGAGAGTGGAAGGCAGGGAGGGAGAAAGAAACATTGATGTGAGAGAGACACATTAATTGGTTGCCTCCCACACAACCCTGACTTGGGCAGGGATCAAACCTGCAACCCAGATACTTTGCCCTGGACTGGGAATCAAACCCTCAACCCTTCAGTCTGCAGGTCAACTCTCTAACCGCTGAGCCAAACCAGCCAGGGTTACAATACGTTTTTGAGAGTCATTCCAGAGGCCCAGCCTAGAGCCCTCTCCTCCAGCCCCTGCAGCAAGTTTGTGTTCAATTCCCTTTTTAAAAATCCATTTCTGGCTCTGGCCAGTTTGGCTCAGCAGCTGGAGCATCGGCCCATGGATCAAAAAGTTGTGGGTTCGATTCCAGCCAAGAGCACATTCCTGGGTTGAGCCTCGGTCCCCAGCCCTGGTCAGGTTTGTGTGAGAGGCCAGCTGATGTGTCTCTCTTATGTTGATGTTTCTCTCTCTCTATCTGAAAAAAATAAAAATAAATAAAAATGCATTCCGCATAATATATGTGGAGTGGCATCTGTTTTCTACAACTGAGTCCTGAGTGATCTGCCCATGTGAGCCCTTTTCTCAGGACTCCCTTTATCCAGTCTATAAATGTGAAGATAAACAGGAAAACTGGTTTAGGTAAAGGCTTCATAGAGCTGTGTTAATATTAGCAAAGCCCAGCCTGCAACCCAGGTCTCCTACTCAGTCCTTTTCTACTGGGTCAGACTCCGAGGAAGGTGGTCTGTCCAGACCAGTTAGCTGATCCTGGTGATCATGGCCCATCTTCCCACAGAGCCCTAAGAGCAGAGGAAGGGGAGGAAGGGAACTTACATATATTGACTTCTCTCTTTATGCACTGGACACTCCTCTGGAGGCAAGAGACCACTCTTATTCATCTTGTATCCCCAATATTGGCACAATCTATTATAAGCGTATTAAATGTCTGTTAAACGATCTGAACTAAGCTGCTGAACAGGGTGTATTACAGAATTCACAAATCTCCACTGGAAAGTAAAAGCTTCCGAGGAAATCAAGGGAAAATGACAATGTGCCTATTTCTGTGTGTGTTCAGTTTGATATTGCAGGTTGAACTTACTGTGCACTATATTTGCTTTAAGTTGGGAATAGAAATCTTAACTCAGTGGAATCTAATATAATTGTTTAGACTATGATCCTTGTTTCCTGTAGCATTGCATAACTCTTTCCTAAATAATTTAATTGTGTAAGATCCAAATTCTCTGACAACTATTTAGTAAGTGGCCTTTATTTCTTTGTTCAAGTTCTTTGGGTTTCAAGTAAGAGAAACCGAAGCAATTGTAGCCGAGGATGAATGGGAGGATTTATTATAAAATGCTGTGTCATTGAACAGCTGCAAGGGTAGGATGTGTGGTCAGGTGCACAGGGGACTAAAAGCAGAAGGTTACCAGAAATCAGCAGCTTTGTCTCTCGTGTGCTGCTCACCCCTCATTTACCTTTGCTTTGCTTGGCGCAGCTTCTCTCCCCCACCCCAAATGGGCTCTCTGAGTAAAGGTATGGTGCAGGATGGCTGCCCCAGCACGGCAGCCAGGGCATCTACTTGCATATGACCCTCTCCCAGATCTCTAAGTTTCAATTTCCCAAAAAGAAATGACCAAGTTTAGATTGTATTCACATCCTTGGTCAATCAACTGCGACAGAAAACAGTGGCCATGATATAGTACAGATTTACTGCGCAGAACCAACCTTGTTGGTTCTGGGGGGGTGGGGGAGAGCAGTTCTTGATAGCAAGAAAAGTAGGCAAACACACTGTAGTGTGTGCAGGACAGTATCCCAGGGAACAAAGACTTGGCCACATGAATGCGAGATTAATATACCTGTTAAACTGCCTGCATGCAGGAATATCATGACCTTTACCTTTGAAAACTGATACTCTGCATAAGAAAACAAATTCTCATATAGAAACTTAAAATAACTCACGTTAGCGCAGAGGCTGTAGAATTTTCCTTATCCAAGCAATATGATTCGGCTACTCTGGGAATAGCTATCAAATAACTAGAAAGTTAACTAATGAGATAAATAAAAATAGAATTCTAGATCTTGCTGGGTGGCTAAATCACGCTCAGGATGCAAATTAAGCAATGTGAAAAGGGTGCCCAGTTATTCAGGTCACCAGGGCACCATTTAAGGAATTATTATTCTGGTAAATGAGGATAAAAGGGACCCTAGTGACTGAAATATATGAAGCTGCTTCCAATAGCTCTAATTTGCACTGAGGGAGGACAAAAATAATC